GTAGTAAAAATCGTAGTAGGCCTACCGTATCCGTTTTCGTCCCATACTTTTCATTTTTGAACTTCATAGTAGTTTTTTTTTTTAGTAGGCTACATTACCCGTTTTCGTCCCACCCAAGATCCTACTGGATCTTTGGTCTCTCATCAATTCAAATAATTACATTTATAAGTTATTGCAGTTGCCACTCCGATTCCAAAATGGTTTGACGACGTGAAGGGAGAATTCATTGTTATCATACCAACAGGGAGGTGAAAAACGTGAGGATTTCGTGAAGAATGAAATTTTTGTGTTAAAAGTTTGCAAAATAAAACAATTTAATTTCGACACATAGAGTCCTTTAAATGAGCCTATCGTCAAAAAAATTGCCATAAATCCAGGGTAAAACTTTGTACATGTTCACAGTTAACCTGCCGCTGTCTCAGGAGATGATAAGCTGAAATTTCCAGCAAACAGCAGAAATAAAATACGATACGTCTCAGAATATCACCTAATCCGCTCATCGGAGAGAGAGAGAGAGAGAGAGAGAGAGAGAGAGAGAGAGAGAGAGAGAGAGAGAGAGAGAGAGAGAGAGAGAGAGAGGGGGGGGGGGGGTCCGATTAGAGGTATCGCATGGTACTCACTTATCTGTCCCCGTGGTTTTATATACCCCGCATAATTTAGCAAAAACTGATCATTTTTTGCACAATTTCTGATTATTTTCCTTTGTCATTCTTTGTTAAAATTAACAGAATCGCATGATTTCACATTTTTGGGCTCAGTTTGCATAATTTCAGAATTTTTCTTGCATAAAACGACGGGGACAGACTTAAAATATCATATTGCAAAGGTGGGGCGCAAACGGGCAAAATCGTGTCTGAAGAAAATGGGACGAAAACGGGGAGCGAAATGAAGATGTGGGACGAAAAATGCACCGGTGACATAGGCCTACAGGCTTACACTTACAGTATAACATGTCCCTTCTTTAGTCTTTCATAACTCGTGATGCTGCTGGTTTTGTGATTTACGTACGGCCTCTCTCACCACCACCAGATTATATTTTTGTACCATTCAAACTGGAGGCCTTGATCTAGTCCACGATACAACAAAGGTTTTTTTTTCTCGGTTTGTTTTGTTTGGACAGTTTATTCGTTTTCCTATGACTTTGATGCAATCTTGGTGTTGAAACATTGTCAAGAACGGGGAGGTCAAAATCTACTCTTGCCGATTATTGTCAGTCTTCAGGCAACAATGACATGGTAGACATATATGGCTTTGGAAGCAAGGTAAACGCGTCTTTCTTGTAGCACGTCGTCACGACTACTCAAAAGTCCTCTCCCTCACCCCCCCCCTTTCCCTGAACTGAGAGCCCCGGTGTGCTTGGTCAGCTTGTTAAGTAACATCGGTGACCTTGTGGTATGCTCTCCGACTCGCAACCGTAAAGTTGTGGGTTCGAATCCCGCCAGGGGCCTTTCGTTGTGTTCTTGGGAAACGCACTTTACACGAATTTCCTACACTTCACACAGGAGGAAATAGTAACTGGATACAGACAGCGAAAGATCTTGTCATTTTGTTAGTGTCTTGAGTCTGAGTGCGTGCAATCCGTAGCTAGCTGCACTACATGCTTCCCGGGAATCTGAAAGTGTTTCTGAGTGTTCTGATAATAAAGATTGCATTTTTGTTTTGGGAGAGCTTAAGTAGGCTTACTCTGGGAAAAAGGGTTGGACTTCATAAACTAGGTGACCTGTACAGATAATATACATGTGGCAGACACTTTACCTTCCCCGAAACTCTAAATACCGGTAACCGACTAAAATCAGTATTGAACTCGGCACAGTGAGTTTGGGCTTGTTATTCATATAAGACAGCCGGGATTTTCACGACATGTGGAAAAAAAATAATTGGCGCCTCTGTCGTGGGAAAAAAAAGAATTCGCGCGTTTTCACGATATGTCGAAGGCTCTTACCGCAGAGATCTAGGCCTATTAGATTGTAGACCTAGATCTAGTTTCCTATTTTGGACATGTTCTACCGCCATTAAGGTGTCAAAACTTCCGGATTTGTGATGGGCGCCGAGAGTGCTTCCAAATTTCCCATGCGAAACCCGTAGCCTACATCCCGAAATTCTGTACTTACCGCATCATCATCTATGCAGCAACATGTTTTAATAAGAAACAACTACAACTTTGAAGAGAGAGAGAGAGAGAGAGAGAGAGAGAGAGAGAGAGAGAGAGAGAGAGTAGAGTAGAGTAGAGGGCACTTGCCTTTCTAGGTTATTAGGTTTGGTGATAACCGTACAGTCAGGACTGATGTTCCCCAATTTGCGTAGCCAACTGTCAGATGACAAATTGAATACATGTAGCGGCAATGGAAAAATGCTATTTTCAACTCTCGGAATGCTTTAAAAATCTGTCATTAAAAGTCCCATTCCATGTTTTTTGTTTTGCATCTGAGCTCTACTTTCACGTCTCTTGAAAGAAGAGCCTTTTTACAAGTACATGTACAAGAACATGTAGATCTAGACTCTAATTTTTAAAAGTGCGCAGGAAGATCTAGACCTATGTCACAGTAGGGTCAAAGAGTAGGCCTAGATTCTAGTTCTAGGTCTGGCCTTCACCTGCAGTCGTTCACCACTTAGCCAGAGAGAGCTCTGAAAATACCGACTGCCTTTTTAAAAATTATAATCACTTCTTCTTACATAATAATTAATGTGTGCATTTTTTTTTATTTCAAGTCAACACCAAATTAAAATACAATGCACTTTGATTGACCTATAACATTACGTCAGCGGAACCATTGTAGCCTACATGTACTAAAAGGTGATAGCATGCAATTGAAGCATTGTGGTAACTTTTACGACCTTTTTCTAAAAAAATGAAATACCATAATTATTATTCTGGCCAAACAGGTCACATACGCAGTGGATGTCTTTTCTTCACAACTAGTGATACTAGGCCCTATTAATACTACATGTACTCACTTGCGCAGTGAGAGAGGCCCGCATAGTCTATTACCATTGATTCTCTACTAGAGAATCTTTGGTAATAATCCGAGTCCTCTGGGAAGGATAAAAATACATTGTACTAGGTAATTCCCATCAACTATCCCAGTCAGTCTGGACTGGCCCTGCTCGGCAGGATCGAAGCAGCTCGCTTCCTATGTCGACAGGGACGTATACAAAATTAGAGAATGAGAGTGGAAGCCCATGACATTCTGGGCATGAAATCATGAGGAAGTTTCACATCTGTCCCCGCGGTTTTATGAAAAAAAAATAAAAAATTCTGAAATTATGGAAACTGAGCCAAAAAATGTGAAATTATGCGATTCTGTTAATTTTAACAAAGAATGATAATGGATACTAATCATAGATTATGCAAAAAATGATCAAATTTAGCTAAATTAAGCGGGGGGCATAAAACCCCTCGTACAGCACTATCGACATCGTTTCGGGCATCTCGCAGGGTGTTCGCGTCGAGTCCTTTGCTAAAATTTTAAGAATAAGGTCACGAGCTGTGTTGTGTGACCGTTTGCTCATTAGACTGACAGCACTTTAAAATCCGACGACCTTCTGGATGGCCTCTATGAGAGTTGTGGGGGAGGGGGTGGGATGGAGAGGAGAGATGAATTCATTAATTGTCAGAGTCAGTCATAGTCATAGATCTTCAACTGAGTAGTCAGCGACGGCTACTTCGTCTCTTGCGGTGAAACCAAGTGGACTTCAGTCCTTGGTCCATGATTGCGTTTCCGCTTGCAAAAATACAAGCACATTTCGGTACGTTTGTTTCTTGAGTAAAAAGAAGCACATCGACACATTAGCGGCCATATTGTACAGGGGGGAAATTAAGACAGACGGACAGAAACAAGTGAGGGAAAGGAAAGAAGTTGGACCTACCAGTGGCGCTCTCCAACCACCCAGAATTCTGCTACCTCACTTGGTCGGTGGCCCTCTCAGTTTACCCCTTGCTTCAGTACCTGAGAGTGAGAGTGGCCAGATTTCAAGGAAACCGACCAACTCATGGATTATGATGAAAGAATAGGTAGGTAGGCTGAGAGGAGAAAGGAATGAAGAAGGAACTATCTCGTTGGGTGCACATAGTAAATGAACATTGCATACCATAAGAAGCCAGGAAAAGACTGGCGGAACAGTCTTTGTTTTGTGAAGGCTGCAACCCCCCCCCCCAAGAATGATTTTAAAAAAATAAAAAAATATGCGATTTTTAAAAGAAAATGAAAAGGCAGCATTGGTCAGAAAGTTATTGACATCTAATAGAAACCCTAAAATTTTGCTAATATCTTTGAAGGCTAGTGAAAAATCAACAGGCTATGGATTCAGACCCTTCTCTGGTGTGGCTCAGTTTGAATATTATTTTTCTGCACACCTCTGCCTCTAGGCTCTTCTTGAGAATTACAAACATTTAAGAGACGCACAAGTCTACTTTGAAGACGATATGTGCACATATATAAAGATTTTTAAAAATCCATTTGTTTATAATTTTTCTTATTCCTGTTCCGTTTGAAACTCACTTAGATTTAAAAATGAAACCAGCATTACAGAATAACACATTATAATTATGCTGGATTATGATGTGGATGACCCTGGTACAAATTGTCAGCGCAGTTTCCTAGTAGAAGTTATTTTGGGAATCTTCAAAGCTCTCAACCCCATTGGTCCCTCTCAAGTTAACTTAAATAATTTACCAATAACTTTTAGCAATTTATGTCGAGAGGCAATGCCAAAGCTGTAAAGTCTGTAAAGTAACAACATAAACACTTTAAGCCCTGGCCCCATGCACCTGAGCTCCCAAGGGACAACGGTTAGATTTAAACCATCAGGGTAAGGTTAGCACTGTGGTTCGTTGGAAGGGTGCTTACTTTTTGGCACCGTAATTTTAGGACTTATATAATCTCTCAATTGCGTGCAAATTAAAAGAACAAAATATTCATGTATCAAGTCATCAAACTAGAACTATTTGTTTTATATATTTGGGAAGTCTCAAAACACAACATTCACAATGAACAAAATTGTAAAAGCTTAAAAGTCAAAAACTTTTATTCTGCCTATTTTACTGGGGCCTTTCATTAAATCAACAATGAATTAGCATCAACAAAATGAAAAGCAATTTTTCAGAACTCTCTAATCAAACTTCAAATATTGATTGATTGAAAAATAAAAACAATCTTTTCACACAAGACTTGACAACCTAAATGCTTTAAGCTTAAGAACTCCTTTCATATCGCTGTTGCAAGAAAAATTTGATTATACACTTTTAACCCTGTTCCGTTTGAAACTCACTTAGATTTAAAAATTAAACCAGCATTACAGAATAACACATTATGCTGGATTATGAAGTGGATGACCCTGGTGCAAATTGTAGGCTCAGTTTCCTGGTAGAAGTTATTTTGGGAGACTTTGCAAGGAGTAAAATAAAAGTGAGTATCAAATTAGAGGGCCAAGAGGATCCATACTTGTATCTTTCATAACTAGTTTGGTTACAAATATATTCATCTCTGTGATTTATTGTGACTAGGAAAAAAGAAATAGTTTTTAACTTTGTATCACAAAACCATATTCAGGGAGAAAATTAACATTCTTGCCAAAGTCTAATCCCAAAAGAAAGACCACTAAAATAGCTGTTTCTTCATGAAGACAAATAGGTTAAGGTGCAAAACACAAACAAGTTATCGCAAAACATTATCACAGAAACATTCCAATTTGACAAAACACTGACTACATAGATGTCCATATTCCTGAGAGAACTGGTCTTCTGAGCCTACAGGACCTATGCATCTGGGCTGAGTTCCTTTAGGTCTTATGCTAGATCACGGGGAAGGTAACACACGGTCAGGTCCATTAGGATTATATAATATGTGAACGCATGCACAAAAAGCAGACAGGTATCAACACTTTTGGTATGCAATTTTTTCAAACAATTATAATTTTGAAAAACTTAAGAAATATGCACTCACTTCTCATTATACGAAATGTCACAGCCAAAAGGAAACCCCAAACAAACCCCAGGAAAGTACCTAACACAGAGTACAAATTCCATATCAATCACAAGACTTTATACTAAAAGGTTCCAAACATTGAAACAATGTAAGAATAAAAAGACAAAAGTCAAAGTGATTTGAAACAAAAGGAAAGCACTGGAAAGATCGTAATTATCATAATTATTAATACTGTTGAATACATTGAGGATTGAGGTCTCCAAGAAAAAACCACAAAAGATCAGAAATGTCTTACGTTTTAAATGCAAACAGAAAGCAGCTGTATTAGAGGCCAACATAATTAATTCACACATAAATCTGTAGGACAAAAGGTCAAATATTGAACGACATCAAACTTTACTGGTTTGGCAACACACACACACAAAAAAAGAAATCCCAAACAATTCACTCTTACAATACAATACAGATAGGTGTTTACAACTTCAACAGTTCATGTATAAATCATGAATATGATCAAATATTTATCAATACCTTGTGAGTGATATCAAAAGCATAATGCCCAAGGAAACATGCTTCATATTTGATAAAGTTTGAGTGAGCAACAGATCAAATACTAAGTCACAGGGAGGGGGCACAGGCATATCTGTCAAAGAAATTTTACCCAGACCTTACAGTAGAGCGAGAGAACAGCTGGCCATGATATAAAGCTGATGCTTACACATGTGCCTATTTCACGTACTATGACGGACCGAAGACCATGACTTGTATGTTATACCTATGCCTTATGAAACAATATGTTGATTTATGTTACACAAGTCAAACAATTGAAAACAGCAGCCATGACCCATATTACAATCTTTGAAAAGGAAAAAAAGATGAATTACTTTGATTAGGAGTATAAAAACGTCAATTTTTATGTTACATAGGTTAACATACAACTCTGTGCACCCAATAACCATGATTGAAGCATGAAAAGATGCCATAAAAAACAGACTGGGATTTTATTACCATTTTGTACAATGGCACACAAAGGGCAGCTGTGTACGATACCTGATTAAGTTATAAAACCTTTGTAACAACAGCTCGAAATAAAAGACTGTTGAAACAGACTTACATGAATACAAAACAAATAATTGATAACTTGTCGTTAAATGTATTTTTAACTTCAATCCAACGTAGCACCAAAATTAATAAAGTGTAAAAAAATCCCTTGAAGTAGAAGACAAAACTGTATCTCCACATAACTCCAGTGATACTATGTGCTACTAATGTTCTGAAAACTTATCTTTGGTATTCTTGACCTGCTTTTGGCAACAAGATAGTCGTGATACAAGGCCAACATTAGGCTGCAACGATAAAAAACATTGCATGTAACACCTTTTCCGAGCATTGCCATACTGCATAGAAAAATTCATTTCAACAACAAAAAATAATAATTTTTTTTACCTTTAAGAAAGATAAAACAAAAATGTATGGTTTTGGAAGGCTATAAATTTTATATCTTATCAAATCTATCCAGTTTGGTGCTTCGACGTATTGAGTACACTTGACTCTCGTAAATTATTCATGACAAATTAGGAAGAATAAAATTATTTCTACATACTTAAAAGGGTGTTACATTTTACACAAATCACTCCCATCTGCCGCCATCTATAATTTTTTTCCTTTTAAACAAAGGTCAATCCATGAACTAAGAATTCATGTACATTATCTATAGACATGGACATATTTGGGAGCCAAAGGGAGGCTCTTTTAGCAATGTTAGTGAAAAACTCTATTTACAGCAATTCTGCAATCTAAAAATAATAAGTTGCAAATGAGTTGAGTGGAATGCATGATTTATATTTAAAATATTACATATCAACCCAATATTTCTTTGAGGTAATATACCACAGTCATCAATTTTTATGTAATGTGACTTTGTTTGCATTTCAGGACATGATACTAATGTGGCTAACATCCCTTCCAACCAATTGGCTTAAAATTACAAAATTTATTTTTTGGTATAGCCTACTTTGTTAAATTGAATGCTCCTTGATATAAATTAGAAATGAAGTCAATTTCATTGTAAAAAATTCTTTTTTCTTCTTTGCATGTGTAAAGATCAGAAAAGCCATTTTTTCTATTTTCAGTCGCACAGTAAGTAGATTACATATGTAAATGAGACATCATACACATATATAGTTATCGTCTCAAATCAAAGTATACTCAACCCCCTTTCCCTTGATATATAACATTTATTGTATTGACCGTAGGTATTTATTGGAAGATTTTTTCTTTAACCACGCTCTTTAGGTACAAAACAAGCCAAAACCCATAAAATGTTAAAAAGATTTAAAACAAAACCCCCTCAAAATGCAGTAAAAAATTAGAGAAAATGAAATGCCAATCATATGATCTATACCAGACACCATAAGAAAAATGAGACTATCACTGGAAATGGATTCTTCTTATGCAATTCTGAACTCTCACAATTGGGCCAAATCGATCATATCTAAGGAAACAACCAACAGACCCCTCATAGCTTATTCAAGAGTGCTATTATTTTGATTATAAAGTACTCAGGATTTCATATTGACACACGAGTACATAGATTTAAAAGATGGAAGGCAAATCTCACACGGTACTCTGAGTCTAGATAAAGAAAAGATAACAAAATAAAACAACGACAATTGTTATGAAGACCATGAAAATACAATCTAGCACGCGCATAACACACAGATCTTTCAGGTCCAGAATTTTTTCATATACAAGTTTTTCTTTGTATCTGAAACACATACACGGCAAAATTAGTTCAAAACGGAAAACATTTCCACATCCCGCAGATTTTGCTATGAGCATGCTAAACTGTAGATACATAGTTTAAATGTGCATTCCACATAAGAAATGAATAACAATTCAAAAGTGTCCACGAATCAAAAAGAAGACAAGAAGAAATAAAAATTATGCAATGACACGGTTGCTGAAAAAATATTATGGAAGACACACTCACACAAACTTCATTTTAACACTCATTGAATCATGATAAAGCACAAAGCGCCCATACAGCACAGCAATAAACCAACATCTGTTTCGCTGATATCAGTTCAACCCTTCCAGACTTCGCATCTTCTTGTGACAAGTAGCACCTGAGCAGAGGGACAGGTTTGCAAGTTCTTCGCTGAGTTTGGTCAGTAGCTCAGGAGGAGCAGTCTTGGCAATGTTCTTCAATTCATATGGGTCGTTTTTCATGTCATAAACTTCCACAAAATTCTGCAAATAACAAAAATTTAATTTGAGAGTTCAGTTGTCTGTAACATCAAGTTAGAAAGATATAATCACATTTCTCTTTGAATAAATGAAGATACTAGTAACAATTTTTTGTGTATTTCCTGTTCAATAATATAACCGTATCACATAAGATCAAAAGAAAATAAGTGGGGTAGCTCAAACTGAACAAGGTTAATTATAAAACAGCGGTAAACCAAAAGAAAGTAGACTGATTTCTTTCTCTGCTATTTTAGCAATCTTTCTTAAATGAAAACACAGCTAATGCAAAGAAAATCTGGCAATCCTGTTAATTTTTGTTTAAGCCAACTACACTGTACTTCGTCCCATACCATATGCTTTACTCATACCTGTTGGGCAAAAAACCCTTTCTTATGTCAAATTTTAGGCATCACCCCCCCCCCATCCACAAAAAGTCCATCCATTGACCATCTCTCCCTGAGCTAAGCTTGTAAGAATATGAATAGCAGTTTCCACCTTATTGAGATGATGCTTTCAACAATACAGCAATTCCATGATATTACATTTACAGTAACTCTTTGACTTACACCCTCCCCACATTCAACAAGACTCCCCGAACTCACAGGGGAATTGGTCAGCCCCATATGCTATTTCCCCTTTTACAAAGACCTGTTTCCTGTTCGGCTTGAAAATATGAAAGTAATTACCTTAGAGCGGCTAGCCTACTATATGAAGAACGAAAAACGTGAGTATTGAGGATGAAACAAAGTAAAGTACAAATGTCATACTACTACGGATCTACTGACACTTACAGCATGGTCCTGCAGGGCACAGTACTTGTAGCTTTCTTTTTGAGTCTCATAGCGAATGCATCCATATGTATTGTTCCAGGCATCTTCACAAACACAGTGGGCATCACAGTTCTTTCAGAAATGGAATAATAAATATTTCATGTCAATTACCATCAATTCATAGTGGCATATCCGATGTTCAACAGAAGAAACAGGATACATTTTCTTCAAACAGTTTTTTCAGTCATTTAACAAGAAATACTGAACACATCTTTTACCACACTTTCCCACTTTACATACTCTGCAACTTAAAAAAAAGAAATGACCCCTTCAAAAAAAAAAAATTAATTAAAAATTGAAATATGAAAGCACCCACAGATGGAAATAATAATGAAGTATCCTCCTAGAAAACCTCTCCCATTGTCATAAACTTCTACCGGTCAGAAAAACCCACTCCATGTCATTTTAATTTACCCCTTTTTGCCAGAATGACACAGAACATGCCATTTTCACCTCCTCTTATTAAATACACATTTCTGTCCAGTCCTCAAAATCCATGTTTCTAACATTGGTCAAGTAAAAAAAGACATGATGATGCTCCTTTTTTCGTGAGAATTCAAAGCTTAAGGGAATTCTTTTCGCGTGCCAGCGCGCTGTATCACTGAAACTTTTAAACCTAAGAGCTCACGTTACTTTTCAAATCAAGATTGTTTATCAAATTCCTCTACAATACACTGGCATTTTCTGCATTCAGTCTCACTATTTTTCTCCCCAATGTTGCTGATGGCATGGGGAATGAGATACTGTCAGGGATACAAAAACTTACGTAAATTCTGAATGACAACACAGATTTGATTCTGGCTGTTCAGAAAAATCCATGAAATTAATTTTGGTCGATAGGAGGTTTAATTGAAACTTTAATTGAAACAAGTCAAAGCAAAAACTGCAGATTATAAATTCCTAGAAAAAAAAATGTAGTAAACACATAGACAGAGAGACAAAATGACCCTTTTCGAAAGGAAGTTACAAGTGGAAGAATGAAAAATACTTGTCACATGGTTTATGAAAAGGACGAAATGTTTGAAACACTAGAGAAACTTTTCTTAAAGGCAAAAATTAGACAAGGTATATTTGACTTCCATAATGATCATAGCTATCTTTAAAAAAAGCTTTCACTGACAGGAGGTAATAAAAAACAAGTCAAAACAATCTTTTAACTAAAATAAAGACCAATAGACTTCATAATAAAGATTCATTAGCTAAAGTTCAACTCTACTTCAAGTAGTTAAAAAGAAAAATGATGAAGAAAGCGTTGGGGAAAGATAGGGAGAGGCAACTGAAAAATAGCAGCTGGGTCTGCAAGCACAAGTCTTACGTATTTACCGGGAAGATCACAATATAAAGGCAAGCGGGTACTTTTTTTTTCATTTCCTCACCACACAAGGAAGTGCAGGATGTGCAAGCATTTGTTTACTGTTATAAGGAAGACAAATAACACATCACAGAATCTCTACAATGGATGTCTTTCTGAAACCTTGTTACACACCCCCTTGGCCAGTTCAGTCACATCCTATGTTGCTTAAAGTTAAAGAAGCCGACCCCCCCCCCCCCCCCCAAATCCAGCACAACTGTATAGTATCTCCAGACTGAAGGATGCATTCATGTACTCTTATAACTTGCTCTGTTTGAATGTGAAAGGTAGAGCTGCCAAAAATGAATGAAGGACACTTTAACCAGGGTTATTTAGATTTACGTCGTAAGCTTACCCACAGACTACTGTTATAAAAACAAAACTTCATCCATAAAAAGACAATAGCAGTTCTGTTATTCCTCCCCCACAAAAAACAACAGAATCAAAGAAGAGAACATTGTCTACGCTAAAAGCATCTGGGGAAAAAATACTTACAGAAACTCCTCGATTGCTTAACTTGGGACACCTAGGAACTTTTTTGGAATGTTCTCCGTGGTACTCAACAAGGACAGTAGCTCGGAATTCATGGGGCTGCCCACCCAGCAATCCCAAGAAGCTGGCACCATCAAAATCAGGGGGCACTTTCTGTCCGGTTATGTCCACAAATGTTGGGGCTAAGTCTATGTTCATTATGCTTTCCTGTCGGTCAGAGCAAGAGCGGTAAGCAATAAAAGAACAGTCGTTTTTTCACAATAAAAAAAAAAAAAAGAATGCAAACTTTCACAAAATCTGGGGTGGGGTGGGGGGAGGAGACAAAGCAACAAGCGATGAGCTCACATATATCCTCTTTTGCTGCACAGCATAAAAAACAAGGGCAAGCACATGGTTGAAATTAGTTCTCGTAAAAAAATGGCAAACACTGTGACTTTCCATGTTCAAGAAAACAATCAGTTAGGGGGAATAGCAGAACAAAAGGGCAGAAAAAACTTTTCTTTCTCAAATGGAAGAGAAGAGGTGCCTTTAGTGTAAAATACATATTCTCCAGGGCCTGTACTGATTTTACTATATTACAGTTCGTCAAAACGGCGTGTACTGGAGTTCCGAAAACAAACACTGAAGAGAAAGACAAAACTGCTGCATTCAGTGTTTTTTAACTATCCCATTTTTCAACGTTTTGTTTCAAATTTTCAAATAAAAATGTGTCCATGTTGTGCAGTGTTATTTCATTTTTCAGATACATCAACTAAAACTAGGTTAAAATTACTCCAAGGATTTTTAGAGGGAATAGAAGGGGACAAGCAAAATGCAAATAGACACAGACAGGTGAGAGCCAAGTTCCTTATTTCTGCCACGGACTTTGTTTAAACACTGATTTTCCCATCCTGAAACATAGGATTTCTTTACAGTTTAGTCTATAAAAGTCATGGAAACATTTTACTTTTGGATTCAATATTTTTCTCAGTTCACATTACAAGCATGATTCCTTTGAAAAGTTCCTTTTGAAGTTTTGACACTCAATTTTCTTGAGAACTGGATGAAATGTATTTAATTCTATAATCTTGCTTGCTGCACTTGAAAAAAAATAGCACTTAATCTATGTTGTATGATTTATTGAGCTGGAACTCTTGTGAGATTCATCATTTTTGAATTAAGAAGATCATAAAATATTATAATGTAAAACTAATGCAAACGTGGAAATGGGAAGTGGCCGTTTGTACAGGTGATTATCTTATACAGGTGGCCATCTGTTAAGAGAGGTTTGACTGTATTAATTCAAATTATGATCTCCTGAATAATGGGATCTATAAAGCACACCCATAGAATGGGATTGAACACAGACAAATCCTGGATTATACTTGATAAGCCACCTTTCAGGATTCTTCACTCCATACACTTGGCCAATCATAAAATATTGTACACGAAAGTCAATTGTGAAATACTTTCTCACCCCAGCTAAGCTTGTCCGTTTTCAGAAACTTTAAATTCCTAAAGCTAGATTCAGTTTTTTAGCCCTAGTTTTCTGATGCAAATTTAAATAAGATATGGTAGAGAGATGCAGCGAAGAGCAGGAAGATGCGTTTTGGGTTTTCAGATGGGGCCGAGTTTAAAGCTGGAAAAGCGCATTGATCACAGGGCGAAAATCTCTGGATCTGTCAAGCAACTCACATACATTCCTTCATTTTTGTATTGAGGGCATCCAAAAACTGAGATCATATGTTCTCCAAAGTATTCGATTAAGAAAGAATTACGGAAACTAAAGTCATTGGTTTCTTCGGCTGCACTGGTTGTGTGTGGTGGGGCCTCATGTTTGAGGCCAGCACTAAGCCTGAAGCTGGGAGTTAGATCCTCCATCCCTACTGTCAGGCCGGAAGTTTCAGTCTCCAAGATTTTGAGGATGGACATTCCATCAAAACCTGAAGGAGACTGACCAGTCTGCCCTATTTCCAGAAAAGTTGGGGCCAAGTCTATAGACACGACTGTCTCCTGCAGAAAAGTTTTGCTCAGAATAAGACAACCTACAACCACAAAGAATTATTACAGGGCAATATTAAGTAAGAGACTGAAAAGAAAAGAAAAGAAATTTTTTTGTAGCCCACAATGGTAGGCTATGATATAAAGTGAGCATCAGACGTAGGACAGTTTTGACATAATGAACATATGAATGTGGTACAAGTAGAGGGTATTCATCAACACATGTCTGTGGTTAGGAGAATCTCTGCTACAACACGAAGACACAATAAGTAACGAAAATAGTAGCAATAATAGCAGCCACACTGGACAGCTTGACAGGAGCTGAAAAGGTTATTATTGAGTCAGCGTAACAAACAAGTATGCACAGAACAATTTGTTTCAAAAGGATATAAAGCTGTCCCTCCCAGGATATTGAAATGAGAGGAACATTACAGAATGGCAGGCTATATTTTCAACCTTTGGAACTTCTATGTGTCTTCAGGTGTGTACAGAAGTCGCATTTCTAAAAGTTCTATAGTACAAAATTAACAAAAATCTCAAGATGGTGACAAGGAAATCTAACATCCTATTTCTTCTGTATTCAAAAGCTTTAGCAAGAAGTATGACAAACACCAGAATCATATTCTACAAAGACTACTTCACAAAAACTGAGCTACCAGCACTCAACACAAGTAATGTAGAATGTAGACTCAGTCTTATTAGAACACATTCACCCATTGAAGTGTATTATTAAGTTAATAAAAGAAACAAATGGACTGTACACAATTTACCTGGCTTGTGGAGTTTGCTGTTATATTGGGTCCTCGCACCATCAAAGGCACCCTGATGTCAAAGTCATACAGTTGTCGTTTGTCATAAGGCAAAGAAAACTGACCTGTTGCGGGGAAGAATGTTACAAAAACACTTACTACCAGACCCTGAGGTTGAAAAAATAAACTTGTCAGTCAATTTTTAAAATATGATCTATGAACAAGAAATCATATCGAATCGATGGAAAAAAAAAAAAAATCAGCTCTGTGCCCGATACCGGGGACATTGTTTTGATTAAATTTGAAGAAAACTATAGATACATTTTCGATAGTGCAAAGATGTTGCAGAGTCTGTTGGATAGAGGGTCCATCCCGGAAAGTCAAAAGTCCTAAGGATAGATGCACTACGAAAGGAGCAGGTCACAGTAGAGGGAAAAGCACAAGATCTTAAGAAGATGTCGAATCCTTCTGCTATCTTGGGAGTATAATTGACAGAGAGGGAGGAACAGGTGCTGAAATCAAGTCCTGTATTGGAAAGGCACAGACGGCATTTATTTCTTTGAACAGGATTTGGAGGACCAGCGATATCTCACTACGAACAAAGCTTAGGATTTTCAATTCAAACGTGAAATCAGTCCTGTTGTATGGATGTGAGACATATAACGCATCTCAGACGTGCAAAGAGGATCAGAGGGACAGATAGGATCACCATCGAGGAAGTATTAAGAAGAACGAGACAGAGCCCAATCAGAGATGAGGAGGGAAGAAGGCACTAGCGATGGATTGGACACACTTTTAAGAAGTGAAGCAGCTGCATGACAAGGAAAGTGTTACATTGGAACCCACAGGGTAAAAGACCAAGGGGAAGACCAGGTGGAACCTGGAGAAGAATCACAGAAATGGATGTACAGGAAAGTGGGAAGACATGGAGTGACATCAAGCTACTCGCCAAGGATAGGGAAAGTGTTTGTTCGTGACCTGTATCCTGATCCAGGGTGAAAAAGGCAATGATGATAAATGTGGCAGCAAAATAAAACAGAGATCAGATAGTTTCATTAGGTACCCTGTGGCTAAGGCTAGTTTCAATAAAATGAGCCCAATCCTGAAAAATAGAAACATCTCATCGAGTACCAAAATGAAAGTTCTGAAATGCTATTATGGTCAACCCTTTGATATGGCTGTGAATGCTGGACAATCACTAAAGACAGTGAAAATAAAACGGAAGCAAGATTCTAAGGAGACTGCTAAGAATATCTTTTCTTTAGTTTAGTACAGGGTTTTATGGCGCTCACACCTGCATAAGGTCATTAAGCGCGCAAAACAAGTTTTTTTTTTCTCAACTGCTAACTGCTCGGCCTGATTCGGGTCAATATTTCTAATTAAAATTGTTAAAATGTTAAAAATTGAGTGTAAATAGATTTTAAATTTCAAACAACTTTCTAAATAACACTTAAAAATTTCAAACAATCTATTTTATAACTTCCCATAAAGGCCAATGGCCTTCATAAAATCCAATATTCTGTTGGGAACAACGGCGGAAAACAGATCTTGCAAATTTTTTATTTAGCATCTAAAATATTTCCCTCGGGTCTCTCCGAAGTCTAGACATTCGGTTAAAATGTGTCTAATGGTAAAATCTGTGTTGCATCATACACAAAACGGTTTCTCATCTCCCTGAAGGAGGTATTTGTGTGTTAGGGCCGTGTGTCCGATGCGTAATCGAGTAAAAATGACTTCGTCTCTTCTGGAGAGGCCCGAAGGATTTCGTGGTCCCAGTTTGGGTTTAATGTTGTGAAGTTTATTGTTTTTTCCAGTGGGTCTCAAACAGGCTAAGAGTATTGTGGAAGGAAAAGAAATCAAATGAGGTAGTGCTTGATGAAGCCCATGTGGGACGCTCACTATTAAAAACAATCAGGAAATGACAAATGCAGTTTTTGGGACACCTGAATAGATATAAGGGTCTTGAACATCTAGCTGTCACTGACAAAATTGAAGGCAAATGAGTCAGAGGTAGGCCCAGAACAAACTACTTAGGGAACCTAAACAAATGGGTAACAGGGAAAGATCAGGGAAACGTAGCTTTTTTAAGAGCATCCGAGCAAAGGAATGAATGGAGAACCATGATCGCCGATCTGTCGCAGATCTGGCACTGGATGTTGATGATCCTGTGATTGTCAGCATCATTCCATTGCACATACTGTAGCATTTGTAACATTGTACCGGACTATATTTTTTGTTCTATGAGAATGGTGTGCGAGGCTTATTAGGCCAGTGCATATGAAGAAATGTGGGTTGCGGAAAAGAAATGCTTTGAAGTCCGTTGCATTATCTAATGTCTCTTCAGATCAGTTGTTTGATCATCCAAGCACCAAACAACAACGCTCTCTCTCTTTTAGCCTCTTTTATCCTGGTATTGGGTGCAGGTCGCCAAAACTGTTCTGGGTGATCCTCTCTCCCGTGAACCAGCAGACAATAATGCTAAAGACAATTGATTTTATGTTGTTACATATGAATACACAAAGTCTGATACTCTGCACCCATTTTCAATCGAGTGGAATAAAGACTACTCCTGTAGAGACAAGACCTTGATCCATTTTCAAGTGCCCCCCCCCCCCCAAAAAAAAAACAAAAAAAAAACAACCCACCAACAAAACCAAATAACCCAACAACTCCAACCCAAAATCACACAAACGGTGGCGTACAAACGAAATGTTCACATACCTAAATGATAGCCATTGTCTGAACTGAAGAAGATGTAAGTGTTGTCCAGCTCACCCATAGCCTTCAGTTTGTTCACCACTCCTTCAATCATGTCATCCACAGACAAAAGAGTGCGCCATCTGGATAACAAATAGCACACTTATATACATATACAAACATTTCTAAATAGAAGCCAGATTCTTTTTCTTTCTTTTTTAGTAAAGGGTTTTACGGCGCTCGCAACAGCACAAGGGCATATGAGCGCCAAGGGGTGGGTGTCAACTGAGAAGTCCTTACAGGGAATCAGACTTACTCTGCTTACCTCTCTAGCTTCAACAGCACAAGGTCTGCTTCGACTATCAAGGCACCCCGGAAAAAGCGGGTCACAAGAGTGTGACATACAAACAAAAGAAGTAGAGGAAAATGACAATAGTAAGGATTAGGAAAGAAAACGCAGCAGTTCCCTGTTGCAGATCAGGCACAGTTATGAGCGTGACATGATGAATCAGCCCATTTACAATTCTACTGTGCTTGAAAGAGAAATGTCCCCCCTTTGGGAATGGCTTAAAGACACTTCAGTCAGCGGCACCGCCCCAGGGAGTGCCAGATTCTAAAGGAGAGAAAAAAAATGGGGAATATGCAGAGGAAAGCATGGAGGACACAACATGGTTTATGGCTGAGATGTGCTATTTCACCAGCACGATTTGCTCCCTGGCAAAGAGGGTTTTACCACTTGTGGCACAAAAAAACTTTTTTTTACATAAGAGAAAAAAAAGGCAAAAATATCAAATCCCCAGGGGTGGCTTCAGTGGCCAAGTGAGTAGGACTGTAGGGAGTAAAGTCAAGCAAGTGTCTGTGACACGGGGATCAGATGGGTGGTCACTAGTGTGTGTCCTTGAGCAAGACACAACAATCCTAGCTAAGAAAAACAGGCAACTGCACAGTGGTGACCAGCAATGGCATGGTAGAGACATATTCTGTATTGGTGTAATATTGGGTATTTATGTAAGCATATGAGTATGTATGTATGAATGTATGTATGCTTGCAATTGTAAACCAAATTGCCATTCAGGGATCAATAGCATTTAAAATATTTATTTTAAAAAACATAATAATATAAACAAAATACAAGAAAATTGATCATGCCATAAGCACAATATCAACAGCATTTAAACGTCTACCCGGAACGGAATGAGGTGGAAAATCACTCGCCTTATTTAAATGCACCACTGTAACTGGTTGTTACCTGCAGCCTATTTTTCGCTTGTTCCCCCCCCAAAAAAATTTTTTTTTCTTTTGTTACTTCATTCTATACAATAATACAAACTAGTGCTTGAATGGCGGAAAGTCCTTTGAACTAGTTTGTATCATTATAAAAAATTAAGTAACTAAAAACAACAAATTGAAGAGGGGGACGGAATGGGCAGAAAATGCTGGTATTCACCATAAATGATTTCAAAGTGTTGATCTATAACAAAAAAGAAAGAAAGAAAGAAATGCTCTTCTACAAGTGGCACATTTCCCCACTGTCTTGCTCTTTCCAGTAAAAAAATGGCACCCTTCCGCTAAAGTTACAGCCAACAGCAGCTGGCCGACACACTGCCTCCTGAAAGACATCCAATGTTTACCTGCTCCTAAAGTAGTCATCAATCATAGTGATGGTGTCATTGGGCATCGGTGTAATTGTCTGCTCAATCAGCCAATGCTTGTCCTGTACAGGAAAGTACAGATCAAACTCATGTCTTTGTGTCATTAAATATACACCAAATACCTACACTTAAAAATATGGGATACTATTAAAACTCCTCTACTTTTCTTATCCAACCCTTCACAATTCTGACACTGCCTTCCCGCATGAGACTCTTGAGCAAAAAATATCAAGTTATCGATTTCCTTCTGTCAAAAAAAAAATATCAAGAACAACGAAAATAAAGGAACAAAAAATATAATCAATAAAGCCAGTACTATATTATTATATAATTAAAAAATCCATGTTTCATCAGATCATTGTGTCAACACACTGACAACATTACTAAAATAAACAGAAGGTTACACTAGAATGGAAGATGTTGATTGAAAAAATACATTACCCCCCCCCCCCCAATAAATGATGAGAGACAAACAGGAACATAAAAGAAGAAGGATGAAGATAAAAAAGATTGAGGAACTGTCATACTGTGCCATGGATGTTGAAGTGTTTGGTCCTGGGAGCCTTATCACCAGTGAAGTTTTTCAAAAACTGAGGAGCTGAGTCAAACGGTTCGTGGCACGCAGGGGTGGACAGCATGAGGAAAAATGGACTGTCACCATTCTGCTTGTTCAAAAAGTCCAAAGCTCGCCGGTGCTGGAATCACATAAAATAACAACGTGTGATGGCGAGGACAAAATAATCAGAACAAAAAGTTTGATCAATTTTATAAAATTTTCCCCAATAACATAAATGTTGCCCTTCTTAGATTCTGTTCACTGGTGTCTGTGGCGAAGCTGTTAGGTGCTTTGGCTTTGCACGCACAAAACTGTAGATGGATTCTTAAGAGCGTGAGATATTTATTAATTGTGTATTTTAGTCTTCTTGCTGGGATGCTGTATTCTCTCAGATAAATTGTGTTGTTGGAGGCGTAAAAAAGACCTACATTGAAAAAGAAATTTAAAAAATATTTTGATTAAGAATGATGGGATACAATAATCAGAGTGGTCTCCACAAACTTTTGATTTCGATTTTAATAGGAAAAGCATGAAGAGGTGATCTAATGTGCCATAACAAGACACTAAAGTCAAACTCGTTTAGGCAAAAAACAAATTTAAGCCATCCTTTAACCATAAATACAAGCCACTTAAAGTGCAAGATTATAGTGTATCTCAACTTGATAATTCTCAAACTCCAAGCACAAAAGACTACATTACCATTATAAGTGAGCTAGAAAAATGAAAACAAATTTAATGAATATCCATCTTGTGGAAAACTAAAACTATTAAACGGCTAAATGGAGCCAGCTAACAGAGATGCAAGTAGAGCTAAGATGTCTGCCTTATTTGACAAAGTCAAAGAAGAATGACCATACTATTGTGAGACACCCAAAAAAGAACATAATGCTTTTCATGGTCTGAAATGAACGAGTTCATAATAGTATATTTCAACTTTTAAAGTATGAAAGAGAAAGAGTAAAGTTGAACATCAGACTAACTGGGTTTCAGTTTTTATGAGCTCCTAGTAAAGAAAAGAGCACTTACATTTGCAGTGTCAACTGTGATAACAGATCATTAGACTTGGCGAACCATCTAGCACCATTACGGTAGTTTTAAATCGAGAGTGTATGGTCATCATTTGTTGGCTTAATTCCCTCAAGGACAAAAGCCTTGGATTTGTAGACACAACTCTGTATCCAATTCAGGATAAACATAAGTTAAACATCAGACATCCAGGTTTCACTTTGAGCGTCAAACATACATTAGAACAAAGATAGAATAGCAAACGTGGAGTAGACAATAGCAGTAGTAGCTGCAATAAATCTTACAATGATATCAGTGAGATAGTCTGACTTATAGTCATCTCCGTGCTTTTCCTCTTTTCCATTCACAGACAGTGAATAATTGTAGTACCTTGAATTGCCAACCTTGGGAAGAAATAAAATTGGAATTGAAATGACACATGCAACTGTCTGAGTTTGTTCTGGTAGAGGCAGTTCCCTGTTGTAGATCAAGCAGAGTTATCAGCGTGACATGGATGAATCAGTCAAATTACAATTTTACAAATGTCTCCCCTTTGGGAATGGCCTAAAGACACGTCAGTCAGAGACACCGCCCCGGGGGTATCTGAGTTTGTGCCATAAATCACAGACCCTATCCATCACATCTCCACCCCCCCCCCCCAACAAAACAACCCCAAACAACAAATAAAACAAACCCACGCTGTCTTTAACATCTCTCACATTTTTCAAACTGTGAACAGTACGTATAGGTAAAGACAATTTTAGATGTAACATAAAGTCAACAGAAAATTAGTCCAATTGGTAAAATAGACCAAGAAACAATAAATGATTTTAGGACTTAAAAAATCCCTCTCTCATAATTATGATACTATAACAAGAGTACTTAATTTTCTTTCTCTCTTTAGAATAGGTATGCATATACAGGTATAGGTTAGCCTATTTTCAACACAGTAAGATTGTTTCTAAGGCCAGCAACTTATTTGATATTCATCTCCAACAGAAACAGGACAAGTTAACAGAGAGCCCGAAAGACACATTAATCAAAATTCCAAGAATAACCTGTTGAAAAAGCAAACAAGGATCATCCACATAAAAGTTCAGTTCATTCCAAGCCACCATTACGTTATATAGGGAAGACATAGACATGACTTATTTAATTTTGACTAAAGTTTCCAACATTTCTAGTTATATGACCCACAACAAGTACCATTTCCAAATGAAAACATCTTAATAGTAAAACATATTTAATTTAAAGAACAGAAAGATGGGATAAACTCACCAAACCATGCCAGTCATCCCAGCCAGGAGGAATGTGTTCCACACCCCCAGCTCCTGGTTGGCCATACTGTACAGGGACAGAAAAAGCTATGAATATGGTCATGAACCCCGAAAAATTATCAAAATAAAAGATAAGTAATCTTTCAGAGAGCTGGTTAGCATCTCAGGGTGACAAAATAAAGAAATCACCTTTCAAAACAAATCTCATTTATCAGACAAGCCATTCTAAGCACAGTGTATGAAGCTAAGGTGAAAATAGTTATACAACTATAGAAGTAATAGGTCTTTTGACAATCTGCATGCACTGTTCAAAAGAGAACACAGGCTATTTGGTATTGTCAAAGTATCTGTCATGACACTGGATGTGTGCTTCTATGGCTTTGCATTAATAAACATAGTGATACATCTCAAGGAACAGCCAAAGGTACAAGTGCTTGGGAGTGCAGGAAGATGGGCAGCTAAAAGTTAGGAAGATTTCTATAGAGGTTTGACGAAATTAGTAGTTCGCGAAACTGTCTGTGAGAAACTGGAACATCCCAAAGTCTTGGCTCAATGGGTCCCATTGTAACTGACAGAAAGAGACCCATACACCCCAGCAAGAGTTTTGTTCTTTAACATGACAATGTTGCTCCTCAGACACCAAATCTTGACTTTCTGTCTTATGGATCCTTATGCATTGCTGGAAGATAATGCCTCATTTCAATCAGACTTTTATCTTTTTGGGTCATATACAGAAATAAGACTGCAGAAGTTAAAGAGGACTGAGATTAGACGCATTCTCTTGACCATCATAATGTCCCTGATGCGTTGCTGGAAAAAAATACATCGATCTGCATAGGGACTCTGTAGAGAAGTATGCTGAATTGTGTTACTACAAGGTATTTAAGTTTTATTCAGATCCATATAAAACAATTCATTCAGAGACCATTTTAACCTTTCTTTTCAGACAGCCCTTGTACAAAGAAGGGTGAAATTTAAAGTAGCATACAAATCATATGAAGTTGCGAGCGCCGTAAAACCTCTACTAAAACTAAAACTAATACAAATCACTGAAACTATAGTCCGGAAGAAAAAGAAAAAGGTACCATTCTACACTTTAGTATTGAAGAATTTTCATAAAATGTATCTTAAAAAAAAAGAACAACAAAGCAGCAACAAAAAAAGACAAAACAATACAAAATCATCCTTGAGGACCTTCCTTTTCTCTGACATACTACATTGGTTTCTGTTTATAGTCTTTTTGTTTTAGTAGAGGTTTTATGGAGCTCGCAACAGCATAAGGTCATATGAGCGCCAAGGGGCGGGTGTCAACAGACAAGCCCTTACAGGGAATCAGGCTTACTTTGCTCACCTCCCTAGCTTCAACAGCACAAAGTCTGCTTCGGCTATCAAGACACCCTGGAAATAGCGGGTCACAAGAGAATGACAAACATATAAAGAAGTAGAGGAAAATGACGATAGTAAGGATTAGGAAAGAAAAAGCAGCAGTTCCCTGTTGAAGTTCAGGCACAGTTATAAGCATGACATTGATGAATCAGCCCATTTACAATTACAATTCTATTGTGCCTAAGAACATGGTTAATGTCCCCCCTTTGGGACTGCCCCAGGGGGTAGTTTATAGTTTATAAAATACCATTTTTTAAAAAAAGATCAAAAGAAAGAAAGATATCTCATCACACCTGATTCAAATACTTTCCAGAAAAGAAAGTCTTGTAGCCACTTTTTTTCAAGTAGACTGGGAAAGCTTCCTGCTCAGGTCCTTTTTGCCAGGAAGGACTGCTACAGTTCCCAGTCAGGCTGTTGTTGGAGGCTAAGTGGTTGTGCACATATTTACCAGTAAGAATGCTCGACCTACTGGGGCAGCAGAGAGGGCTGGACACAAACTGGAGATAAAAACCAAAATCAAGACAAATCCTCTCTATAACTGGCTTTTTCCATTTTTGGTCTGCAAAAATCAAGATCATTTTATGAAATCAGTTTCATTTATGTAAAGAATACACAACTGATATATAGCTACAATACCTCCACACATTTTCTCTATATATAGACATCATTCACACTGTTGTGTGAAAGGTAGTAATGCGCAAAGGGAGGTAAGCCAAAGTCATCTGGAACAGGTCTTCATATTCCAGAGAAATCACGACTCCTAAAATATCATAGAAGAAGGCGCACAGAAAGAGAGATGTGTGTGAGTGTGGGGGTGAGCGCATGTGTGCTTGTGTGTGTGTGGTGAAACACCAAACCAGTGTGCCAGCGTCTGAACAATAAAAGATTTATCTTATCGTATGGAAATGTCATTTCAAAATTACATAAATAATATGCCATTTGGATCAGGTATAGGAGAAAAAAACTTAAGAGGTGCATTGACACAATACATGTCCCGGTCATCTGTCACAGGAAAAACAACAAGACCAAATTCTGAGGAGGAACTGAAAAATCTATAGCTAACTTTAACAACCTGCAGAGTTTGTGCAACCCCCTCCCCCCTTTTCTCAAATAACCAACAATCAGTTGCAGATACAGCCCCCAGCCATCTACACGACCCCCCCCCCCTCCTGACTAAAAAAAATAAATATTTAATTTGCTAAATTAAGATGAGAAAAAACCAACAAAAAAACCCACCAAAAAACACAAAAAAACAACAATCCCGGAACAAGAATAGCCTTGCTGTGCAGTACGCCCCAACCTACCATGTTTGTGAAAGTCTTTCCAACATCTCCAATGAGTGCTTTTGCCTTTGGCATGGGGCTCTGAAAGGAAAAAAAAAAGTAAAACCAATACAAAAACATTGGAAAACAAGACCACAGATAGCAAACATAATTCATCATTTGAACTTAGCCCTTAGCTCACCAATTTGAATTGTCTGAGTACTCAATACCTGATAGGTAATAAACTTAAGAAAATTCCTTAAATTTACCAACTGATGAATTCCTATTCTTTTGATTGGTCACCTACAATTGATAAAACCTAAAAAAAGTTAAATTCCCAAATGGGATTCAGCTTGAAATAGAATTTTCGTTGTGATCTAGCATTGATTAAGTTGCTCCCTTTTAATATTCTTTCAGTTTGACTTTCAAATTATTCTGACAATGCTCTCACTTCTCACTGTGAAGCACCTCACACATGACAAGCGAGGGTAATTTTTTGTTTAAAAAATTTCTTTAGTGGACAATTTCAACACAAATGTCACTCTCATTCTTTAATTCACACACACACACAACAACAACAGAAACAGCCAACTGAGCCATGCATGTCAGAGTTTCTTCAACTACAGTTAAATTAAGGTAGTAAGCCATACACCTTACTTTCCAAACCCCACAATCCCGACACATAGTCCTCCCCATCTTCATACAAACATACACTGCACCAAACAAAATTATCAGAAACAAATCTACAAAATTACCTAAAGAGAAAATAGGAGTTTTTTCTCACACCAGCTGAAGATACATATTGGTATTGAAACAATGATGGTCTCATTGAACTGGGACAAATATCACAATTTAGGGTACGGTATGAAGTAAAATAGAAACTATAATAAAAGGCCTTTTCACTAATCTAAAAAAAGAAGAGGATTATATTCCAGTACAGTAAAAGGTCTACAGACTGAAAAAGCATTTGTGTGGCATTGTGGTGAAATCGAGAAACCGACATTTTTCTGCCTGTTGAGCAATTCTCATCTAATTTTTTAATTTGGGCTTAACACCTTTCACATCCATTCAAAAACACATTCTTATGTGGATCTTACTGAAAATATTGAAAAAAGGCACCAAAAATGTAAATTTGCAGTTTTCAAGGATACTCAAACTTTGGGAGTCACCAGACTTTAGCAGCGTTTTTTGTGCTAATTTTACCTCTCACGCCAAGCGACATCCCCCCCCCCTTAAATCGCAAATATCGAGTTCTATACAAGACAAAGGGGTATTTTTTTTTCATCAAAAGCAGTACAATGAAAAAACTTAAAGATGATACCATTAACTCCATATGCCCCAATATTGAAGAGCGCCTGATTTACTGTTTCATTTACTGTTATTTTTCAAGACAAATTTATGATATATATCTAAATATATGGAGCTGAAAGACTGACAAATCACTTGGTGTCTAGAGAGTTGAGTCAATTGTTCATGTTTTTCGTGTCCATATAAGTTTTCTTCAAGAAAACGTAAAGGTCATATTCAAATTATTAGCAAGTTGGTTGGTAAACTGATAGAAGATATGAATTTTTTACCTTGTACATTAAAATTCTTTTTGACCCTTGTCCCATCCATATCATTACACAGAACAGCACACAATCTGACATCATCCTTTGTAACACTGGCGGCACCAGGGATGTGTTTTGTCACCAAGTTTGTATATGATATATACCAATGGTTTATAGAAATAGGTATGAAACAACCTACTTAATAAAATTCACAGATAGATGACTCTACGATAATTCGACAAATAAGCCTTGAGGAAAAAGGGTAACTTAAAATATATAGAGTTTATTAATTGTGCAATTCAATTTGAAAAAAAACCCAAAAACCCCTCCAAAGTCAAAGGAAATGTATTTATTTCTCTAGGAGAGGAAACCAACAGTTCCACTTCCTTGAAATCATGGATGCAATACAAGACAAATGTTCTATAACAGGAGGCAATAATGCCAAGTGACCATAGCCACTCAATAACATCGGAGTTGCAATAATTGACCAGCAGTAAATGACATTTACGAGAAAGCAAGTTACTGAACACATATTGCTACAAATGAGAGAGAGAGAGAGAGAGAGAGAGAGAGAGAGAGAGAGAGAGAGAGAGAGAGAGGAGGGGAGGGGAGGGGAGGGGAGGGGAGGGAGGGAGAGAGAGAGAATGCTTATGGAATGAAAGTGTTTCAGCACAAAAAATTCATTTATAATATATCCTTTCTTGTTTTGTGTATGTGTGAGCCCAAATGACCTTTGTAACAACACTGCCATTGCAAAGGACCAACACAAATGTCTCCCTATGAGACGAACAAAGATTTTTACTGTCATTATACCATGGCATGGTATTGCAAGAGGAGCTCATTGTAAGGGTAAAAAATGCATCATATAAATTACGAGCACAACAGATAGCAGTCTGCCAATCTTCCCAAATAAGCCCTTTTAAGACACTTGTTCCACCTCTTAGCCCTTACTTTATCATGTTTTGTTAATCTCCCTCCTTATCAAAAGCACTTGACTACAAACTTGAGAGTATGTATGTGCAGGGATGTGAAACAAGATTGCATCAAACAACACTTAGAAAGAAAAATGCTCTTCAAAGATGATAAAACGCACAATCACAAAACACTTATTGTTTTAAAAAGAATCCGCTGATGAAAGCAATATCAAAATACACGTAAGCAAACAAAGTGATCTTGAAGGTAAAGAACTTGGTTGAGTAGACCGAATACAGAAAGAAGAAGGCAACGACAACACATCAAAGTAAAAGCTACACAAAATATGTCCCTATCTGAGCACTGATGAAGCATGCATATTGTTCCCCTGTTAAAGGAGCTGTACTTCCTACTGGTGTACAATGGGTCTATGTTATGATCAAGCTTCCGTAAAAAATGGATTAAGCTTGGAGTGGACCTGACTACTTCCATTTCATTTATCATTCAATATTCATAATAATTACAACTTTAGTTTAAATGCTCCCTCAAAAGCTAAACCCACCTCTCACAGATTCTTATATATTTACAGCATCCCAACAAAGCTTGAGTTTGAGTAAAGTAAAAAAAAAAAGAAGAGAAGCATATTCACATGACAGTTATTTAGTTTATTTAGTGCAAAGGGGGGGGGGGGGTGGCAGACAGAAACACCAGCATATTAAGAAAGAAGTAGGAACTGCTTCACCCAACAACACACTCCTATTTGCACAACAGAGCTTATTTCTCTACTCTGTGTTTTATACTTCTCAAGCCTCAACAGAACACAACCCACAACAGCTGTTCCCAAAAGTCAAAATAGCTTCATACACTATCACACCTTGTACTTTGAGGTAGCCTTATTAATCCTAATATCATTTTCCCTGTCACAGGACCATGAGCAGCACAAGTACAAAAATCAATACAGCCTATAGTATTGGTTGTGTAAACAATAGTACTGTATATAACTCTACATTTAAACTTTTCATGTTCAATAATCCTTAGAGTTCCAAGAGACTTCAGAGTTATCAACACTGTAAACCCTATGGACTAGAAAGCATGCTTGACTGAGCACTATCTTTTCCTTTCTGTTACCCAAACGGGTCATGTAAATCTAGCAGTTGACCTACGGGGCTTAAGTGCTGGTAACCTGCATGCACAGGGAATGAGGACACAATGAGTTAATATTCACTTAAACATAAAATCAAAATAACAGTCTTAATATTCAATTAAAAAGATAAGAAGTGCTTAATGAAGATAATGCTTTCATGAAATGAAAACATAAAATTCAAGCTGAAGATTAAACAGACCCAAAAAGCAAAATCATAATGGATTTGTAACTCGTTCAGCACTATCAAGATTTTTTAAAATTGACGAATCTGTATCACAGTATATAGTCCAAAGAACTCATTACTGTCAACCGTTCAACCCAAAACTGACAGCAAAAGGAATGGGAGTAAGAATTTAGAATAGCCACTTCAATCTTTTTGAAAACTATTAGTATTGGGGTATTGAGAACTGAACAAGACAGAGATTCCTTAAAAAGCTCATATTATCATAATGAAAAGTAAAAAACGTCCCGCATCCCTTCTCCTAAAAAAAGAAACTAACAGCAAACAATAAAAACAAAACAACAAAACCCCAACCAAAGCAAATACAATGAGGTCATAGTTTGAAGATGTCAAGAAAAGAAAAGAAGACCTTGAAAGGTAGAAAAAAAACATCATATCAGCCTTGTTCAGATATAAAGTGCATGCATACCTTCAGATTAAAGACGATAGTACGCACCATTTATGTCGATTGGTCAACGAGATTTGGGTAAATTCCAAATTCCAAAGATTGCTCTCTTCTTATGAACACTGATGCAACAATTTCTTCCCCATGCCCTGATTTATGTAACACAGTACACAAAGGCCTAACCCCCCCCCCCCCCTCGCAAAAAAAAAAACAACTAGAAGAGTACAACATGGCTGTGGGTTTAAAGGGACATTCAGGCTTAAGTTTTCATGGCTTGAATTGATAACAACGAATGCAAACAATAAAACTTCTACTATTAATCTCGATAGATCCAATTGCTTAAAATATTGCTCTGAAAATGACATTCTCAACTTTGTCAACCTTCTCTTCATGAACAATTTGTTGAGGAAGACTATCAAGGGAAAGAAAAAAAAAAAAATATCCATAGAAAGAGTCCTAACTGTTGAGATTACTGAAAATCATTCTTTCTGTTCATCTGTGACTTTTGAATTCATGATTTTCAAAGAAATGAGTAAATTCAAACCACTTACAAAATTTTAAAAGGCAAACTACTGCATTAGAACCCATGACACAAGGCAACTCAAGTTGCGAATTCCAAATGTTTGTGCCATATTAGGTAGGCTAAGCCATGGCCTATTATAATAGCAAGTGGCTTCTATTCTCCGGCGTCGCGCCGGTCAATAGATCGGAAGCTATTCTCCGGCGTCATGCCGCTAGTCTATTACTAATAATTTGAAAATTTTGCAAATGTCTCCCTCTGTTTGTCTTGGAAAAAAATTCCCATAACTTCACCACTTCGTGCCTCTTCCATTGATACAAACGATAGGTTTTCAGACACAAACTGCCTCAATTCCTCCAATTTAGAATTTTGTTAGGTGCTAGAAGAAACGTGTTCACCACAAAAGACGCGAGTTCATAACAAAGAGTGAGCATAAGGAGTTACATTTTCACTGTTTACAAAAAAACCCGGAGATATGACAAGAAAGTACTGAAGTCGCGAAATATCGTTAAATTTATCGAAAATTATAACAACAAGAGAAAAGTTAAACAGCAAGCTATACTATATATGACTAGACAGGGATTTTAGACACAAAATCAATTTTGTTCGTTTAAAGAAACAGAATCATTATTTTAACACTGTGGCTATTTTTACGGCGGTCACAAACTGATGACGTAAACACGTTTTCCAATCGACTTGTGTTCACTTGAGTTCCAATATGGCAGAGGCTCGGTCGATACACGTTTGGACGGAATTTGAAAGTTTCAAAGCCCTGGAAGCTGCCATCAAACAGTTTGAACAAAGTAATTTTGTGCAGGTGTATATTAGGAGCTCAAGGACAGTAGATTCAGCAAAGAAGAGGGCCCTAAAATGTACCTTTCCAGACAGTTTACAATTTACCGAAGGCACTATAAAATTAAATGTCCTCTATTAGTATTATTATAGTCATTATTCTTGACTTAAACAATTCAATGTTTTTATGCTCTTTACTTGGACCTTGTTGTGGGATTCTTTCAAACAAAATAGATCTCATTTTTATGTTTTTGTGTTTTGTTTTCCTTTCATTCCTTTCTGATGTGCTCATATTATTGCTGTCCATTTTTACGGGGAACAGCTCACCCCAAGGATGATTCTTTTTCAGATTTATATTTAGGAAAACAAATTATAGCTACGGGAATAAGAAATAATGAAGAAAGTAAATTTTGATAAGACAGAAAATATGAAAGTTGTCATGGAATGGAAACAGCACCAACATGCAAAACAAACAATAATTTTAAAAAACCGAAGGCTTCTTACTCTCTAACAAAATTGCATGAAAATTGGTGGAATGGTATACAGAAGCTACGATCAATCGTACTGAGCAAAATTTTGATATTTGAATGTAAAAAAAAAATACATTCATGTACTCTGAAATTGCATCACAATAATTAATTAATTAATCACTGTGAAAGAAAATTTTTTTTTTTACACCTATCAAAAATCTGCTCAGTGCAAAGGAAGGAGGAACATTTTAAAGGCATTCCCAAGGCGAAAAGTGATAACTCCAAAATGGCCGCTCTTCTTGTGGGTGTGGTACATGTAGTGATGTCGATGAATGAGATGATAATGCTGGCAGTGGCAATGATGATGGTAATGATAATGACGAGGAAGTGATGGTGGTGGTGATGATAAAGAGAGGGAGAATGATGATGGTGGGGAGAAGAAGGAAGAGGTGGTGGTGGTGGAGGAAGGGGGAAGGAAGAGGAAGAATAGAATAGAATGATGGTGATGATGAGGAAATGGAAAACCTATGGGGCTGTTCAAATATAATCTTAGACTTTTGGGGACTTTAAAAAAAAACCAAATTACATTTTTCTCACATTTGCCTCCAACCCCAAAGAGAAAAGAGAATGCGAGCGATACACAGAGAGAGAGAGAGAGAAAGAGAGAGAGAGGGAGAGAGGGAGGGAGGGAGAGAGAGAGAGAGAGAGAGAGAGAGAGAGAGAGAGAGAGAGGGGAGGAGGAGAGAAGTGCTAACAAAATGTATATGACATGCCCCAGTTGGTAGGAAGGAGGGAACGAGAGAAAGATAGAGTGGGAAATAGGTGGAGAGAAATAAAGACAGAGACAAACAAAGAAAAAGAGAATGCGAGCGATACACACAGAGACAGAGAGAGAGACAGAGAGAGAGAGAGAGAGAGAGAGAGAAATAGAGAGGGTGACTGCTCGATTGAAATTATGACATTGTTCTTTTCTTCAAATTGTGATTCCTCCAACTCTGAAACGGAGGAAAAACGATCGTTCATTGAAAAGACATCCGAAATCTTCATTTAGATCTAGATCTAGGCTAGCCTCGAAACTAGATCAATGATTTATGTCTGTCTATCTAGATATAGATCTAGACCTGGGCCATAGATATCTAGAAGAACCTAGGTCTACCCTGAGCCAAGAGGCGCTGAAACTTTCCGAAATCACAAAAGAGTTCCCCTACCGGGTCTGTATACTTTGTGACTTTGTTCCCGGTTACCGGGTCTGTATACACTCCCAAAAGTAAATTAATTTGGTCGTCTACAAAGATGCTACGGCTATTTAACTTTTCGAATCGAGCCGAATTACGCGGGTCGCCATTTTGTTTTGCCCGGAAGTTCTCGCGCTACTCCTCTCACTCTCTCTTTCTCTCTCCACTGCCCACAGACAAAATTGTACGCTTTTAGTAAGCTAACAGTAGTAATGGAACGTTTGTTCACGGCACAGAATTTCCGTTCTACAATTTTTCTGTTATCACAGTGTAGAATTCTGTGGTTTAGGGTGAAAGCAAAATTGGTTGGCCTAGGTCTACGCTATAACGGTGCACGCGAACCGGGTGAGAATAGCCAAAAGACTCGGCCGCACTATTCTCATCCGGGGTGAGAATAGAGGTGGCCTTCATAAAAATAAAAGTAATAGTAATAGACCGGTGGTGGCGTGACGCCGGAGAATAGCTTCCGATCTATTGACTGGCGCCACGCCGGAGAATAGCCACTTGCATTATAATATATACAATTTTCAGAGTTCTTAAACTAAACTACTAAATCTAAATAGATCTAGATCTAGATCTAAACTAAGTTGAACGGCACAGCTCCTGCTCGGCTCTGCTGTTCTTTCTACTTTCTAAACTCCTACCCAAACTAGATCTAGATCTAGATCTAGATCTAGATCTAGATTCTAGATGTACTTACGTAACCGAACAGAGCCACATCCTGATCATCTGTAAGCACAAAAACTATGTTCGGCTGTTTTGACTGTGAGACTGTCACCGACAAGGTGAAAAAAAGCAAAGCATACAATACGATAGAACTCATTTTCGAGCAGCGTCGTAGTTGACACCCGGCAGCATCCACCATCTTAAATGTTTGATCACATGATACATCACATGCTCTTGTTTTTAAAGTTTTTGTATTGCCAAATGTGCTGTTCTGAATGGAATTTATAACTAAAATGTCAGAGAGATACAATTGAAAAAATAGACTATTTTTTATCAGATATATCTAAATAGGTGCTATAAGTGTATTTTATTAAATTTAAAGGCTTAAAAGTACATACATTTTAAATATGATCTTCATTATGACAAACTAACTTGTACCTGGTCAGCTACATTGTGTTGACACGGAAGTTGTTGATAACTTCATTCAAAGGCGCTTATTTACGAAGCTTAATGTCCAATGTTGACACAAACAGATGTTACCGACAGTTCCAATGCAAGCGAATTACGATCCCTCCTCAGGAGAACTCGTTTGGCAGATCGTTTAGCAGAATGGATTGTGGTGAACAAATGGAGATTGATGGATCTACATCTTTTTCTTCGGTAACAATACCAGACATGACATCGAGATCTAGAAATCTAAATCTAGATATCTAGATCTAGACCAAAAGTATAGAGACTATCACTATTATAGTACAGTTAGATCTAATTAATGTCATAGTCATAGTCATACTCATAGATCTCCGGACTCTGGTGCCTTAGATCTAGATCTAAAATCTAGATTTAGATATCTAGACATTCTAGATCTAATCTAGATTCTAGATCTAGAGATTTCTATTAGTATTTGGGACTACAGCACTTTTTTATGAGCAGCACTACTTAGTATATTCTAGGAGAAGACTTCAGTTGCGCCGACCACTATGACTATGAGACAGAGCAGAATTGAGGGGTAGGGGTAGATCTAGGGTTAGGGTTAGGCCTCTTCTTTATTGTGTTTGATGGGGTGGTTGCTCGTTACGGAAGTCCTTCCGATTTCTAAACACTGTTACACTGCCGTAACCACCTTGAATCTAGATTACTCACCTAGAATCTAGATTCAGACATCTACTAGTCTACTACGACTAGGCCCTAGATTCTAATTATTTTCTTATCTATTAGCCTACTGCTAGAGACAAATAGATCTAGAGATTATAATGAACGTGACTTGATCTACTCATAACATTGTCATGATAATTACTGACAAGGAAGTATAAAAAGGTCGGGAGTCAGAACGAGTCATGCGAAAAGTAGCGTCAGTTGCCACCTCCTAGTGAAGTAATTGACGCTGGTGTCAATTGCCACCGAGTGAAGTGCTGTCAAATCTGAAAACAACACTCTGGCCATCTTTTTTAGCTTTCTATTCTTAACATGTGTTACAAACGCTACCCTACATTGAGTTCAGCCTAATTATATTTAACCCCTTCTCGTAAAAGTTGATAAAAGTCATAATGAGTAGTTACACACATTCCGGGGTTTGAAAGGAAATAGTAGGAGGTCAATTTCCGAATGTTTTGCACTCTAATTCTTCTTTTTACCTGTAATGTATTCAAAACTAGATCTGATCTATCTATAAAAACGTATTTTTATCAGGTAGACCTAACATCATTTTCATGCGTGTATATGGTTCTCGGGACCCGTGTCCAAGAGACAGGGGAGCAAAGAATAGGACCACTGTATCCGTACCGTGCATGCTGTAGAAGGCAAAACTAAGGTCGGTTGGGCAAAGGGTTAGCCCTTTCCTGTAAAACAAAAAACTGCTACAAAAACACCAACAGCAAAAACAACACGACCGCCAGTTCTGGAAGATGGAAAACCTTCATCACCGAAGAGAGGAGAGAAAATAGAGCGAAGAATATGGAAAAGGCATTGACATCATGGAAACAGCTAGAAAATGATGCACAGGACAGACTTCGCTGGAAAAATGTTGTTGATGGCCGCGCTCCACAGGGAGTTAAAAAGGGCAAGAGAGAGAGATCATTTTGCATAAATAAATTCTTGTCAAGCTCATTAGAAAGATTTTGTAGTAAAACGGAAGTCTTGTTTCCTGGCTATCCTTTCGAGCTCCTCATGTCTAATTTAAATAGTGGGTCTATTTACACTCTAATTTAACTAGACAAACATCTAGACTTGCAATAGTCTCTGCCTAAACGCATGGTTCTTTGGAGGGCTCCTTAGTACAGTGGGTGTTGCATTCAACGAAAAGTCGGCTACAATGAGGCAATCCTCAATCCCCGATTTTTTCCTCTATCTCTTTGTAAATGTACGTCAGCTCCAACGAGGTTGCAAACAGACAGAGAAGTCGCTTTCAACGAGGTCGCAATAACCAATCAAACCCTCCTAATTAGGACTGGTATTGTATCTTTTCGTGTCTTTTCGCATTTTTTCTTTTTAACGGCGCTCGCAACTGCATCATAAAAGCAAGTTATATGAGCGAGCTGGACACGCTCCCAATTTGGACTGATATTGTATCTTTGCAAGTCTTTTCCTGTCTTTTTGCTGTGTCTTTTCATGTCTTTTCATGTCTTTTCGGGTCTTTTCACATTTTAGTATGACCGGTCAGAACTAACATAGTCAAGGTCTTGACAAGTTACTAATCTGACTGATAATAATTAAATAAGCTGCGGAAAAAAATTATTTTCAAATAATAAGCTGTTGATCCAGAATGAAGGAATCCTTTAGAATTAGAATGAATTCTAGGACAGGACAGGTCTAGTCTCTTTCTAGCATAGATCTTAGTGTTTACACCCGTTCTTTGAATCAGACTGTCCAGAAGAACTAGATTTTCAGTAGATCCAGTAATAGGTCTAGATCTTGTTTTGGCGTCGGTGGCCTAATGGTTAAGCTATCGGACTGGTAATCGTGAAGTTGCCTGTTTGGGGGATCGAGCCGCAGTCCCGACGTTGTGTCTTTGGGAAAGGCACTTTACATGAATTTTCCTCACTTCACCCAGGTGGGAATGGGTACCCGGCTATAGACAGCAAAAGATCTCAGTATTTTAGTGTTTTAGCGCCTATAAATGGCCGCTTGCTCTGTATGCTTCCCAGGAAGTTGAGATTGTTTCAGAATGCTCTCAGGTCTGCTGGGGTAATAGTATAGATTGTGAAGCACATAGAGCTTGCTGTTGAGCAAGGATTTGCGCTATCTATACAAATGCTATACTATTATTATCATTACAGCAGTTTTCGTAAGAAATGCCATTTAATATAATGACATGCTAACAAATGTTGGGTGTTTAAAACACACACATGATGATATGGTCCATATTTCGGGTTAACCCCATAAAATATGAAATGAATAATTGTGTCACAACGCGATGGAATCAGATGCTTGTCAATTTTTGGGCCTGTGGAGGGGTGTAATAGTTACAACAAGAAATTCACGCTTTGATTGAAGCCGGGAAAAGTATCGTGTTCACATGGCTACGTGGGCATCTGAGGAAACGATCAGATGGATCTCCTGGCGAAGGATTCCTTGTCCCTTCTGTTGGGATCAACAACGAACACTCTCCCACAAACTGACTTAATAAGTAAAAACCTAAACCTCCAGTCTGTGGGAGACTCTTTGGAAGAATTTCATTAATTTGTCTTGCTTTCGATGAAAAAAATACCAATCTATCTTGAAAGGAAGTCGAGGTAAATTTCCGATTGAAGAAGGTGGGGGTCACCTGGTTTCAGAGGTAAAATTATGGAGAAAATATCCGCCAAAGTTTGGTGGTAACTTCCATAGCTTGGGAAATGAACATTTACATCTTGTGTGCCTTTAATCAATTATTTTCAGTAAAATCCACACTGAAATGTGTTCTTAAATTTAAATATAAAACAGACATTAATGATGTTGAACCAAAAGATACGAATTCGATAAAAACTGCCAAACAGGTGGAAAAATGCTTTTTCTTCCGTTTTGTTAAATTTGACAAGAGCCTGATTTCACCACGATGCCTCACAATTGAAGTTTGAAGGAAATTAAGGGAAGTAACTCAGACTGTAATTTGTACTATGATCAGAAAATAAAATGAGTGTACTAATGTGACTAACGAATCTATTATAGTGTGGGCTGTAGGCCAAGCAGATTCACCACCACACAGCTTTTTGAGAAATCTGTATTTATTTCTGAAAAGCTATCCAACAATCTGTAGCTATTGTCTGTTAAATTTTATTTTCAGTGTAGGTGTTTTATACCCTGATGAATGCAAAATTAGATAAATTAGGAGGTGGGTCTCAATTCCACCTGTCACTGTCAGGACCAACCTCGGTTGAGAGGGATACAAAGTAAGTCCCATCAGAAAGATGGAGATGTAAACTTGATGAAAATGCTCCCTACACGAGAATGGAACTCTGATCTCATCTCCATTCACATGCATAGTCTTCACGATCAAAATTTAGAAAGGGATGAAAAAAAACTTATTCCTAAACTGTTAAAGATAGTATGGATCTATTCTCAACAGTTTGGGAGTATCAACAGCCAATGTTAGAGATTAATACTAAGAAATGAAGTCATTAAGTCGCTAATGGGTTTCACAAAGTAGTACCTTTCTGTGTTGACTGAGTGATTCATGTAACTATTCAAATGAAAATAATTTGGTCCTGGTCCACATGATGGTCTACCACTATAATGCCTTCAAACACGTCTCCCCTGACAGACCATAGTCTCTATCCTATCATAATGCTTTCTACCCATAGGGGCTGCACATAGTAATTTAAACTGTCCCTCCCTCCCCTCCCTCACCCTGATGCACTACTTTCAAGAAATTGGTCACAGAAAGAAGAAAATGTTTAGTAGTGGTTGAAGTAGATCAGTAGACCATCAAGTGCAGCTTTTGTCAGACTGGTCCAGTGGTAGACGGTCAAGTTGAACAGAAACATTTAAGTAGACTATTGGGCTATTTCATAACTTAAATGATTTGATGGATGAAGTCAAACAACTTGTTTAGCTATTTAATTACTAAAGAAGGAGTACTTCTTAGTTGGTGAAAAGTGTTCTATCATAATACTGACAGGTCATCATGTTTTTCTTTCTTTATATGTTACCTTTTCACTGTATTTTTTAATTTCAGCTGCCTACTACAGATGATTTTGTTCTTGTGAAGCCTATCAGCAAAGGCGCCTTTGGGTAAGTTCATTTTGATGAATAAAGTCAAATTACAATGAAATCACCAGTTCAGATTATTATAATGCTGTGAAAATAAAGAGAAAACTGACTGACTTTACTCTGAAATTTGTATTTTTACTCTTCTCTTCTGTGTATCACCAGTTCACATCATGTTACTGAAGGAGGCAGCGAGCATACAAATGTGAACCGCTAACTACACTCTTATAATCTTGATATAGTGTCATAATTTGAACATCTGGTTACGGATGCCTTGCTCATGATTTACTGGGTACACCACCTGGTAACATTCGTACGAATTGATCCCCATCAGTGTTAAGCATAGATTTTTAATGTAAAGGGTATTGAGAAATCAAAGTAAGCTTATAAAATGGATATTTTCACTCACTGCCTTGAGCGCCACAAAGAAATACAAAGATCACTTACTCTCAGCATTTCCTACTTCATCGTGTATCAGCTGAGATGGTTTTCATCTGAATATGTTATAATATTATTGTAAAAATGCATTTTGCTAATTAAGGCTCCAATGGTACAAAAATATGTATTTATATTTTAAAAAAGCTCCCTTTCACTTTCAACCTAGACTTTTGCTTTGATAAGAATCATTACTTTGTGTGTTAGAACATCCAAAAATAACTTGTCTGTGTCTGTGAATTTTTTTTTTCTTTTTTAAATGTCAATCCTGTCTGTGCATTGATGGATAGCCTATATTGATTACAAATGAGGGCTCAATATCAGAGCTAATTCAAGTTTCATGAATTGTAACACTGTCATATGGTGAAATTGTCTTACTTTTTAAAAATTGCTTTAAGAAAATATCGTTTTGAAAAACATTTGATGTTTTCTGATTTTACAGTGATTCAACTTTGTTTAATGTGAATTTTTAGGAAGGTGTGGCTGGGCTACAAGAAATCATGTCAGGAGCGGATGCTTGCGATTAAGGTTATGAAGAAAGTTGATTTGGTCAACAAGAATCTGATTGAACAAGGTGAGTAAGTCAGCGGTCACATCATTTTGTGATTTTGCCTGTATTGATGTTTTGTTTTACAAAATATGATGGCACATTTATGCAACTTCTGAATTTATTTATATATATATGCATACATATGTCGTAACACAAAAATTTCATCTGTATTGGGGGAATTAAAGTAAGTTTAGAAAGTGTTCTTTTTCATTTTCAATGTCTTGTTTTCTTTCTATTAACAGTGACAGCGGAGAGAGATGCTCAAGCAAGGTCAAGAAGCCCATTTGTTGTTCAGCTCTTCTACTCTCTACAGTCAAAGCAAAACATCTTTTTGGTAAGTGAACCTACAGGAAAATTGTTTATGACAGTTAGCAGAATGCTTGGCATATTGTATGCCATATTTTGAAGGTTTGAATGTTGTTGCTTCTGGTAAGATTTTTTCTTTGTTTGGGTGGTCAAGAAAGATTATTTTCAGCTTGTCTTTCAATTTATGTGTTGTATATTGGGATCGAAATTAAGAAAGAGGAAGACAACTACCCAGAGTGCTATAGTTAAACAAGATTGATATGAAACTGCTCGTTTCATTGATAATAATAATAATAGATTGCATTAATATAACGGTCTATCCTATTTGAGTATAAACTCTGAGGGCTTTACATCAATCACATGATCACTGAAAGGTAATAAAATTCATTCACGCAGGATAAGATATTTTGCAGTTACAAGATAAACTAGTTGAACCACTTAACTCTTTAAACGGGTGCTGGGAGTGTCCGGTGGTAATAACCGTGTCTGATACTAGTGATAATTGTTTCGTTTCATTTAGTGCCTGTTTTTGCTTGTTTTTTCGGAACTTTTCTCGAACCAAGTTTTTTAGTAATGACTAAGCCTTTGTTCTGCTATTTAGAAGTTGGAGGCAAACTTTGGGTTTATCATGAGACATAGTGCACCAGGTTTAGATGACTAGAAGAAAAAACTCTGGGAAACCGTGGAAAAAAACTCAGGATTTAAAGAGTTATAGAAAAACCGTTACAACCGTACTTTAAAGGTGGCACCTTTGAGTAAAATAGTCATCCCTTTTCTTTTCAAATTTTAACCCTCTGACCTTGATGTTTCCTATTTCCCCATCCCTGGGCCACTTTAAAATAGTTATCCCCATGTTTTCTATTTCCTCATCCCTAGGCCACTTTAACGTGGTTATCCCCATCCCTGGGCCACTTAAACATGGTTATCCCCAGGTACATCGATCTTATAGAGTACTGATAAGTTTGCCCTGGGCCAGATTAGCAGCCTCATGGGAGGTTGTGAAATGCCTTGGGTTGGTTTGTCAGCCTCATAGGATACTGAGAAATCGGCCCTGGGTCAATTAACCGGCTTCATGGGATGTAGAGGAATACGCCCTGGGTGTGTTTACCAGCCTTATGGGTTCAAAGGGTAAAGGACAGGGCTTTACTTAGTAAGTTGAGATTTGGTCAAAATAAAGGAGCCGATATTTAATGGTTTAATGATTAATTTCTACTTTCAGATCATGGAATATATGATTGGGGGAGATGTCAAGTCTTTGTTGATCATGCTCGGCTACTTCAGTGAGGAAATGTCTTGCTTCTATGCTGCGGAAGTCACGTTGGCTCTAGACTATCTGCACAAACGAGGCATTGTCCACAGGTATAGAAGTTTGTGCAGAAAGTTTGTCTGTTTATGCATTAAAACTAGTAATGGGTCTCATTTATTTTCTTTTAGGGAGTGCTCAGTGCACTTTTCTACAAAGATTATGTACACATTTTTTTATCACCAATGGCCGAATTCTTAAATGCATGAAGAAACTCATCTTCAACTAGGCTCTGTCTTTTTCTCCCCTACACTTCCCTGTAGAGCTGGAGTCAGTGACCCTGTCTATCCATCTGATCCTTGCTAACTTTCTCAGACATTTGTTCAAGATAACCCGGATCCTCCTTATGCAAGTCTGAGATGCATTCCATGTCTCACATTCATACAACAAGACTGACTTCACATTTGAGTTGATGTTCCTCAGCTGTTGTTCACAGCACAATATAAGCTCACTCATGCTTAATTGATTAGACTATACAGACATGCTCATTTTAACTGTGTTTTTATCTCCTACATAACATAAAGATATGTATTAACTTCTCGAATTTGAATGGGAGAAAACTTGAGCGTCATGTTTTAGATATTTGCATTAAAAGAAGATAATGGTGTGCATATAGAGAGTGCTCTTGGTAGGCCCTATTTCTCTAAAATTACTGTTATTGTGTTGATGTGCTTCTGTCCTGTAAAAAACAACCTACAAACAAATAACAATAAGGAAGCTTCATACTTGATTATAATCCCATTATTTCTGTTCACTATCCCCAGGGACTTAAAACCTGACAACATGTTGATTTCTGACTCTGGACATATCAAGTTGACTGATTTTGGCCTTTCAAAAGTGTCAATGGACTATCGTATGTGATCTTTGACATATATGCTTTATTTTTCAGTTCTATCATAACAAGCAGAAAAAATTGTAATTTGAAAAGTAAAAATAAATGTGTCAACTGTGATTAGGTGACTTTTTATTGGAAAAAAGTTGGTAGGATGTGATCCCTGATTTGGACTGTCAGTAAGTTTTGTGTGAAAGTACAGTTGAACCTGTCCAAGATTTGTCTGTCTGTCTGTCTGTCTGTCTGTCTGTCTGTCTGTCTGTCTGTCTGTCTGTCTGTCTGTCTGTCTGTCTGTCTGTATCTAAACATATATCACTCTCTATCTATTCATCTATCTAACTGATGTTCTCTCACATACAAACAGACACATCCACTCCCACATTTAAGATAAAGACTAACATAAGATTGTTCTACATTTTCTTCAGGTCCGAGCCCTCGGGCTGGTAGCATGACACCATTTGCTCGCGATCATTTGGCCCTGAGGACCCCCGGACAGATTTTGAGCTTACAGTCATCTCTTGCCTTTGTAAGTCAACATGTTTAACTTAGCTTGGCAGTAAACTACTGACTAGCAAAAAAATTGGCTCAACAGGTTTTTTGAAAGGAAAGTAGGCCAAACAAGTATCAGTCGAACCTGTGTAAGACGGCCACCCATTGTCAGGGAGAAAAGTGGCCGTATAATACAGGTGGCCGTCTTAGGCAGGACTGATCAAGATGAAGAAAACAAAACATTCCTTTCTGAGAAAACAAACTCTTCCTTTCTGAGGTTCCAACTGAAGGTAGTTGCATTGTCGTTTTTGTTATTTTTGTTGTTGATGTTGTTTTCGCTGGATTTTTTTTCTATTGTTGCTGCTTTTGTCACGGGTGACAATAAAATGAAATGTGTCAGACGAGAAAGACCAAGTGCTATGGTAAAACAAACACATGGGTCGCCACCACACGGAGAAGAGCGACGCTTCTGTCACAAGTTCATGTTGACGTCCTTTGTTACTTTGTTACAGACTGGGTAAACAGTGATCACTCATCTCACTTACGATTTGTGTATGGGTTCTGGGCGGAGCTTATGGGTTATGAGGGATCACACGCTTCCCTCCCCAGCAGCTGAAAATTAATTTTGTTACCTATTGGTCAACAGTGGGAGGGGCCTACGCAACATGATCAGTTGGAGGGACTACCTAACAACGACATGTTTTTAGATTATGACGGTTTGCCCACAACGCCAGAGGCCAATGCTTGATTTATGACAAAGCGTAATGGAGTCACTAAGGTGGCCGTCTAAGACAGGTGTTATTGCTTAGTGTGATAGGAGTTGTGTGTTAAAATATGGTGGCCGTGGCCGCGTTGGACAGGTGCCCGTTTTACTCAGTTAAATTATAGAAAAAAAACGCAAGGAGGGAAATGGAAAGTGTCTGTTTGTAGAGGTGGCCGTCAGGGCAGGTTTGACTGTATAAGTAAAAGGTACTCTGTTTATTGATAAACCAAAACTCTGTTGCTCCTAAGATTTTGTATGGGATCATAAGAGAAGAACGATTTAATCAAGAAAAATTTAGCTGTTCTTCAACTTCAAATAAAGCATGATTTTATTGCCTTTAATCTGATTTTGGAAGTGCAGTCAAATCTGCCCATATGAACATGTGTACAAATCGGACCCCCCCATGCATTAAAAAAATATAATGACACTGTCCAAGAGTATCACCTATCTAAGATGACTACTTTTCTCCTTGACAATCGATGGTCGTCTTAGACAGTTTCAACTGTATTTGACCATATCAGGTAAAAATGAAATCCTGTCGAATTCAATCGTTGTTTTGCCGGGGTAAAAAGCTCTCATACTGTAACTCTTTTATTTATGAGAGTAATCAAGTACTCCTTGATTATTGTCACACGGCTTTCGTATAATTCTCAAATGTCAACTTTTACAGAACAGGATATGCAAAAAATGGGATGAGAGTTATAGAGCTTTTTAAAAACCCCAGAATAAGTGGCAAATGAGACCAAAAAAACAAACTTTAGGGATTCATGCTGAAGACCTTTGCTTCACCTGTTATGCCTTTCCTGTTTGAAATACGACGTCACTTTGTGGCTTATTTATGCCACATGAAAACTACTCCCAATGCATTTGATTTTAGATTTTTTAAGCTTTTCTCATAACTTTATTTTGCTATCTTTTTTCTGTCAGACACTGAGCACAACCAAAAGTAATGCCTACTACCCAAAGGGGGATTCTTACTCGGACATGGATGACTCTACCAACCAATCGCAGCACCTAATGCCTCCCCACGTCTGGTCACCGAACAACAAGGGCAAGAGGAACTCTCTCTCACGCCGCATGTTGACGCCTGTAGGGAACAAGCAAGCCCTTCAGGTATTAGATCGTAAAGATGCTGTAAAAATATTTGGAAGGTTTATAGGAGTAAAACTGACCGCTGTATTGACATGTATATATTGAAGAGCGGGATGTGCTTTGGTGGACATTGTCCAGACTAATGGGAAATGTCTACGCATGCATGGGCGATGGAAAATGTTTTTGTTGTGACTTTTCTGTTTGTATTTTGGGGGGGAAAAAAAATTTCTTCTGTGTCCTTTCATGTTCTCCAGTCCTGTTTTGCCGTCTGCTCTCATCTCCATTTTCAGTCACACTAATAATGTTAGGGTAGGTAAGATCGAACCCCTAGCCTTCTTGGATATTGGCAAAAAAATTTGAAGGTCCCATGTACAAGCTGTGCTAGTTAAAGAATCCCTTGGTGGTCCTAAAATCGAAAAGTAAAATTTGGCTGCCCCTTGAGCCAAATTCAGAATTAATTTCTACCAAAACTGAAAATACTCTCGTCAATATAAGAAAAAATGTAGAGTACCTAAGAAATTGGAATGTGGCTGCCTACAAAGAAGAAAAATACAGTTGTGTCTCATACATAAAAATAAGTTGCACTACAGGTTGAAGAACCAGCAGTCAACTACCCCGGAGATGTTGTGTGGGAATGCAAAGAAGATAATAATGATGTAGATGACCACTGGAAACATCATTCTTGTGCTTTAAGTATTTAGAGACTGAGCATACTGAAGGATGTTGGGGGCAGGGGAAAACTAGAGCTATGGAAGTAATTATTTTAAGCAAAGAGATAAAAATAGTGCGGTGAAGAAATACAATTGGAGCATGTACACACACAGACAACTTTGGGTTTCTTATTCTGGTATGTATACCTTTGTCAATCCCAGACTTTTTGTACATTGTTGCTATAGATCCTGTAGACTTTTTGTTTCACATTCTGAATTTCAAGCCTCTAATTCAGGCTAGTTCTATTTTTCAGGGCTTGGCTGGTTTTGTAGTAAATTATGTCGCTTATTTCTTCTCTCACAGACCAGCAGGCTGTGCAACAGCAGTTATGGTTCCACGCCCCCTGTTCAGAGCCTGACTCCAACTCTACAGGAATCTCTTACATGGAGAAGTTCCTCAGCCAGTGAGCCCACCTCCCGGAAGGCCTGCAGTCTCTTGCAGTTGTCTTTGGCCTCCAGTGAGAACCTTTATTCCTTCTCTTATGTCATTACTACCTCCTGACTTTAAAATTATACTCAGAAATACAAATCTGTCAAATCTTTCTTTCTGTCACCTTAATTTTGTGTCTCATCTTGTATCTATTTAAACACTAATTTAAAACCGGGGCAGTGCTACTGACTGAAGTGTCTTTAGGCCATTCCCAAAGGGGGGACATTAATATGTTCTTTTGCACAGTAGAATTGTAAATGGGCTGATTCATCAATGTCATGCTCATAAAAGTGCCTGAACTGCAACAGGGAACTGCTGCTTTTTCTTTTCTAATCCTTACTATCGTCATTTTACCTCTACTTCTGTTGTATTTTAGTCACACTCTTGTCACCCGTTATTTCCGGGGTGCCTTGATAGTCGAAGCAGACTTTGTGCTGTTGAAGCTAGACAGGTGAGCAGAGTAAGCCTGATTCCCTGTAAGGGCTTCTCTGTTGACATCCACCCCTTGGCGCTCATATGACCTAATGCAGTTGCGAGCGCCGTAAAACCTCTACATAAAAAAACAACTCCCCCCTCCCCACTAATTTCTCTTTTTAACTTTGGCAATACATGTTCATCTTGTCCACCGCACATTTATTCACAAACACTTAAGCACACAAGAAGTTAACAGATTAGTTTTCTGCTGAATGCCCACTTGCATCTTGGTTTGAGTCATGGTGATACTTTTTTAAACTTAAGTTCGGGATCAGAAGCTTGCAATATCTTTTGTTGATTTCATTTGTGCATTTTGCTCCTTTAAAGAAGTCCAATTATGTTGACTTTATTCTTTTTCTTTTATTTCATGGAAACCACCCTTGAAAATATACTCTGGTCTTTTAGAATGTAAAATAAGTTCAGCTTTCATTCATGTTTACCTTTGCAGGAAAACATGACAGTACTTATGCACTTGGATCTGGTGGGAACTGCAGCACAGTGTCGCTGTCTGACATCCCCAGTGCAACAAACGCTGTTGAAATGGACATGTCTATCAATGACCACGGCAATAGTGCTTGTGATCCAGATCTAGAAAGGAGCCACGGAGATGATGTCAACTCAACTTGTAGCTCCCATAAGGTTCGGGATGGTTGCACCAACACCCAGCACCCCCCTAGTTGTGATAGTCATATCATGCCTTTATTTCGAGATGGAGAGGTGGATGATGAAACTCCAATGTTGCATCGGACTCATGATTCTGTGTGGAATTCTTACGCCGCTCGCAATCTCCGCTCCATGGCAGATGGATCTTACACTGATTCAGGGTCTCTTGGAGGCAGCTTTCTTTCTGATTCACATTCCAAATTTCTGGGCACTGTTCGTGTTGAAGAAATGGGTAAACCTTCCCCTTCCCAGCAAGTGTCAAGTGAAAGTGTTCGAAAGTCTGTAAAAAGTCAGAAAGAATCTTCCAATACAAACTCCTCGGCAATTCGTAAATTTGTGTTTTCGAAAGATGGTGTAAGTCATGGAGGTAGTAGCAGCAGCATCTCTGATTTTCCGGAAAAGATCTCTGTCACTAGTGAAAGTAGCCTCAGTGATAACGTCTTCCAAAGTTCTGACTTAAGCAAATGGTCTCTTGCCTCCTTTGAGAAGGCTCGAGGTGTGGTCTCTGGACTCGACGACTCTCTCAGCGGTGCTCGTTGTTTCTCCCAGACCCATTCCGTTGCTGCCTCGACTGACATGGATTTATCCAGTGACTTTTCTTCTCATTTTCAAGGCAGGGACAAACTTTTAGACAGCACCCGCTTGTCCATAGATTTTGGTCAGTCTCAGGTTAGTTTAGACTCGGGGCCTGAATTGAAGGACTTGAGCAAGTTGTCTGGGCTAAGCCGCATAGCTCTTCAACCTATTAATCCAGATCAGCACAGAGACAGCAAGACGCTTCCTCATTTGAAAGTTGTTCCTGGAAAACGGTCTGGGGATTTGTTAAGGAAAGAGAAAGAGCAAGCTCCCAACAGTGAAGGTTTAGCAACTCGACGGAAGTTGAGCCGTCCTGGCCTGAGGCGTGTTCTGTCAGACACGTTTGACAAATGCCTTGAGAAATCATCGAGTTCCTCATTCAGTCGATCAAAAAGTGTCCGCCAATCTCCAACTAAGGCTCGTCAAGTATCCTTGACTAGAAAGAGCAGATCAGTGGATGATGAGTCTACTTCTGATGAGGATGTTCATTTTGACAACGCTCAACGTTTCAAAAGACCATTGTCGTTTTCTTCAAGCTTTAAAAACTCTCCAGAGCGCTCCTCAGAGCTTCACTCAGGTTTGACTCCTGAGGTAGAAAAAATTAATTTTGCAGATGGCAGCATGGGGCGTCCAGCCAAAGCATTACGCTTAGACAGGGATCTTTACACCAAAAACCTCTTTGGGTCTAATTCAAACATTGAAAATTCCGAACATACTTCATCCTATTCTGGTAGTCCAGATTCAGTTCACATACAGTCCTTATTTGGTGGGAGAGAAAATATGCAGTCTGGAACTCAAGATCTTCGGAAGCAGACACTGAAGCAGCTTCAGGCCTGCAGTAATAAGGCTTTGCTCGCAGATGCTCCCTCCAGCTCGCATCTTGTTTCCTCTCACTCCAGAACTGCTCCTGCTCACACTGGTTTGACCATGGAGGTGAATGCCCTAGAGCTTGCTGACGTTGTTGCAAAGTCAAAAGATCACTCTAGAACAGATGCAGTCGACAAGGAAGATGAGCCACTGGGTGCAAATCCAAGTGCTCCTACTGAGGAAGACAGCAGCAGTGGCAGTGACCCCAGTACGAGTACAGATGGAAAGAGAGAGACGTCAGAGTCTGCTAAAGAGGAGAGCTCCGGTGATTCTGGTGATCAAGATACAAAAGCTGTTGGATCAACACTGCATAGGTCTAATGCTGTGGGGAACTTGGCGGCTTTTCCTTTGCACAGCCCCACTTCTGCGACATTGGCCATATTGCAGCCAGATGTTCCTACCGATGGTGATGCTCCACCAATATTAGACGATTTGAGACAGAAAGAAGTGAGGTTCTTTTTAGCTTCGCCTTCCTCAGGGCCAATACTAGCCTCGTCTCCTGCCCCAGGCTCTCAGTCGAGCATGATGGAGACTCAGAACAATTCAGACTTAAAACCTTTGATCTTCAAAAAAGGTGTTTCTACCCTGAACTCATCCTTTGACTCTGATGGCTGCCTAAACAACACCATAGAGACAGAGTACAACGATCCTCCATCTTTCTCATCTTCGCAAGAGAAAATGGAGAGTCACAGAAAACGTTCCCGCAGCAGTTCGCTATCTTCACATTCGGATGGTGCTGAGCTTCAGGGGGAAAATGGGAAAACCAAACCCTTGACCCCTCGTTCCACAGATGTGTCACCTTCCCTTATGTTTAAGGGCATGTCACCTGTGCCCAGGCGAAAATCGGATGATTCATCATCAGAAGAAGAGAACTTGGCAGGCCACACTGATCTGGTCAGTAAGAGTGGTCGTGTGAGCAAAGGACAAAGGATGCCCAGCATTGCTGAGGGAAAGACACTTGACTACATTGATGATCAGGCTTTTCTGAAGCCCCTGGGTGTTGAGGAAGTAAGTTGTGACAGTTACTTAGCACACAAGTGTGAATGCTATAAGTATTTTGACCAGATGAACAAAACTTAGGTGCTGATGTTTTGTTACCGTAATTAACCAATATGATCAACTGCAAAGGGTCGATAAGTTTGGTGAACAATGAGAAATATATTATGTAAATGTTCACATTTGCAAAGAAACTTTCCTAGATTTATGTGACATTTCTAAAGTGTTCTCCACCTTGATACTTTTGGTTTATATACTTAGTTGGTTTTTTTTATACATGGTTCCTTTAACTGTATTCTCTTTGAACTGGTTTCTGCAATCTGACAATTATTAGGGAATATCCACTGAAGTCAGTTTTTGAACCCATAAAATAAAACTCAGCAGAGAAAGTCCTTGCTTTTCCCTCTTATTTTTCTGCTTACTAGATTGCTCTTTTGTTATTGTCAATGTAAATTTGAACGAGTCTGCCTTGCCCTTGGCATTAAACTCTTCTGCTTTTCAGAGTCGAGTGTTGTCCAAGCATGTAAGGCATGCTGTGATCGGCACTGAGGAGAAACCTCTCGTCTCAGTGCATTCTCCACCACAAGATGCGGTATGGTTTACTGTTTCTCAAATAGGGCTGACATTTTTTTTAAAAATTGTGTTTTTTCCAGTCTGGCAAAAAGCAGAAAGTTTAACATATACACTATGAAAGAACATTTGGCGTATATCTTTTTTTTCCGGGGTATCCTCATTTGAGTACTAACTAGTCTGGGCTCTGAGAAGACTTATGGAAGATATACAGCATGTGAGTTGAATAGCTGTACTTTGCTGTGCATAGCTCTTTTTTAAAAAAGCTATGGTAAATTGATGAGGGTGTATTTATTTGAGAGAGAAATGTGGCAGTCAGTCTTAACTTTCAAGCTGCAAGTGATTACCATTGAAACAAAGGATGTTAATGTTACCTTGTCACATAATGAGTTCCACACTTAACAAGGCGAAACTAAAATTTTGTCAAAATTTATTTGTTTAATTTTAAAAAGAAGTGTGCATCGCCTTTATGAAAGTCTAATAATGAACAAAGGAATGAAAGCACTTGAGAATATCAGGTCAAAGTTCATTTTTCTTCTTTTTTTTGTTTGTATCTCAGCTCCAGGAGCAGTACATACTAAAAAAAATTGATTATAAATGGATTACAGAAATTGGGGGACTCGTGGTTTAAAAGTTATGGTGTTTGCCTCTCATTCAATAGGTCCCGGGTTAGAATCCAGACAGCGACAGAAAGTTTCTTCTCTAAAATTGTCTCCTTTCTTCTCCTTTCCTGCTCTTTAACCATGTTCTGTTGTCTGCTTTCATCCTCACTTTCTGCCTCCTTTCCCCTCCCCTTTGCCCCCTACTTTGGGCTCCCCCCACTCTTTCTGCGGCCTTTCTACTGCTACTCCTTGGCTTCTGCTTACTGCTGTCTTTCAACCACACCCCTTATCTTACGGAAGGTAAGATCTAACACTTAGCCTTCTCGGATAAGGGTGTAAAGGGCTCCTGTGCAAGCTGTGCACTTTAAAGATCCCTTGGTGCTCCTAAAGTTGATAAGAGTAGGCTTCAGCTGCCACCTCAGCAAAATTCAAAATTTTCTACCAACTGAAAGATGTTTTATGTGTCCTGTACGCTCATAATATGAGTCATATGAGTCATATGGCCTTATGCAGTGCGAATGCCGTAAAATACTTACAAAAGACCCCCAAAATTCCCAGAAATTGCAGCTTTCTTTGGATTTGCAGAAGCCTCTCGTTTCAGCCCCTGAAAAATATTTCCTTTCACAAAGTGTCACTGCTTTTATTTCCAGGGAAAAAATGTTCTCTTGAAATGCAGATTCTATCAGTGATCTTCACCTGTAATCACAATTTCCACGACAAATCTTTTTTCTTGATGTATAAATAATGTGAATAAAGCTTTAAAAAGTTTTTTTTACATTTGATCCCATTTTTTGTTTGTTTGACTGTAGATGCTTTTTGCCCCTATCAACTCAGTTCAGATCATTTAGGATGTGGGCTTTGACCCTGCCTGACTAGGTCAACTCAGACTGAGAAGGATGCAACATCCCAATGGAAAGTTGGAGATACTCGATAAAAATTCTCCCCACATGGGAACTGAACTCAGGTCATCTTTGTGCTATGACAATGTGGTTAGTTTCTACACTACATTTGCTAGTATCCTATTTGTGTTTTTTTGCTTGATAAATAATTTTTCTTAAGGTGTATTCTTACAATGGCAGCTTGCGAGCTGTTAGAATGACCTATAGTTAATATAAGGTGTCGTATGTTGCCTTTACCCTCTGCACACATCCACAGCATCTGCCGCCGTCTAAGACCCCGAAGCTGAGTGCATCACAGCACGACTTCGTGTTCCGGACGCCTGGCAACAAAGTTCACACACCGAGGCACACGCCTGGTGCTCACCTGCAGACCCCTCTGAGGACGCCCAAAAGTGTTCGCAGAGGGCCCGAGCCGCAGGGGGATGATGGGAGAATCTTGGGAACGCCGGACTATTTAGCCCCTGAAATTTTGCTTCAGAAGCCTCACAGTGAGTTTCATAATCTTTAGTTAAAAAAACAAAAACTTTTTTGTGGAAAAAAACATGCTTATTGACTGCTCAGTAGAAGATTCTTTTTTTAAAAATGGAGTTTTCTAAATCTGCTTGATTTTGTGACAGTTTTCATCCCAAATGTAAATCCTTCTGTTCATGTTTCAAATTGAGAACATATTAGATAATTGGTTTGTATAAAACATTTGTGGAGGGATTGTATTTTCAGGCTGAAGGGAGGACATAACAATTATTTCCTCTTTTTTTCTACGTATTTCCTGTATTTTGTATTTTCTGACCTGGGATATATTGTATATTTATGGCTTACTATATTTTGGAAATGAATGGTTATGGCCAAATTCAAAGTGCTTGGTGGTGTATAGGACAATAGGCATTTTTATGTTTATTGTCTTATAAAACCTTGTTTGACATAAGATGCTTTTTCGTAATACCTATTAGCACTGAGGATCATATTGTAGAAACCCATTGATGCTGTTGCAAGTAAATTTTTGTATCACAGAGAACGTAAGGTGTCTGTTGTTGAAGAAGATTTGTGTGTCAACTAAAAAATCATAAAACTTGGCTTCCACAGATAATAAGTTTGATGTTCTTGCTCATGAGATGTCAGATGTGGTTGTTGGGGAAAACGCTCATTTTTCAAGCATGTCATGAAATGGACGTTTCTTTTTCCGCAGGTTTTTCTGTTGACTGGTGGGCACTTGGAGTTTGTTTGTACGAGTTCCTCACTGGCCTTCCTCCCTTCAATGATCAGACTCCAGAAGCTGTTTTTGAAAATATTCTCAACAGAAGTAAGTGCTTTTTTTTCTCAAACTATTGTTTATCAGAGGTATCGAAACTTTGAATGGTGGCAATTTTAAAAGGTTTATCAAAATTCAGAAAAAAAATTCTTTGTATACAATGTAATATATTATCAATCTCTTACGAATTTACGTGCAAGTTTAGTTGTTGATTTTTTACCATAATGAATAGTATTATTTTACTCATTGAAATACATATCTTGCATTACACGACACCCAGTAGGAAGTTAAGTGCCTAAGATGTATATTTTCTGTTTCAGACATTGTTTGGCCTGAGGGGGAGGAAGCTCTGAGTGAAGATGCTCAGTCAGCTGTGGAGCAACTGCTGACCATGGATGTAGAGAGAAGGCCGACTGCTAAAGGTCAGGGAGGCTTTATGTCACTTTTTCAGTCTCTTGGTTAAATAACTTTGTCAACACCTAATTTATATTAAAAAATGATGTTCTTGAATTATTTATAAGTCTTTTTCCCACCCTTCATCCTTAGCTTTTAGCTTTAATAGTTTTTATCACCACAGATCAGTCTTCAGTCAAGTTTTTTGAAGTACTTGCAAATGGGTGCTGAATATTTGGTCTTAGGGATCTGCCTGGTTGTAAAACTGACAAGAACTGATTTATTTGTTCTCACAGCACTACCCTATATATGCTGAATAGAAATGAAGCACTGGCTTGTTTAAGTTTGCCTGGTTCTGTGGTTAACCCAATCTTGCGCCATAGCAGGACCATCCTGGGCTTTATTTGACAAACAGTATGTGTGGCTGCTAATGTAGTAAGATAAGGATGACCTAATCTATTACTTATGTATTGTTGCCAACATTTTGAAGAAAATTTATTTTATCTGTTGGATTAATATCTGCAGATTTGTTGTCAGAATTACAAAGTTTTTTATGAGCCCTTAGAACAAAATTTTTATTTTTTGATGATTCAGCACTTGGAGTTTGTTTATATGAGGTCCTCACTGGCCTTTCTCCTTTCAATAATTTCGACTCTGTTTCTTTAACTCACTCAGCCCTGAGGCCAAGGACCTGGTCTACTGCCTTTGCCTAGTGGCTTAAGGTGTTTTTGTAAAATCAGAAGAAAGAAAACTAGATCAACTTCCATCGCTGTAATATTTCGCACACAATTTGTTTAGTCATTACTTTGACTATTACCATTTACAGAATTTGAAAATATTTAATAATAGTCTGTGAGATATTGCCTTTTGAAAAAAGGTCGGCAACACACACTGAAAAGTGGCTCGGATGAAAGACCAAGACTCATTCTCATTTCCCACTTCGCTACCATTTGCTAAGTTATTTTCAATTGTAGGTCAAGAAAGCAACCTTTTCCCTTGTAATGGTCTGTTTCTTATAAAGAAATGGCCAGGGGTCACTTATAAAGTATAGTCTGTTCTTATTTGATGTGTGTTCACGTTATTTCTGTAGAAATTCCCATCCTAATACTGTCGGGTTCAGGGCCCAATGCAGAAGTGTGCAACTCGACTATCTCGGGCTCAAGGCTGAGTGAATTTAACAAGAGAAAATATGAGATTTTTGGTTTTATCCTTTTTTTGTACAGGTGTCAAGGCAATGCCTTTTTTCACTGCACTAGATTGGTCAAGTGTGCTACATATGGAAGCTCCTTTCGTACCCCAACCAGATGACAATATGGACACAACATACTTTGACCGTAAGTTGTGGCATCTATCACCTTTTTTGCTTCTTTTTTTGTTTTTATCTATCTTCTCTTCACTGTGTTGTGTTTGCTGTTTGGGCAGGGTTTTTTTTTGTATGCTAAATGTCAAGATAACCATTTATTTGTAGGGATAAATCACTGGATAGGTGCAGTTATGGTCAGGTACTGTACAGGCAATAACAACAATTTTCTTCATGTTGTTTCATCTTGACTTGAATTCTTATCTTTGAAAGCCTAAAAGTCCTCGTGTGTTTTTAGCATGGTAAAGAAAGCTCACATTATGTAAATGTCAATGTGCATTTTCTGAATATAATTTTGTTTGAATTTTGTATGTAAATATATAAACAACTGATTAAGACAAGGGTAATTTCGTTTTTATTCTATCTCATTTGGCTATATTTTTTTCCCCAATAGTTTGATTTGAAAATTAAATTGTTTTATTGTCATTTTAGCTGCTCATTGGATTTCATCTTTCAACCTTACTCATACTTACGTGATATGGACTTTACAGAGAAAGCCTCTGTTTTCACATATTTTAAAGAAGGAATTGAGAGTACTGGTATCCAAGTTTTAATAGCTAATAGTTGTTATTTTTTATTTTTTTTATTTGAATCTTTTTGCTTTTGTGATTTTTTCAGCAAAAAATGCTGAGATGAATCTGGTGATGTCTGCTGTGGACTTATAAGATCTGAAACAAGTTTTCCTGTACAGCAACAAAGAAGACTCTCGGCTGAGTTTGACTGACCTTTTGACTACGGGGAGTGCAATTAATATCATTTCAGTATCGTACTTTTGGGGGGTTTTTTTGCAAGTGTTTTGCTGAGTATTTTTATTGGGAATGTCGCCAGCATTCATTCAAAAAAACAAAACAACCAACACCTAAGCATAGAATTAACCTGAAGCAGGCTTAACCTGGCCTTAATGGAAAGTTGTGAGTGACTGAGTAATGCATTATGTCTGTATTATTTTTGTTGTCTACTACAGAATGTCATGACAAGTGAGAAAGTGCATCTCTCTGTCTAAAGGATTTGATTAACTTCCATTAATTACCATGGCTGCAATGGAATATGGACATAAATGTATTTTCTGGGTCTAGAGATGGTACCTTAAAATGTTTTGCTCTGGTTGTATGGAAACACTTAATGTGTCTTTGATGTTACTTTACATATTAATTTCCCCTCTATTCAGGAAACGATAAATAACTCAGTTTTGTGTACAGTTTCTTTCTTTAGTCTACAACTTTTGTTAAAACAGCATCTTCTGTGATCATACTTAAGCAGCTTAAGCATATATAGTTTTGCGATTTTTGCAGCATTATTAACTTAATCATCATGTACAATTGGAACGGTTTCTGCCAAATTTTGGTTTTGGGGATTGTTTCTCCAAAATTTTTGAGGAGAAATGTAAAGAAATGTGCCTTTGCAGAAAAAAAATGTCGAGGAATTTGAATCTTTTCTAGCATTGTGTGTACGTAAATGCTTTTTTGTGGGTCTTACTGGAGTGTGTCATCTATGTTCTGTATGATCTTAATAGTCAAGTGATGAAATGTTTTATTCTGTCATGGAAAAACCTGTGGCACTGCATATTTTTATATCTTTTAAAAAAATATTTACCTTTTGCTAAGAGTTCAATCCAAATTTTTACCGTCTTCATGATATATGGTTCAGAGTTTTAGAAACATTTTTATGAATTCATATTTTGCTATATGGTCCATATATTTTTGCAAAGATTTACAGTTGAAAGGACTTTTTTTTCTTATCTTTGATAATGTAGTGTCCACCTGTGTGAAGGTAGACCTTAGTAATTTGCCCTGACTTTGTTTTTTTCAGATGTTGATGTACTGAGTATATCAATGTAATCCCTACTTTAAAATATTCACATAATCTACATAATATTTCTCATGGTAAACTATTATCCAAGATTATTTTCTTTCGACGTGTCCATGGTTGTTTGAGTGAGTTTTGATGTTTTTGTTTTTTATGTAAACAGCAAGTGAATTTCTGCTTATGAGTGCTTGATCAAACCACTGTTCCCAACCTCTTCGAATGTGAGCTGTATGTATTTATATATCTGGTCTGTTGTGTATGCATGTACAGTGTGTGGGGAACATGCTGTGTTCCCACTGCTCTCTGTATCCTTGAGAACATATTAGTGATTGCTGGTGGAGCTGCTGAATGGACTTACTTCTCCTTTCCTATTTCTCTATCATTACTTGCCTCTTACTAAGGTTTCCCCTCGCACATTAATATATGAGGCATCATGGTGAAATCAGGCGCTCGTCAAAATAATAAAATTAAAGATAACAAATAACAGCATTTTTTTCTGCTGGTGTTGCAATTTTTATTGAATTTTTATTTTTTGGCTCAACACATTTTATCTCCATTTAATAAAAACACATTTTTGTGTCGATTTTACTGAAAAATGTTGATTAAAGGCACAAAGAAAAAAAATGTTCAGCTAGTTGGGACTCTCAAGCTGTTGAATTCTTCATGCTGTGGCTGCCATTTTCTCACTTATTTAACCCCTGAAACCAGATGACCTCACCTCCTTCAAACGCAAATATCTCAACTCCTACTGAAGATGGGTATTTCTTTCATGGAAAGAGAGACAAATTTTATAAACAAGCTTTAGGGTGATTCCAGTAACTTCATATGTCGAAAAATTAACGAGCGCTTGATTCCACCAAGTGTTGACACATATTTTACTGTCGCTGTATAGGTGTGTCTTTCTTGCAGATGGTTGGAGGGCACAAAGTCTGTGGTTGGCGGATGCTGTGGTGTGGTGTGGTGTGGTTTGCTCCTTCTTTTCTATCAAACATCTATCATCCTTTTTATATTTGTTACTCTCTTGTAACACCTCTAATCTTCAGTACTTACATTACCTTATTTTGTTGCAAGTGCTGTAAAACTTACTAAAAGTAACAGAGGGTGCAACTAGTTGTCTTTCACTCTTTTGTTTGTGCCTGTCTATCTTATTTTTCCCTCCTGCGGTAAATGACCGTTATTGTGTGGATGTGCTTCTCTTTACCATAACAAACAAATGTGTTCTCCTATTACTAGTCACTATTACATGATACAGATACAAGCCTCTCAGAATACATATATATCATTGTGTAATGTTTCGAAATGTAGTTGATATTCTGCTGGACACAACAGGTGGACCTGCCTCTGTGATGAAGTGGTTAGGTGCTTTGCTATCAAAATCATTGAACTCTCCCCTTGTTTGTAAGTAATGTTAGGGTTCCTGTTTGGTTCTCTTAGGCACAGAAATGATATCTGCCGTTTCAGTGCAGTTATAAGCTATAAAATATTTTGTCTAAGCCTTTCAAGTATTCTCATTCTTCTTTGGATTTCAGATCTGAAATTTTTGTCTCTTTAATTTCTAATTTGAATTAATATAAGCATAAGTATTTGTCATGTCGCTAGCATTTATTGTGTCACTTAGCTGTTAATGACCTCATACTTGTCAATAATGGAAATGTGTAGCAATAGTCTGTGAATGTGAAGGCATGGTATTCGAACCAGACCACCTTAGGTTCCATTTAGCAGCAGTGCTTGAGTATCATGAGAAAAAGAACTTAGAGTGCCATGAATGGGACTAAAAGAACTTAGTTTAATGTTGCACTATACTTTATTTATGACTAGGAATCACTTTCGTCTGTCTTTGCTAGAGCTTGTAGTTTGAAGATTGTATCTGTCTGGCTATCATTTTTTTTCAATAAAGATGGTATGTTCACTTCCATCGCTTTTCGTTTCTTGTTTTTATTCCTCTTACGTTGGTTTCATCTTGACCTCAGAGGTCACTGGACTTACAAGTGTAATGTTTCGAAATGTAGTTGATATTCTGCTGGACACAACAGGTGGACCTGCCTCTGTGATGAAGTGGTTAGGTGCTTTGCTGTCACATGCAGGAGACCTGAGTCAGATTCCCTAGTGGGGAGAAAATTTTTGTTATTTTGGTCTTTCTGCCAGGATGTTGTATCCCTCTCAACCCTGGTTGGCCCTGACAGGCAGTCGGAAGCCCACCGTGTAAATGATATAAATTGTGTTGATGGAGGTAAAGAAAACCACCTACTTAGAAAAAAAAATGGACAACACATGTTTAGCAAGTGATTTGCTTTTTCTGCTTCTTTTTTGCAGTTTTATCAAATTCCCTTCCTCCCCCCCTCCAGATAATCAAAAGTCATTATTACGCAGACTCATAATAAACTACAAACCAATTCCTTTAAACATAGCTAATGTTCTCTTGATAAAATGTTAAAGGTAAGGTGCAAAAGGTCCAATGCTCACGTGGTTTTCTGTCTTTCGGAAACATACACAAATCTAAGCTAACGGTTCCGGTTCCATTTTTTAGAGCAAAACAGTTTTTGTCAGTAGCTATTGTCAGGCATATGCCATATTATATTTTTATCCTTGATACTTTTTTTATACCAAAAAAAAAAGTTCCCCTTTCCTCTACCATGCTAATATCTGTCTGGAAAAGGCAAAGGCTTGAGTTATCAGTTATCTCATGGGACATGAAACACAATTATTTGCTGTAGAAGTGTTACCGTTAATTGATGTGATTTGATCTTTCACCAAGCAGTGATGATCTGCTACAGTGGTAATAAAAATACGAAAGTATGATGGTATCTCTCCACTCCATTTCCTGAAAGGAAACAGACTACAGTATAAGCCGCTTATATCGACATGCTTTGAGAAGTGTATTTGATTTCAATACAGTGGAGTCCACTTATAACGAGTCCAGAAAAAACGAGGTCTGTTATAAAGGCACTATTCTAAATCCCCGTTTTTTTCCCCTCTTTACCTTTGTAAACAAAATACTGCTATAGCGCAATCAGACACACTTGCGAGTCGGTTATATAGCGGAATATTGCTGCTGCTGTGCACATGGCATGGGCCAATTATACATAATGCTAGACCTCGCCAGTTGAGAAACTTGTTGCTGATCTTGCGAAACAAAGAATAGGAGAGCCCATGTGCGTCAACAATGAAGGCCGGAGCAACTGAGTAGGGAGGGTGTGGCATGCACAGACAAGCAGAACGCATCGCGTGATAGGCCAGTTTAGATTACCAAGGCCTGCCATGCCTCTCACTTCTCCAATGCGGGGATGGAGAGGTCACAGCAATGTGATGGATGGAGCGAATGTGTGACGTGCGCAAGCAGACAGAATGCACCACATGGTGGGGGGGGAGGGGGGGGACACAGCAGGCGAGTTAGCCCAGAGTCCTTTCTTTCTGATCGCCAACGTCGAGCTGTCAGTCCACATCGCTAGATCTAGCGCTAGAGAAAAAACCTGATTTGATTTTTGATCAAGTAAGACCTAGAGGTCATGTTGAAACAAAATCATCATCAGGGGAGATAGCAAAAGGAAAACAGAACACCAAACTCATAGATTAGGCCTACTTTACAGTTTCCCTTGAATTTATTACTGGATCCCGTATAGCGAGAATCCTGCTATAACGGACATTTTGCTTCGGCCCCCTTCCTCTCGTTATAACAGGATTCCACTGTATACAAAAATGTCGATGAAAATTATATAAAGCCAGAGAGGACAAAAAAAGGGTGGTTAGCGGTAAAAAGACAACACTACTTTTGGAAGCTGGTTGCTTCCCTTGATTCTTACATAACTACGCAGAGAAACTGACAATAGGCAGAGGGGAGGGGGTGTTGGAGTTACGGTACCGAAGACCAAGCAACGTGAGGGCACACTACACATTAGATTGGCGCAAACTTTGTTGTAGCATCCTTGTGAGGCCTGTTTATGATGGCTGCTTGCTAGGGGAAATGGAAAGGCGAGGCACTGACTCATTGCATTGACCGTGGCACTTGCCAGCAACAGACTGAGAATGGGATGGGGAAGGGGAGTGAACGATCAGGAGTGGGGGTAGGGAGGTGATGACCAGCTCGCGAGACACTCACATCTGTCAGGCACTGTACTGTGTTGGAGACTACACTGATGACTGTGTAGGCCTTACATGACCTACTAAAAGCCTGGTGTGTAGGCTAGGCTACTTGGCGGGTATGCGGACTAATGAAGAACTAATGTGTTGACCGCTAGCGTGGCCTTTTCCCCCATTTATGTTCATGGGCTTCACCAGGTAACCAGGAAGCATGTTGATAAAGCAGAGTGGGCCGAAAAAAAGTCGATATAAGAGAAATTGTTTAGTGAAGATATTGAAGGAAAAATTTCGTAATTGGAAAAATGTCGATACATCGGCTGTCGATATAATATAAGTGGATTATATACTGTATTTAAACTCTCCCATATTCTGTCTGCTATTTGGTTTCGTGTGCAGCTTTAGTTCAGCTATCATCCGAGTTCTGGAGAAAAAAACAGCTTTGCAGTCATGTCAGCTACACTTAGAGTTGACCTGAATTCTACTTCTCAGGTTTTGCATCCAGACATTATGAAAAGCATGTTACTTCATACCTTTATAAATTAAGATTCATTATTTTCCTTTTGGACCTCCCCCCCCCCCCCCCCCGCTAGAACAACTCAAATTTTCAACTTGTGGTACTGCCAATATCATGACATTCAAGATTATTTTGCTATCAAAGAGCAAGGCCCATTGACTTTCAGGCTGCTACATGATGATTTTGAAGCTACCGTGCTCTTTTATTTCATATACGTTCCAGAGAGTTTTGTCAACTTAAAAAAAAGATTATTGCAATCTGTTACTCTACAGCCCTGGTTCAGTCATCAACACTTTAAACTTGATCCATTTTGCTTCAAGTTCTGCAACATTTAAGATACCTGATAATAATCCCAGGCTGTCATTAGTCATAATTCCAGTATTGAGTCATAAAGTGACGAATGAGATGAGCACCTTGCTTCAGCATTAGCAAACCTTCATCCTTCAGGTCAGTTCACCTCATTTACAAGGAGTAAGAGTATATCACAAGGAACAACACTAGGTAAATCAAGTAAAAATAGAAAAGAATGTGTTCATTGATACTGTCTTTACAAAAAAATCACAGGCAAACACATATCTTCAGACACAAGAAATTTTATTGATTAATTTTTAAGAAGAACAAAGTCTTATCTGGAAGACATGACAGAAAACTTGCCTCTGAAACATAGACTTTCTCAACTTGTAAAGAGGGAGAGACTTCTACAAGCTACAGGACATAACTAACTTCCAGAAATTGATTCAGCCCTAAGCCCCAGTAGTTTGTATAATTTAAAGGTTTCAATCAAATTCCTAGGGAAAGTAAGAGTCTGTAAAGCACAACAAAGCCTTGAGGTTTCATGAAAAAGACTCCTGTCTATCTGCAGAATCAGTGTTAATGAGTGAAGAGAAAATGGAAACTTTATTAGTAGAAAATGAACGTAACACTCAAGAGTGATTCTTCCAAGGGAAATTCAATAAATCAAATCAAACTCTCTGGCTATATCAACCCTGTGAGGACAGAGCAAGAGCATGTTCATGGAAATAAAAGTCCTGTGCTTAAAAAACCACCCTCTAACAAATGCTCTTCTCCAACGATTAACATTCTAAATAAAAGCGGCTGCTATAATTTTCCTCATTTTTTTTTTTTTGGCCACCTTGTGAAAGTTTAAGAGGCATGAGAAGCACTGCATTTTGGAAATAGAGCAACACAGTTTAAATGTTAACATACAGTGTTAACATGGTAGGTAAATTTTGAAACTAATAGTTTGCATTGACTGGAATACCTGGATATCAAAGTTTTGAAAGGCCATATGAAGAGGGGAAAAATCAACCATGACAGACTGTATAAGATATCGTCAAACTTTATACACATAAGTTTTATTGCAATCTCGATGAATCATGGCAGTAAAAGAAGTAGCAAAATAAAGAAACAATACAAAAAAATACAGCATTCAAAAGTTGTGTTGAAGTAGGTGACTATTATCACTGAGTATTTATTCTCAAGTATGACTAAACTGGTGGAACTTTGTCAAAAACATCCAGTACAATAAGATTTACTTCACAGTACTTTCAAGAAGCTTATGCAATGGCTAAAAGAAATAATATCATAATTTAAATGATACTTCAGAGAAATGTATACTGCTTAAACACATTTAATACTTCCCATGTCAGGAACTATGTGAGTATGTATTGAAAGGAAATAAATACATAAATTACCATTTGCACAAGCAACATTTACAACAAAATGAAGAAAAATACTTTGAATTAATGCGCATGCACAAAGATCTTCATCAGAGTCCGCCACTTTATGTTACTCTTCTCTCTTTCCTTGTAAAAGATTATGAGAGAGCCAACATTCATTCGAACACATTGCAAGATCAACACTACAATCTTACGAGAAGAAGGGAGGACAATTGAGTGCATAAGTTTTAAGGCAATTCAAACAGGAACAATGCTGAAGCTTAGACAGTGTTTATTTTCAATGTAAAAAGACTTTCTACTTAAATAAAGATCAACATTGTTATATTCTTTAAAAAAATTATTTTAAAGGTAAGTAAAATTACTGAGGGGGAAACAAAATCCAAAATAAGACACCTGTATACAGACAGAGACAAATTGGTTGTCATTTTATACTGGGGAAAAAAAAAAGATGAATTCAAAACTTAAAGGCACAGTATGAGTTGAGTTTTAACAGTCTTTGCTATCTTCTTTTTCTTCACCCAAAAAAATTTTGCAGTGAAAGAGAGTTAAGAATCACACATAATTTTTGGGTTGAGATTTTGAATTTTTTTTTGTCATTTGATGATAGATTGGAGACATCAATAATGTCAAGATGAATGAAATGCTTATATACAAGAAAACAACTGACGCTCCACACAGTATATATTATGAGATTTGATTCACAGTATACAACCAACTGAAAAGAAGAAACCCAATTCAAACAACAAACTCACTGTTCTATTCGGATAATCACACTATGCCCTTTAAAATTGAAGAGTTTGTCAGTATGAAGAATGGACGATATCAAACTCCGCTAAGTCTAGAACAAGCCATATCACTGACATATATAGCTTGTACTCTGCTACACAACAAAAATCATAGATCGTACAATTCAACCAGCCATCAAAATCTGTGTAGAATAAAGAAGACTAGAAGCATCTCTTGTCAGGTTACAAAACATATATATATGCAAATGCCTGAACAGGTACAACCAGACACTAACGTACACGCATAGTCAGAAAAACTTGCATACACATACATAAGCACACATGAACCCACTCTCTCTCTCTCTCTTTTTGTATTCCTCTCTCTCTTTACATATTCTCATTAACAAACTCAGTCATGTACAAATACACAAGCAGTCTCTTTTCCTCCGTTTCATCCACTCGTGAGCATACACACACATATAACGACGTAGTCCCTTCTAAATACAAAACTTCAGAAAACAAATAAACACTAGAGGCAACAATTTATCGGGTACAATACTGGTACTCATCTTTTGATAATGTATCTCATTCACTCTATGACGGTTCTTTTTTTCCACAAATTACGGTATTAGGCAGTTGCATTTCACATACATAACATATGAAAGTCTGATTTGTAACAGAATTAAAATCTGTCAGTAAAAATCAAAACCTCTAAAATCTTGGCAGTTCATCATTGGGATAACATTCCTCAGAACTTACCAACGTGACTTCCTCCCATCTCTTATGACTTACCATCAGCATTGATCTAATCAATGTTGAACAAAACGATAAGCTATACATTATTATTTAATCTTTCTGAACGCAGGTGTTTCAACTGTCACTGTCTCTTTTGGCATCATACACATAACACGTTGTCACGTGACCAAGGCACTCAGCTGTTAGAAATTCAAAAGAAAACAAAAGGGAAAGGTACAACAGGACGAACAAATAAACTCCGAAAAACTGAGAACAACACCTCAACGGATCCAAACTAAGGGATGTTAGATGATCATTTACTCTTTCGCCTATGTCATTTGCTCTCTCAACCTTTCAAGGGATTGAAGAATAAAAAAAACAACCCAAAAACAAAAACAAAACGCTGACCACTTGAATAACTATGGCTCTCTATCTCCATGACAATAAGGTGGCCAGGATCAGCTGCATGAAAATAGCCAATATGGCAGACTTGCTCATAGAGGTAGCTCCATTTTCTTTGTCAGGATCCGAGACAGCTGTGAACAAAAAAAAAAGAAAAAGAATAATAACAAACAATAAAAATTTCATTTCTATAGTGAATATCCAAGCTCTACAGCATGCTCTATGCGCTTTACAACCAGTATTACCCACCAGACCCAAGAACACTCAGAAACATTCTCGTCTTTGCGGTAAGTATATAGTGTTAACTGCTGATTGCTGCCCTCAAACACTTACAACCTGTCAAGCACTTTCGCCGTCTGTAGCCGTTGAAGTGAGGAAAATTTGTGTAAGGCGCCTCTTCTGAAGGCTACAACGTCGAACCCCTGATGGGATTTGAACTCATGACCTTATGGTTGCAAGCCCAAGAGCCTGACCAACGATGCCACATTTGCGCTCTCAATACTTAGGAAAATTCCAATAAGCTTAAAACCAGGACAGTTCAGGAGAGGGTGATGGGTGAAACACCTAATCATAAAAACACATATTAATCAAAGAATATTTCTTTACTTTCTGCATCACAGATTAACACCATTTGATTTCATAATTCTGCATTTATAGTATAATAAAAATATTTTCTGTCATCAAAGCAACACTTGACCAAGTTCCCATTTCTTTACAAGTTGTATCGGCTATTCAATGATGACTGACGGGATATTTGGACAAAACTTTCTCACGATGATAACACTGTATTCAGTATCAATTAATTTATTTCAACTTTAAATGATCAGAACATTTGAAAGACATATGTGTCACGACGTGGTGGAATTAGGCGCTTTGTCAATTTTGGGCATGTGGAGTTATTAGTATCACCAAAACATCCATCTATCTTGAGTAGAAGTCGAAATATTTGCAATTGAAGGAGGTGGGTATAGTACGGTTTCAGAGGTAAAATCAGTGAGATCAATGGACCCCAAAGTTTGGTAACTTCTATAACTTGAGAGTCCTTTAACTCATTCGTTACGCATTATTTTCGGCTTGTGGACGAATTTTTTTCGGGAATGCGAAATGAGATGATGACTAGTGCACAGTTCAAAGGTCTTTGGGGCCACAAATTCAAATAAATATTAACATATTACGCACCGAAATTTTCAGTATGATTTGTAGAATACATCTGTAATGTTTATTTGTGAATTTTTCAACTTTGGTTTCTGTAAGAGGCGATTATGCGACACAATTTTGCTTGGATGCAGATAAAATTTGAAAATAAAAAATAAATCATCTTCGGTGAAACTGAAAAAAAAAAGTTTGCACCTAGTCAAATGATACATCAAAATAACCATAATGGAAAACTGGAAATTATTTACAAATTTGCAGTTATTTATATACATTCCATAAAATTTGCACATTTGGATTATGACATCCGAAATTTAAAAAAAATTAAAAATTTTATAATCTTGAAAAAATGGACAAAATGTAGATAATCTATTCACAGACAGAAAAAAACCACTAGTATCGTATATGGAATTATTCAGAATTGCATTTGGAATAAACCTACACATGTTTTGAGAGGTACTTTCGTGTAATTTCACACAAAAATTGTGATTTTTTTGGGAGTAAAAAATAGTTTGACAATTTAGATCAAGATCTAGATCTAGATCTAGCACAGAAAAATATTGATTTCTCAATAATAGAGCAATGGCAATTTGAGCCCAATTGTATCAATATTCTAAAGAAGAGTCCTACATTTTTTTAGTGTCCAAATTATGACATATTTTGTTGCGTAAAAGTAGTAAGACTGGGGTCTGAGCTATAATTTGAGCATCGCGATAAAACAAAGTCGCATAAACTTCGAAATTGTTTCAAAACTGAATCAAAACTTTCGATTTTCAGTGGAAACGCTTGACCCGGAAGTCAACATTATATTATGACCTTTATTTTAACACTGATGTGTGGATTGGAATAAAAATCTAAGCTAAAATTGAAGATAGGGTTTCGAGCCGCCGGGGACGGCTTAGCGTACTGACGGCACTAGCCGCGCCGCCCCCCCCACGGCTCGGCGTAGCGAATGAGTTAAAACTGAAAATTTACATATTTTGGGTCATTAATCAACGTTTTTAAGTAAAAATTACATGGGGATGGGTTTTTATATATTTGAATATAAAAGGTTTTCGAGCCAAAAAAACCAAAATTCGATAAAAATTGTCAAACTTGAGGAAAAATGCCTTTTGCTTCGGTTTCATTATTTTGATAATTGCCTGATTCATCATGATGCCTGACATATTAAGAATCATATTAAATGCAGTCATTTGAAAAAAAAAAGTACTTTATGTAAATTCTGTGACATGTGTGAGGCAGCGTGATGAAATCAGGCGCTCGTCAAAATACAGAAATCGGAGAAACAGGCATTTTCCCGTCAGTTTGAACATTTTTATCAAATTTTTATTTTTGGGCTCAACCTCTTTTATGTCCATATAAAAACACATTTCCATGCGGATTTTACTGAAAACATTGATTATAGGCACAAAATATGTCATTTTTCTGTTTTCAAGGACTCTTTAGCTATTGGAGTTACCAAACTTTGGTGGCCATTTTCCTGCTAATTTCACCACTGAAACCAGGAAACCTCACTTCCTTCAATTGCAAATATCTGGAGTTCTATTCCAGATAGAAGGATATTTATTTCATTGGAAGCAAGGCAAATAAATCAGCTTTCGGATGATACCAATTGTGGCAGTGGGTAGTGAAGGGCTCACGGGCTTGAGCCCCCCCCCCCCCCCCCAACTCTATCCCAAATTAAATGAAAGTTTCGTAACTAACAAAATAAGCAGTTGAAACCGTTATGATCACATGCAATAAACACAGTGATCAGCATTGCGGCTTGCTCGTTTGTCCAAGCACTCTTGTCACTGCTTACAACTGTAGTAAAGTAACAGCCAATCAAATGTCTTTAGGGCTCAGCAAAGGATGAGCCCATTCCAAAGCCCCTTCCATAATGAAACTCTTCTCATAAAAGGTAGCACACTGGAAAAAATAATACTGTACTGAGGGCTCACGCTCTCCTAGCCCTGACGATAAGGTGAAAGTTTATGACACACTTTCCCCCAGCGACACAGATACCTAAGCTCTTATTGGATCTTTGTTAGGTGCGTTCTACTTTCCGCGAAAACATGACCCAATCCAGCTCATCGACAGAATATGTTGAAAATACTGTGTGTTCATGTTTGTGTTTGTGCTGCTGAGATTTAATAGTTATAAATCATGTCAATTCCACTTTTAAGGCAACTTTTTCATCCAGAAGAATCCAACTCAGAACAAAGATGGAAGACAAAGGAGACTCTTCTTGTTTGAATGGTTCTCAAAATGCCGTGGCTCACCGTGACTAAAGAGAAATCAATACTGTTTAGGTCTTATTGCTTGCTCTTTAGTGGTAAAGAAGTAGAAGCAACCAAAGCCCCACCCAAATTTTGTTCCACCCACAACAGCCACTGATACCAATAACTCCACATGCCCCAAAATTGACAAGCGCCTGATTCCACCGCTTTGTGGCACATATTTAGTTTCAGTAACTGACAGGACAAATGAGCTACTTCTTCTGTCTCATCATGGGTTACTACAAGAAATTATTACAGCCTGAAAAGGAATCTACATTAAATATTAGCTAATCTTTCAAGTAAAAGGGTCTTACAGCCAGTTTCTCCCTCCTCCATCTCTTTATCGTCACCCTCTGGGTCAGCACCATCTGTCTCTGCATCAGGCTGACCACCGTAGTCGTTACCTCCATCCTTACTTCCATTAGCCTCCGGTTCGGTATCAACCTCCGGTTCACCTACAGCTGGTTCCTCTGGGTTATAATCAGTGCCTGTGCCCATATCTGAAAAAAAAAATGTAGGTGTTTTTATGCCCTCATCAACACAATGAAGATAATTTACGAGGAGTGCTTCAATCTTGCCTGTCAGGGCCATCATGGGCTGAAAGGGATGCAGTAGTCTCCGTCTAAACGCACACCATACAAATGCCACTCCGCTCAAAAGCACGACTTTGTCATCTGACGGGTTTTTTACTATATAATTTAGACGTACGGTCACTCCCTCTATACATACGCTCCGATCAGCATACACGCTGACTGGTAAAGCTTGACAAGGGAAAATTTTCACTACAACCTGCACAGTTTGCATAAGACAAGCCTAGACAACCGGATATTTGGTGAGACTGGCCCTCATGCTGAACAAAGAGAATGTTGGGCAGCATTTTCACACCCAACTTTCTACAGACACATAGGTCTAGGACTGGTCGGTAAAATATTGGGGGGTTGGGGGACTGAAACGTTTTTTGATTGGTCACTGGAAATGCATCTTTGAGAGAAGGTTTCTGTCAAGTGTTTGGGTGACTGCATGTAAAAGGTAGTATAAACACAGCCTCACGGGCACTCAGGGCCTTCCGAGCGCATGGTATCAGTCAAATCGGGGTAATTCAGATCGCTGTTTCTTTGCTCTTTCGCTATAAAACACCAAATGCTGTACACCTTGTAAATGTTCAGCTTTTCCTCATTACAATAGAGTAAGTTGTTTATATGTCCTATTATTAGGAGCTTGAGCTTCGTCAAGGAAAGAGAAGTCCCTCGCGGTCGGAACGCGTGGTCGGCCGGTTAAAAAACTGACACGTGTGCTTTCAAATGCTTCGCAGAAAGATCAATGATTAAATACTGCCTTTTATTGGCGGAGAACTATGGAGCTTTAGACGGATTTTCCTGTAATATATGTTTGACCTTTGGCATTGAAATAGAAAGCCTTTAAAAATACCGTCAAAGTTTTCAAAGATCATTTATTACACAAAATATGTATAATACAGGCTTAAAAAAGGTATTAATAGAAAGATCAGTTCATTTTCTATAAGAATTAAGTAATCGGCTTCCGCAAAGCTGGGAAAATATGTGACCCCCCAATCCCCCACGTGGGGAGCTCTCGGTACACTACAGTATAGAGACGACTCGCTCGCCGAGGGGGGCTGGTGGGGCGCCGGCCAGGTCAACGCTCTGCGGTTTTGTCGAAGTAATGACAGATCATGGGGTTTGAGGTGATAAAATACTGATTTTTATTGATATCACAGTCTTGAAAAAAATCAGGCTCCATACATATGTTATAGTGATTGTACTCTGTTAATGTGGAGATGTTTGGAGCACTTGGTACTCTTTTATTGTCTGTCAAACATGGGGTTGCAGCCAGTGAGCGACTTTAACAAATTTGATCAAATTTTAAACAGCTGCCATTTTCTTAAAAATTGACTGAGAGGTTAAAGAAAGGTACAAAAATTCTCTGGAGATATAGGCCTTTCATAAGGAACAGATACATTTGGCATACAGCTTCTTTGAAAATTTAGTTTCTGGTACCTATATATTATATGTAATGTTCAGTTAGACCTCAGCCTATGATGTCCAACACGCGAGAATGCTGTAAAACACTAGAAGATAGGCCTCTACCATATAGGATTAAAGATTGGTCTAGTAAGCCTAATCAGCTGCACTCAAAGAACTTATAATGTACTTGTTCAACGAATCACAAGAGAAAAGTTTCTCTGAATGCAGAGATCTACAATTCTGATGTCGTCCATGAATTTACGATCAGTGATTATGGTAGACTACATATCATTACATTGAGTCTCGTCTTTCTAATCTACCCCCCCACCCCTTCAACATCTTTGTATTCTTTACCACAGTCGGGGTATCCTTCACAAAACAGTCACGTGTCATCACATTATCGGCCAAAGTGATCCCAACCAAAAAGGGAGGTCACTTGAATGTCAAGGCAATGAGATGACTGCATCCCTTCCTCCCTTTGCAAAGGTTCAGGTAAACTCACAATCCGTACAAACACATGCTAAGGAGCCTACCCGAGCACCGAGCATTTAGGCGGAGACTACTGTATAACATTCCTGCAGAGAGACCGACATGCTTGATAAAAACTCTCCAAACTTGGGAATGAAACTCAAGTCTCCTGCATGTGACAGCAAAGTGCTTAACCACTGCACCATGGACGCTGGTGAGGAGAAGGTTGAAGTAAATGGTCCTGATTCATTGTTAAGGCCAATGGCTCATTTACAGTTTGAATTATACACGGGAAAGACATAGGAATGAGAGATATCTGAAAAGAATGATTTTTGTTGTCAAAATGTGAAATAATGGGTTTCTTAACTCATTTGCTACTGTACCTCAAGTGTCTTGAAATAAATCGATACACCAGGTACAGCCATTACAGCAACTTCTTGGTTTCAAGTTTCCCATGCCTTTTAGCATGTTAAGTTTCATTTTTGGGTAGTGCATAATAAGGTCATAATGATTTTTTAAAAATAGTTGCCAAAATGCCTGGCATACTTTGGATGTTGAAGTGCCTGGCAGTTAAATAAAGCAGTTGAAATGTTACCTTGTGTGGTATTTGATAATAGTGTAGTTTCTGACAATGATCATAGTTGTCACTAGTTCCTAGCTCTTTGGAAGCATGCTCTTGAGGAAGTAAGGACAAAGAAGCCACCGTAATTCAACATCGTTTAGCTTCAGTTGGGGTCAGTTGTGATTGGCAGACTCTTTCACAACACACTTACTCCCCTAGTTCTTACTTTGGACCTAATAATCTTGTCCATTTTTTTTTGTGTGCATTTTTTTTGGGTCCCATGTCCTATTTTTTTTGAGAGCCAGATGTTAGTTATGTATACAACAGAAGATTATTTATGATTATTTGGTTGAAAAAATCTCTTACAAAGTTGTTATTGCTGCTGCTGCTGTAATTGCTGCTCATAAAGAAAGATGGCTAAACATGTCCAAAAATGGGAAGATTATGATGGTGCTGATGGTATATTAAGTCACTACAGACTTGGCCTTTTTCGAGTCTATATGCACCGAAGACTGGCATTTTTGGGGGTATTTCAATCTTTCAAGCAACACCCTTCCCAAAGACATACAACCATCATTTTTACACACATAACAGATCTTAACATGTCCAACAGGACACAAAAACCAGAAAGGCAATATCTATTATGGTTTTTTAGAAATGATTTTTTGAAAATGTGCTAAAGTTTGCTGCTAGCCAACCTTTTTTGATGTAATGTCTTGTGTAAAAACCCCCCAACAAAACACACCAAGAAAAATCAACCTTAAGTGTGTCTTTTGTTGTGTTTTCTGTTTCAACATGAATAAAAAGTCCAAGCTTATGAATAGGAAAGAATCAATATGGTAATTCTTAAGTATTAGCTGTCTAATCCACTTCAGTGTGAAAAAACGGGGCTCCAGACAATTTTGCATTTGAAAGCCTAGTCTAGATCTAGAATGTTGCAAGTGCCGTAAAACTCTTACTAAAACTAAACATGTTGCCATCGTACTGACAGTGTTGCGAGAACAGACACCAGTCAGAGAAACCAAAGTAGGGCCTCAGTGTACGTAACTTTCATTCCGGCTCGATAACTCAAAAAGTTTCCAGTCAAGTCCGGTGAAACTTTGCTTGAAATGAAATAAAGGTCGGCTGCACGGTAAGAGATGGTTCACTCAGCGTTTGTACCCATACTTTGCCGAGGAAAAAACACGAAACTTGTGCTCGCAGGGGGTGCGTGAACTGTCTCTCGGGAAAATATTGGTGCTCGCAAATGCTGCCTGAAACGTTTCCAGTGAGTTAAAGTAGGTTAGATGACACTGACGACAATTTATGAAATGATGATAATGTTTGTTAGCCATTTAGTTTCTATCTTAGAGCCTACACTCAGACTGTCCTATGGGGTAGGACTCCTCTCCTCGCAAAAGCAACCAAATTTTGAAGCTAATCTTGTCAATGATTATATACACTTATTTCCAGGTGGAAACCCTCCCTTGTGAGATAACGATTAGTGAAATAATTTTCCCCTTGGTTGGGGGCTTGAGGGGAGGGGGGTTGATCTCAGGGAGCAAGATTGGGGAAATGAAACAATAAAAACCACCCACACTCTCTCGCAAGAGGAGGAATTATTGAAGCCATGCCATCTCCTTTAATGAAAATCATTTCTATGAATATGCTCTCTTACGTTCTCCACAGGAAAACTGTTTAGCTTGATCATGCAGGTAAGTAAGGTCATCCCTCAACTCATCCAGTCCACAGGTATCAACAGCATTTTCTGTGCATTGCAGGAGAGAATCCATCATTCTGAAAAGAAGTGGTAAACATATATCATTATACCACACATGTATTTGTGTGTCTGTGTATTTGTTAGTGAGTGTGTGAGAGTGTGTGTGTGTGTGCGTGCATGTGTGTGTGTGTGTGTGTGTGCGAGTGTGTGTGTGTGTGTGTGTGTGTGTGTGTGTGTGTGTGTGTGTGTGTGAGAGTGCGTGTGTTAGTGTGTGTGTCTGTAGATTGGTATTCTTCGGTAAAAAATAAAAAGAGACAAACTTTCGTACCATTCTTTTACTTTTCATCCTTTTGGCCTCACTTCTTAAATAATGTCAGAATGTGCTTGTGGCTTTACCAACTTCTGACACAGTATTTTTTTAATAGTAAAAAAGTCTATTTGATGTCCATCCTCGACAGAATAATGGAAGAGAAACAACATTGTCCTTCTCAAAAATTGATGTAGGCCTACAATTAGAATTTAGGTTGAGGTCTGAGCCAGTTGGTCACTTTGGGCAGCACACAAAAAGCTAAGTGTTGTTTTCTAACTGGCAGTTTTATTTCTATAAAACAGAAAAGTGACATGACAATAATATTCAGTGAAGACAAAGTATGAAAATCTGAGTAAAAAAATCCCAGTGTGATTCAACACACTAAGGCATTGAGGAAGGAAGAGCAAAATCCAGAGCATTGTTGAATCAACAACAACAACAACAACAGCTACAACAAGAACAATAACAGAGTCAGGGGAATATTTCTACCTTTCTCCTTACTTTCTTTGATATTACAAAATGTACTACTACTAAATTTTTCTTAATAATTCGTTATGGATATCTTTTGTCACTGTGTCGTCCTCTCCCAACCCTATAGGCTATTTTCTCAAGCTTTTTAGATGTTATTATTACTGACAGATGCAACATTTCAAAAACTTACCTGCACCAGTATGTGGAGTTATCACCAGCAACCTGAGTAAATTTGAGATCACAGCTGACAATCTGATCACAAGAAGCAATGGAGTTGCTGCCCATGATCACTGTGGAGCAAATTGAATAATTCCTCATGAACGCAGAATAATATGATTTTATAACTACAAGGTAGTTATGGTTTAATCTCCTTCAAAAAAGCCTTTAAACGAGGGGAAAAAAATAAACTTGGGCCTACAATATTAAAAATATTATACCTGTAGTAAGAATTTTCTTGAAGCAGCATGTCAATTAGAAGAAAAATCATTATTTTGATTTCTTGACTAATATTAAGAATGAAGTCAACATTTTTAGCAAAAATACTTTTTACTTTGCAACCTCCTATCCTTTCATATCCTTATACTGGGCTCAAAAGCAGTAGCGTTATCTAGTTGGCATAAGGCTACAGAACTGAAATAATTTTTTAATACCTTTGATAAGTCCTACCATTGATGATAATAAACGCATTTTTGGCGGATTTATAATAAAACCATTATGAATCAGGGCTTTGTCTTTTTAGCTGTAAAATGCTAAGACATCTCTCCCCCCCCCTCTCTCCACTGTTTCACAAGTATGGAGAGTAGAACAGACACATAATAATAAATAACTTCCAAAACAAGGTGCCAATCTGTTATAGATTTACTTTCTGGCAAATGAAAAAAAATCAAATGCCTGCCTATTCGGAGGATAGCAAATCTTGTAAAGTGTCTTTCTGAAGAATGCAAGGTATGGATCAGCTCATACCAGAAGATAAACTAACAGCCACTGAACTTCTGATCTAGCAATCTAACCAAGGTACCACAAGGATGAAGCGTGTAACAAAATACTTACAGCCATCACAATACTCTTCAAACCACGTTCCAATGCTTGACAGACTTGGCTTCATGTCACCAGGAGAAGTCATTGACACATTGCAGTCCAGCAGAGTTTGGTCGACACATCGCAGGAACGAATCAATATCCCTTAGAGAGAGGACAGATGAACCTTATTAGTTCGAGAAGAGATGTTTGTTCTTGAAAAAGCAGGTTAGAACAATCCAAGCAGAATATAATGAAAGATAATTTCTCAAGCAAAATGTACACTTTTTGGGATGTACAGTCAAACCTGTTCACAATGATCAGAGAAAAAAGTGTGCCTCAAAGACAGGTGGCTGTTACAGACACAGTCTGATTTATGGTCATTTATGAAACATGTAAAAATGAATTCTCATAAGATACATCACCAACACATAGACTGAGGCAAAATATTCCTATCTGCATTACCAACTTTGTACGTTTTGTGGGTTTGAAGGCTTGGGACTTTTTAAACTATCATTTTCAATTGTTCCAAATTTTTGTTTGTTTTGGCCACATGTTTGTTGTTTGAGTTTTGTTTTGTGATTGTACAAGTCAAATTCATGAAGTGAGACTTGACAAAGTCAACAGATGGTTTAAAATCTGAAATCTTAATTAATTTTTTCTTTTTCTTTTAAAATTATTTTAAAATTAATTTTATTCTTTTTAATTTCAAATCATTTAACTTCAGACAAAATTGAACAAAAAATACAGCCAACTGACTCAGTCACCCCCAGTATAGCCATGATTTGTAAAACATAAAAACACAGGAGAAAACAAACAACCTCTAAAAAACCCTGACCTTGGCAGCCCACGGCCACTATAACACAGACATGCTGCCTGTCATATGATTATGTGGGCAAGTTCAACTGTGCTTTTATCTTGTTATTGTGTGTGTATCGGCGGGTGTGTTTGTGTGTGGTGGGGGGGGGGGGGGGGGGGGGGGGGAGGCGTTGGGGAGATTGACCGCCATGTACTCTAAGACAGCTGAGCTGTGTGAGCAGGACTTTAACTTGGAGTTGAGGCAATACTGTCAGTATTTACTCATACCTTTTAGCAATAGAGACTTTCCACTGTCATTTCTGTGACATTTTAGTATTACATCAAGTCTGCAATTTCTGCATTAGTATTTAAATTTACAAACACTGATTGGAAAAGGCTGAGACAGATTAAAAAAATTAGCCTGTAAAAATAGACTACTTACATGCAGAATGACTGGACAGGGAGACCGCTTGAGCCAGCGGAGTCATCCAAAACATTGGAGTAGATCAATTTGCATTGCTCAAGCTTGGGGCACTGAGAAGCTGAGACATAAAGAAAAGAGTACTGTACTATCTCTTCACAATGTTAGAGGACCACAGGTTCATTTTTGCTAAACAGTAAACAACAACTATCTTCAGATAATATGTATAATGTATTCAATCTGCTTTAAAATGGACTTTTCCAGAGCATACAAAAGTGCACCACCACCCCCCCCCCCAAAAAAAAAAGCAACCCACACCCCACCAATTATACTTTAATACTTTATATGAGAATATTTTTGCTTGCACATAACTAAACAAAACATATCAATAAACATATATTACAAAGAAACTATCACATGGGGTTTAAGAGACGCTTAATTCTCTCTACTTAAGTTGTGCACTCACTTATTGCCATGCAATTCTGTTCCACGTTCATCCTTGCCATCTTCACTGCATTCATTGATTCTTCACTAAGAATTCCTGTGCAAGCCTTCATAAAACGATCAGTGCACTCCTTATATTCATCGAATTTCCTGGGAAAAAAGGCATATCAATATTTGTAGAAAAGACAGAAATATACAAAAATCCATTTTTAGACATATAACAAATAAAGGGAATATCACAGGTACTCATATCTCAAGATATACTATTCAATATACACAGATGAAAACAAGAACAAAGGGAAGTAAAAAATCTTTCTATGCATCTTCCCAGTGCCTTTTCCAGCTGTTTTGCATAACCAGTTTATGAAAACAATTGAGAAAACAAAAACTTATGTTAACAACGGTATTAAAATTGTCATCACTAAGCAAGCAAACAAATTTGACAAAGTTCTAACATGACTGTGTTTCTGGGAATTATTGTCAGGGGGGAAATACTTTCTTTTTCTATTGACAGATATGTATGAAACATTGGCAGTTTTGAACCTTTAAGGTTACTATCCCTAATTAAGCATCTCCCAGCTCAAGAAAAGATTTTGTACTGACTACTTTTGCGATTACAAAGGGAAATGGGTAATTCCATCCAATTCATCACCTTATTTAATCTTAACCAGTCAGTTCATATTCTATTATTAAACATCCATCTTAATAATACTGGGAGAGCTTGTCCTTGATGCTAAAGGTCTGAAAAAGAAATACTGACCCGCAAGCCTCAAAATATTGAAATGGTCACAACACTGCCATGCACATATTCATGCCTTAACAACTTCTTTTCGATTTTCAGAGAAATTTCAACCTATCTGGTAAGGTTAAAGTCTACTCAAGCCACCCATTCATAAAATAAATTAAAAGCAACTTTCACACATGATGCCATGGCAACCCATGAGTGGTCCCATAGAGAGTGGTGAGATCCTGAATATGCATAGTTGGTCTGACTGGAGGGTTCTAGAGAACCTTTGGTAATTGGGTTGACCCTATCTGTACGCCTCAGGTCATTTTGTACCCCAGGGGTTGTATTCTTCTCATTTTTAGTATACTTCTAGTGCGAAGATCTCTTTGAAACTCTCAGTATTTCTAAAAAGAAATGTGAGGTGTGCAGACAAAATGAGTTACTTCTCCGATTTTAGCCTTATGGAAATTGATACATCAACTTTATAGGTGAAGTTTGTACAATTTGCAAGTATGAAATGATCAAAGACACGGTAGACTTGAACAAAAATGGCATCAATTAGATATCTATAAATCTGACCGCAGTGTCGATTTTGGGCCGATATCTCCATTCTTGGTCAGCGAGAAGTAACTCATTTTGTCAGCACACCTCACAAATGGTTTTGACAGACTTGTATGCAAAGCGTACGGATCGGATTAACAAGTAAATTTCCTCTTTGGAACCAAAGAGGTGGCACTCGTCGTATGGATATGATATTTAAAAAAACGACATATGAAAAGGGTCAAGGTAATGATGCACTCTTGGAATTTTATAAGATTTTAAATTCTTTATTGTCCCAGTTCTCTTTTATAATAAGGTATCAATAAAAGAATTTAAATTATCTGACAAGGGAGAGCTATTCAAAGGCCTAACTACACTGCATTTCATACTCACTTGCACACAACAGTGGCATCGGTGTTAGGGGGTAGAACCTTCTGGCAGGTGTTGAGCATGGCCATGCATGTTTTATCACCAGTTGCTGAAGATAAAGTAAAAACAAAATCACTTATCAAGGATTCCAGACAAACTTCAGCCACACAAAACACTGCACACTTTAGTCTGAATGGTACAACAAATATAATTTAAATAGACAGACAAAGAGCAGTAAATATTCCCAATCTAACCAAAACACATGCCCAACATATCTGGTAACGGGTAAATATTCATTTTCACATGATACCACTTTTTACAAGTTTGTAGGTATTTGCTCTCACAATTACACAATACCCCCCCTCCCAACAAAACAAAACAACAACAACAAACAAACCCCCCAAAACAACAACCTAAACCTCCCCCTCCCAAGAAAACCCCCCAACACAAACAACAACCCTTCCCCTCCAGCAATTTAGCACTACACCACACACACACACACACACAGATGTACACACACACACACAGACACACAGACACACACACACACACATGTGCACATTCTCATACGTTCTGTTTTTAAGAACTTTGGAAAAGTAAAACTTTCTAAAAAGGAAAAGAACACTTTAACAGAGAAGGTTTATACTCTGGATATATAAAAATATCAGGAATTTAAAAGAAAAATCAGAAGAGCACAGATATTATTTGTAATACAGAAACATAAAAGTGATACTCCGCATTAAGAGTTTTAAAAGAATTCAAAACAAGTAAGTCAAAATTTCAAATATGTATGATGCTCTGTAAAAAAACACACTTTTTTCACATCAAAAAGGAGGCAGCTTTTCAGTGAAATTGACATGCATTTCAATTTTTTCTAGGGAGTGCTTAAGGTGTGGACTGATAGCGCTTTGATAAAAAATGAAATAAGTATATGAAGCTGAAATACTATTAGCATGTTTACAAAGTAGGCCTACTCTTCAATTTATTATCAAGAAACATAAACCAGTAGTAAGATGAAGCTGTTAGAATAGTTTATGGTTTTCATTGAACCAGAATAACTTTTAAAGCAATTAGATTTTTGCTTTGTTACTTACAAAAGAAAACAATCCTTATTCAATCAGTAAAGCATGATTACAGAATAAAAAAGGCCCTTCATTGCAAAAGAGGCTCTTTGTGTTCAAAGATGGTCTATAAACAAAAGAAGCTTTTAAGAACAAAAGAGGTTTCTTCAAGCAAAAGAGGATTTTAAAACAAAATATGCTTTGCTTATTGTCTAAAATAAAGAAAGCACTTTTATAGCAAAAGAACAAAACAGCCTTTTTTAAAACAAAAGACGCATTTTTCCAAAATGGCAAATGAGGCTTTCCAGAACAAAAAAAACGTCTTCTGGACTGTAGGGATCCAATCTGTTTGACTTTCCTGATGAATGTCAAAAGCATTTGTTAATTTAAAAAGCAGAATGACATAGCAGGAACTTTTCATACCTCCACCTATTTGGTCCATGTCTACCTCACCTTCTGGAAATAACATGCAGTGGATAGGGAAGATGAGAGCACAGCATCACAGATATAACCACAACAAAGTAAAACACGACAAGCAGAGAACTACCATGCATTTTCTGTGCGCAAAAGAGCTACAATACAATTATACATATAAAGAGAGTTTATGAATAATACTTTTTCGACTGCTTATAGCTGTATTTGTGAGGAAAAATACCTTTTGTATGTAAAGATGATAGAATTAAGATGATGAAGATACTTCTAAAAGAGACTATTGTGTGATTCTCGCTCCTGCAAGATAAAAAATGTTTGCTTTCCAAATTCAAGGATCAATAAAGCATAAAAATACAGCAGGCTGTGTTTTATCACTTCTACTTCTTTTTGTTTCAAATGTGTAGTTTCACATATGATCAACATGTCAAATACTGTAAGAGCTAAAAATAGGTAATATCTGTTTAACTGTGGTAACATAGTTTAGAAGCATTTAATACATTGCCTTTATCCAATTTTACCAGTTCATCCTCTTCCCTTCCCTCCCAAATCCATATACCCCTATTGAAAAGCCATCTTGCTATAACTTTTCTACTGCAAATGTTAAGGGTTCTTATCTAACAGAAATGATAGTAAAATCAGAATGTACCCAAACTTACTCGGAACTTCCTCAACTGGCTCTTTTTCTAATGTGTCTCTATAGTCTCCTTCATACACAACTACTGTCTCAAAGCCAATGTCATCCTCCTCTTCTTCCTCTCCCTTTTCACTCTGTGTCCCTTCTTCAGTGGTAGTGCCAACTTCATTTTCGGGGGCACTATCATCTTCAACAGAGGCACCAGCTTCACTTTCAGGAGCACTATTGTCTTTAGCAGAAATGCCAACTTCATTTTCAGGATCAGTATTATCTTCAACAGAAATGCCTACTTCACTTTGAAAAGTAGTATTGTCTTCTACAGAAATGCCTACTTCACTTTCGGGAGTACTATCTTCTTTAACAGAAATGCCAACCTCATTTTTAGGATCATTGTTATCTTCTTCAGCTATGACAACTTCACTTTCAGGATCACTATGATCTTCTTCAGCTATGACAACTTCACTCTCAGGATCACTGTGATCTTCTTCAGCTATGACAACTTCACTTTCAGGATCACTGTGATCTTCTTCAGCTATGACAACTTCACTTTCAGGATCACTGTGATCTTCTTCAGCTATGACAACTTCACTTTCAGGATCACTGTGATCTTCTTCAGCTATGACAACTTCACTTTCAGGATCACTATTATCTTCATCAGAAATGTCTACTTCACCTTCAGGAGTACTATTGTCTTCTACAGATATGACAATTTCCTTTTCAGGATCACTATCATCTTCAAAAGAAATGACAACTTCATTTGCAGGGGTACTATCTTCCTCAGGGGTAGCGCCAACTTCTACTTCAGAAACACTATCGTCTTCAGGGGTGCTGGGAACTTCAATTTCAGGAACAACCTGTGTTACATATTCTTCTTCATCTACAGTTTCGCTTTTTCTTTCACCCTGTGTACCCTCTTCCTTTTCTCCATCCATTACTCCTGAAATATGTTAATGTGTCATTGAATGAGTCAACTGAATGAGAAATATTTCAAAGATATGCATGTTCCAATTGATGCTTCTCTGTTTTTCTGCAATCTGTATATGCCTGTGTTTAGAAAGGCCAAAGCATGCAGCCTATGAGAATGCATTATACATAATATGTGTTTGTATATATTGTATGTGAGTGCAAAAGCTTATTTTGAGATTCTCTATCCCCCCACCCCTCCCATTCATTACAAATTCCCCTTTCCCTTTCTCTTTTTATTTCAGATTCTCTTTCCTCCTGGAAATCAATGCATGCACCTGTCAAACAGATTGATATTTCAATATTTCAAATATTCATGATGCTGAAGTTTGATCATTACATAGATGGAACGAAAACTGTATACATTTGACAAGAGTAATTTCTTTTCATGCTCATAAAAACATTACAAAACTAATCTATGAAAAGCTACTCGAAATGTCTTTTGGCTTATAAACTTGGTTTGCTAACAATCAGATATAAAGCATTTTGTACAAATATAAAAAATTGGTAATGTGCAATCTTGCCAGAAAAAGGGAAAGAAACATTGAATAAAAAACATGCACTGAAAGGAGCAAGCTTCTACGAGTATGTGCAAAGTAAAGGATTGAAAATTCCTCAAAGCTGTCACTTGAGTATTTTTAAGTTGAAAATGTATGTGCCAAATCTAAAAATGAATACAAAATTGGAAGAGCAGAAATTTATAAAGTTTCAAAAATAAATATATCTCTTGACATCATAAATATTGTTTTATATATTCTTTTTAAATGCAAAAGATTATCAGTGATGTCATAAATGAAGCCATTGAAATTTACTTTACAAAAGTAATATCATTACATAAAGTCAGATTTATATGCCCAGCAAGCACTAGACGTTGTTTGATGACATTAGAAATATGTGTATATATATATTATAATTTGTTTGCCTCCACAGAGTTTTCTTTTTTCTTTTTCTTTATCTTAGAAATGGAAAAATACCACTATTCTGCTATGAAATAATTCTATGGATTTTTACGTTTCCAGAACAACTCAAAAGAATAAGCTTGAGGTGTAGACCCATTGCCAATAACAAATAAATACAGGATAAGCATAAATGAAAAGAAGAAATACTAACAACAGCGGAAGTGACTTACTATGATATGTGGGTTATCAATCTGAAGGATGTTTGCTCATTAATCATAATCTAGTAACAGTCTGCATCCAACACATACTTATTCATATCCTCACCCTCAGCTTCTCCTGCTCCCATTTGATCTTCTCCTTTTCCTTCCTCAGGTTCTACATCCTCGCCTTCTGGTATTCCTCCAGCCACTACAATTACTCCCTCCTGATTTTCTTCTGCCTCTCCCTCTTCCTCTGTGGTCTCTTCCGCATAACCTTCTCCTCCATCTTGAGTTTCTCCTGTGGGCTCACCTTCTGCAACTACAACAACCCCTTCTCCTTTCTGACCATCATCAGGCTCTCCCGTTGGTTCAACTTCTCCTACTACAACAACATCCTCTCCTTCCTGTTTATCTTCAGCCTCTCCCTCGGGGTCACCTCCTTCTCCGACAACTACTGCTTCTCCTGTTTGATCTTCACTAGTTTCTCCTTCAGGTTCACCTTCTTCAACTACAACCTCTCCTCCTGTCTCATCACTATCGGGTTCTCCGGTAGGTTCACCCTCTGCTACAACAAACTCTTCTCCTGTCTTATCACTATCAGGTTCTCCTGTCGGCTCACTTTCTCCTACAATAACAACACCCTCTCCTTCTTGCTTATCCTCCGCCTCTCCTTCAGGTTCACCAGTCACAATAACCTCATCTCCATCTACAATTGTCCCTTCAACAATTTCTCCTTCTACCTCCTCTCCTCCAAGTCCTTCTGCAAAAGTGTTGTATATGTCATGTGATACACAGTTATGCACCAAAGAATAATTCACAGACAGGAGACACTTCAAAAGCACAAACAACAACACTTCAGATCTACCATGATTCAGTCTTGATTGGAACAAAATTTGTAAAAAGGTAAGAAGGATAGGCAGCTTAGTGGACTTCGTTCCTTTCTTACTTGTGATTTTGTAACCGTATGTTTAGGAATCTGAGACTATGCTGTAGCCAAGCTTTGAAAAAACATGTGGAAATTCACCATGACGGATTTTTCTTTTCACAAGTCACTCACTTTCATGGAGTTACAGAGATAAACAGGACTGCTTGCTTTGGGCAAAGTCAGTCAATTGCATATAAAAGTCAAAAGCAATAATCACACAGCATGGAGTACAGGAAGCAGCAAAGTGCTCAGAAGATATGAAATATGAGAGCGAAAACACACTCAAAAAGTGCTTTGTACAGATTTCTTCTTCTAACTGATGCCCTAAAAAAGAACAAAGCACCACAGCAAATCAAGTGCAATAGTCTCCAGTTGTCTTCCAAGCACACAGAAATGTAGAAGCACAAAGTACAGATCAGAAATTTTGGGCCATTGTCACAAAAAACAAATGGGAAAATAGGATGGGGTGGAAAGGGGTGGGGAGAGGGTGGTGGTAAAAGTGAATAAAACATGCAAATGTGTTTGAGGTCTTTAATGGGACAAAGAACGAAATGCTTTCCTCTCTCTCAGTTTATTACACTTTTGTTTTCAAGTTTAATCACAACTTTTGCATGCTCCGTACATAACCAATAGTTTGACAGCCTAAAAACAAAGTAAAGTTAAATTGGATAATACTTCTAACAGAACAAAGACATCATTTTTTACAGATGTGAAATGTTCCATCACTCAAAATGGCTGGATAGTTGCTGTTTGAAAATCAGATGGGTCAAGGGAGAGAGGCATCCCTGCCCTAATCATTAATGCAACAAAATCTCAACGGTCCTGAAGAATCTACAGAACTGACCTCATGACATTTAACAATATGAAAAGATTACTTAAATAATGGCACTGTAAACACATTATTTTATAGGCTGCCATATAAAAGTTAAAAAAAACCCTCTTAACTTTGAAGGAATGCCCCCTCCCCCCCCCCATACGAAAAAACCCCTATGCCATTTTGTAAACTTGCGAAAGTAAAAATTGAGTCAGAAAAAGAGTAGAGAGAAGCAATTTGTCTGCTTATTATTGAACATATTTCCAATCAGTATGGGGAAAGATGTGATTTGAACTGGAGACTATTGCACGGTTAACCAAACATAATGATTGAAATTGATGCACAATGTTCTTAGCAACTGTTGTAGGAACATGTACAGCAATATTTCTTTTCTGAATCTCCTACCTCACTGCATAAGTCAAAAAGCACACAAGCTAAAATACTGTTGTCAATCAGAACAATAAGGAAGTCTCTTTATCTATCACATGTAACAACTGACTATTATATAGCAATTATCATTTTAAGATATATTACAACAATATAGGAGAGGTATGAACAGAAGAAAACAAAACAGAATAAACTAGATCGCTAAAGAACATAGAACATTAAACCACTGCAAAAGACCAGAAGATATACAGAGCATTTAACAAACTGCATCCTTGTCAGCTACAAATTATAAACTGACAAACATGCTCAAAGTCAAAGAGACAGAGTGCACTTGTCTAGACATGGAAATATCACATGGAATCAGAAGTCTATCAAATTCATCACAAACTTTTATAAGAAATGTCACACAGATTAAACAAAAAACCATAGTCATATGATGCGTGAAGAAAAGGCTAAGTATGTTTACATGCTACAGTTACTTAAGAATATGTTGCATAATTACAAAAAAGTATAGTCCTGCTACACTTCACTACCATTCACCATCTATGAACTTGATGGAACATAAACCAGTCCCTCTTTGGTTATATTTTTCGTTCGCAAATTAGCCTTGATGGATTAAAAATTATTCCATTATTGTCCATATCCAAGAATATTTTCAGTTAACTAAATTTCTCACAAGAGAGTATACAATGAGAGTGTTTCATATCAAAATACTTCTGTTTAATGAAAAGGATCAGATACTCCATTTTATCAAAGACAAAGCTGTGACAATGATTAACTCAATAACAGTGTTCATATTATGGGTGAGATACACATGACTATCCATTCAAAGAGCAAAGCTATCTCTCAAAATCATCTTACTAAGAACCCTACTTTTCCTACAGGTATCCATCTCAACCATTCCCAGCTATCACCCCCACACAAACTTCACTCATCCAAATAAATCGATAAGCCCCTACACCCCCCCCCCCCCCCACTTACTGTGGAGTCTATAACATTATTTATTTTAATGTTGGGTATTCTTTCCATTGTTTAGTGGTATGGTTTAGTATGATATGATATGGCACAAAATGGTATGGTGGGGTATGGTAGGCTATGTATAATCTGCAGTACCTGTGAAAATCCGAGTTAACTCTTTCATACTGGTTTCGGTCGCTCATATGACCTTATGCAGTTGCGAGCGCCGTAAAGCTCTTACTAAATTAAACTAAAAGACATTTCTGTTGGTTATGTGTAAAAAAAAAACTTTGAATATCAAAGACTGGGTAGCATTCCATCAAGTTCATTGTAGATTCTACTCTATGAGTGGAGATTTGGAGTAAAATTCACTTACCTTCTGTATCAACACCACCACCACCAACAACGACTGCTCCCTCCATCGCTGGAAGATATCATATCATGGACATTATAGAAACCCCGAAAAATTTGAAGGAATAGTTTGTACAAAATCAACAGTTACGAGTGAAATTTAGTCTTTTTTACAGAGCACCAATTTATTCATAACTTTGAGCAATATTTCAACGTACAGTAAGAATAAAGTGCAGGCACAAGCCTATTTTTTCATGGTTATACTAAACTTTCAACAGGACAAAGACAACCGTTTTTGCCATGAACCCTCCGAACATTGTTGATACTATTCAATTTACGTTTCTTGACAAACAGAAAATGTTTCCAGAACTGAGGGTTGTTTGCAATGTATTTAAAACACTTTTTTCACTTGTGCATAAATGCTGTGGTCATACGCAGGCCTATACAAAAAGCCTTCAGAACTATTTCTAAATGATGAGAGGTGAACAAGAGAAATACAGATCCCAATTCTTGGGAAACAACTGACCTTCAACTTCAACCAAAATTCTTTCGCTTGATCTCCTGCCAGCCTCGTTTTGAGCAACGCACTGATAATTTCCTCCATCCTCTGGCTGAGCAGACTCAAAGATAAGGGCTCCGTTAGGCAACACATTGAGAGCCTCAACAGGTTCACCATTCTTCAGCCATGACACCTGAAAACACAAGTAAACATAAAACCTCTTGCATGGGTAAATATATAATTAACCCATGGGGATCAATTACTAATGTGACCGAACAAGCTTTCTCTTCCCTGTTGGGGGAATGCCTTATAAGCCAAAAGCTTACAAATGAATAGTACCTGCATTCCATTAACTTGTACCCCAGCAATTATTTCCTTTGGTTTATTTTTTAGAGACAGAGATGGCAGAAACAACCCACAAGCAATCATAACGTTGAAACTCCCTGTTGAATAGGAGGTCCAAAGAATTAACCAAAAAGCATGCCAAGGGGATTATTAAAAATTTCATATTGCAGATTTCAGTGTTTTTGTTTACTTGGCAATGTCAGTTTTAAATAAATATATGCAAAAATAAATGCATCATTGATTTTTAAGATGTTGCAAAGTTTTGCGCTTTGTTCGGTCTTGGTTGAAATTTTCCAGACTTGATATTTCTTGATCATGTATGTTGATTTTCTTCATATTGACAAGCTTAATGACACCCTGGTTGATTTTCATTTACACTGAGGTATGTTGAAATCAGTCCAAAGATGACCAAGTTATCTTCTCTTAACGGGATCTTCTCTTTTTTTAGACACTGTTCCCTGAAAAAAAGAAGAACAAATACCCTTCACTGAGAATTTTAGAGTCAAAACGGTTGGTGAAAGTCAAATTTTGGGGGATGTTTATTTATTTAACGAGTCAACTCTTCTCTAAAAAGATCAGAACAAGCTCAGTTCAGGATGAGGCAGAATGTAAGTTTCCTTTCTAAAGATCTTACCTTAGGCTGAGGATTTCCAATAGGGGGACGGCATTCAATGGACAAAAACTCTCCTTGCTTTACGAACTGGTTTTGAGGGGATTTCTGGAAGTTCTTCCTGATGACTACAAAGATAAGAGAAAATGAAAAACAATTAATTTTCAAAACAAACTAAATAGGAAAAGACTAAAAAAACCCAGAGATCATGGAGGCATTGCAAAAGAAATATTAATACTAGCACTGAACACGTATCGTTTCTAAAAGATACCTGCATGATAGAACACCCATACACAGCTTTCTGTCACATTCCTGACATTCGTGAGTATCAAGAAAAACAACTTTCAAGTTTATCTTATCAATAAAAGGCAATAAGCAAGAAGGAATTCACTAAATACACCTTATTCAACAAGTGAAAAAGGATTTGACTTACACAAATTCATTCATTGTAATCAGTACATGATCACTTTACAAATAATAAGATCTGATTTTCTGAGAGCACAAGAATTTATTGTCTTGGGTAAAATCTACAACTTACAAGCAATTTCAACGTATCCTTTTTGGCTGGACAAAATCTGCTTATCTTCCATCCCCGGAACAGAATAGTGAGCATAACATTGACACCAGTAGTCTTGTCCATCATCGTACTTTTCAATACGATCTCTTCGCAGCGTAATGAAAGCTTCCACAACATTCTGCATCACAATGGAGCCATCCAGCTGGACAAATTCTTCAGCTCTTTCACGAGTGGCTTTCACTTCAATATTTTCCATACCACAGGAGAAAGTGATGTAATCCACATTGTATGCTTCGCACATGACCTTGGTTGGTTTGTTTTTGATAATGTAGTAAACACTGTGCAGTTCCTGAAATAAATATATAAATGCACATATTTAATAAGTTTGATTATTTTTTAAAGAAACTGTATGGAAATATATAATGTCATAATAACTACATAAGAATGAAATTATTATTTATGTCATTATTTGATTGTCATGAATGGTAGGAAAACGCTTCACTTCACCTCAAAGTCACATAATGAATTATAAGACACTTGTTTTATGATAATTATTTGCTACCAAATGAAACTGTTGTTGCCATAAAATATTTTAAAGTAATCTCTATTTATGCCGTCTCAAGTGGCAGATGAGCAATGAATTCTTAGAGAAGGGAGAAACGTGTATTTAAGCGACAAAAGACGTCTTTGTACAAAACCAAATTGAAAACAAAGAAAAAAAGAAAGCAAAACATGATGAACATCAAAATACACCAGTACCAACTGGTGCCTTATGAATTGTTTAAAAAACAGAAAAGATGAGAACATTGTCCTTCAACCCCCCCCCCCCCCCCCCAAACTTCAATTAGCAATCCAAACCTTAGAGATGTAAGGAGTTCCAGGGGGTTTGGCCACAACATTTGAATGTTAAAATTAAAGAAACTTCCCTAAATTTTAGTATTTACAAACCCAATTCATTAAAAAATATGTTTGCTCACCAGCTAGTCTGATTGATGCTGTTTTACTGGTCCTTCGTTTCAACATGTTTTCAGCAACACATGTGTAATCCCCTTCATCTTTAGCAGAAAATCCTTTAATCATCAGACTTCCTTGCTCATTGATCATAACAGTCTCATCCTCATTCAAACGGTAGCCATCTTTAAGCCAGTACACCTGTAAGGTTGGAAAATATATTTTAACATATCATTTGTGCACAAGTGAAATGCTCTCTCTCTCTCTGTCAAAATGTGTGTGTGTGTGTCTATTGAGAGAGAAAGATAGATAGATAGAGAGAGAGAGAGAGAGAGAGAGAGAGAGAGAGAGAGAGAGAGAGAGAGAGAGAGAGAATAATGTAAAATCCAAAATGCTAATCTAAGCAATTCTTTAGAAATAAAGTATTTGAAAAAAAGAACGGTGTTTATGGTTTCCAGCTCTCATAACCAGAAATTTTTGTCCGGTACGTATTGTTTGTGAAACATGTTTGTCACACATCAGTGGAATCAGCCGCTCGTCAATTTTAGGCATATGGAGTTATTGGCATCACCATAAGGATGTTCATTTTTCTTGCTTAAGGTGAAAATATACCTTTCTATCTTGAATAGAAGTCAAGATTTACAAACAAAGGAGGTGGGGGTCGCATGTTGTCAGAGGTAAAATTAGTGAGGAAATAACAGCCAAACTTTGGTGACTTCCAAAGCTTGAGTGTCCTTAAAACCTGCAAATTTACATTCTTCTTATGCCTTTGGTCAACGTTTAAAAAAAACTAAAATCCATTAAGACATGTGTTTTTAAATAGACAAAAAAATGTCGAGCAAAGAAAAAGAAAATTAGAATAAAGTTGCCCGACGTGCAGGTTTCTTCAATTTCTTTATTTTGACAAGTGCCTGATTTTATCATAATTCCTCACATAGAAATGAAATCATTATTCTGCAGAAATTTTCATGCTGTAAACTAAAGCGTTAACATAAATGCATTTTTTTTTTCAGACTTCTGAAATTCCTTTGACTGCTTAGTGTAAAACTCCATCCTACATTACCTTTCAAAATATTGTGTGGCGGCCAGGGTCTTATACTAACCAGTCGGGTGCTCTCATGCTCTTGAGTTCACCTCTCATTCAATGGGTCCCAGATTCGCATCCAGACAGCGACGGAAAATTTTCCTCTTAAAAATTTTCTCCTTTGACCTCCTTTCCTGCTCTCTAACAATGTTTTGTCGTCTGCTTTTGTTTCCACTTTCTGCCCCCACCCCCTCACCTCCTTTGCCCCTCCTTTGGGCTCCTGACTCTTTCTGCAGCCTTTCTACTGCTAATCACTGGCTCCTTCTTACTGCTGTATTTCAGCCATACCTCTGATCTTGCGGTAGGTAAGATCTAACACTTAGCCTTCTTGGTAAGGGCGAAAATTTTGGAGGTCCCGTGTGCAAGTTTAGCACTTTAAGATCTCTTGGTGGTCCAAAATTGATAAGAGTAGGCTACAGCCACCACCCGCGCAAAATTCAAAATTTCCTACCAACTGAAAGTGTTTAAAATGTCCTGTGCATTTATATGATCTTACGCAGTTGCAAGCGCGTAAAACACTTACCCCCCCCCCCCCCCCCCCAAAAAAAGTAGTCAATTTGCTGTGAAACGTACTGTTGGCGTGGGAACTCCTGCTGGGGCTTTGCATCTCAACTCTGCATCCTCTCCTTGTTGTACATTCTGGCTTACTGGCTCCATCATAAACCTTTTCTTGAAGACTGCAGAGAGAATGAACAAATTGATTAACAATGGCATTAAGTAAACTAGAATGATTGCATCTATGCAACAAAATGGATTTGTCTATATCAATGACTTACATGTAATTCATGTGCTTTTCACTTTGAAGTCTCCTTACAAACAATGCACTTGATATTGGAAGTAAATAAAAGATAAGAACAAAAAAAGTATTGTTACACTCCAAACAGGCGATACGCCAAATGCTTGTCAGGGGTAAGACATCCTCATGTGTACAGATATATATCTTACTACATCCAGATATCAGAACACCCTAACCTCATTTGTGAAAGTATAATAATGCAAAGTAAGCTGCAGACGTCCTAACTCTTTATCTGCGAGGGGGTAACCCCACTATGCTGGGTCCTTTTTTGGTACAAAAATGTCAATAAATGGTTCATTAAATTAAAGCAAGTGAACCTATTTTAATAGTTCATCGTCTAATAAATGAACTCCAGAGTAAAAGAGACCCGTTTTCGGCTACTGTCAAAAAGTAATTTGAAGTCGAAGTCTTCGTAAAGAAATGTGCCAGGGTCGCTGCCAGTGGCTCACTAGCACTGCAGTTCTGACAGCAAGCTCTGGAGATAAAAAATTAATATGCAAACTCACAAGCAATCTGAATTGTGCCAGCTCTGCTCTCCACAAACGACCAGTCTCCAGCCTCAGCGCCCTCGGCCAGATAGTAGCCACGGCAAGTACAGCTGAAGGGGTCAGAGCCAGTCCAAGCCTCAACCTAAAAAGGTAAAGATGTACAGGGTAAAGAAGATTTTAGAATTCATTCAATCTATGAAATTGTAAGATACAATTTACAAATTTTACCTCTGTATACATAATTTTGCAATATCAAGACATTTTGTAAATCCGACCTTGACATTTTGTAAATACAATCTTTTCTATAACACAAAATCAGATTTTTTTGATACTCTCAAAGATAAATAACCACCTCTTAGATAACCTAATAGTGTTGATAGGGGCGTTAAACCCATACCATTTCACCATTTTTTTCAAAGATAAATAACAAGATGAAAACATAATTCAACTGGATGTTCCCTCATAGAAAGTGGCATCACAGGAATGTGGTAAGTTAATCAGCATCAACAATGGGGAAAAAATTAGAACTTACCTGTTCTTTGGTGATTGTCAAAGAGTTGTCTCTTATTTCTTGTTGAGAAGTTGGTTCAATTGTGAGGTATCCTGTTTTTACTGTTTCATCAACGACTTCATCATTGCACTGTGGATGATATTACTTTTGTTTAAGTGATCTTTACACAAAGCTTGAAAGATTTGTCTACTTCAAATACTTAATTTGACGTTTATATGTTGAAAACAAACCCTGCAGAATCAAAACAAATGTGGAACATTGATGACATTCAGAAGGTTGTAATATAGGCTATAACACTTTACTTAAATTATGAGACCTCAAACTGACCTTAGCATAATGGGATAACATGTTGATGAAAAATGATCACTTCAAGGAGACAGCAACTGTACACTCAATTTTTTTCAAATTCAATCTCCCAATCCTCCCTTCCCCTTTTACCCCTTGATGTCAATCTCTAAATCCTTCTGTGAAGATATTTTCAAAACACTACCATAAAGTGGGCATGTCACGGTACCCCAACTATAATAACATTAAAGGACTTACAGCAAACACCAAGCTCTTGGCAGCCACAACAGAGCAGGAGAGAGTGATGGGAAGATCATTAACAATGTAGCTGGCCTCCTTTGGCTCCATAGAGAACAAGGGCTCAGTAAGTTTGATTCTGTCAAACAGAGTAGAGGGATATATTTAATCTAATAAAGTAAAACACTGTCAGAAAACTCTGTGGGGAAAAAAAATGACAAGATTTGACAAACCAAGAAGTGAAAGGAAAGAACAAGCATTTTTAGAGAGCAGTGCAATTTAAGTACACATTGAATAGAATGGGAGTATTTGAATTACTTTTGGAAGTCTGACAGGATATTGACATAATTATCAGTGAACTGTCTAGCATTTTAAGAAAAATAATCTGTTTCAAAGATGACTTACTTGATCAATCAGTAAGATATTAAGACCATATGTGAGGCATTGTGGTGACGTTAAGCGCTCGTCAAAATAATAAAATCAAAGAAATAAGCATTTTTCTGACTGTTGGGCAATTTCTTTCTTCAAATTTTCTTTTTTTTTGGTTCAACACCTTTTATATTCATTTTAAAACACGTTTCTATGATGATTCTACTGAAAAACATTGATTAAAGGCACAAAAAATTTCAATTTTCGGCTCTCAAGCAATAGAAATTACCAAACTTTTGAGTGCCATTTTCTCGCAAAATTCACCTTTGAAACAAGGCATCTGTGGCCTCCTTCAATCACAAATATTTTGACTTCAGTACAACAAAGATGGACTTTTTTTTTCACCAAAAGCATGGCAAATGAACGGGCTTGAAGGTGATACCAGTAACCCTATCCCCAAAAATTGACGAGTGATCGATTCCAATGTGTGTGTCGTGACACATATTCCAAAATGACTGATAAAAGGAAAAAATTAACTATTTACAATCTAAAATTGTTCCACACCATCGAAATGAAAGAATGCCTTACGCAGTGTAGTCATAATAGTCACTGGTAGTGGGGTACAGATCTGTTCCATCAGTAATGTCTTCGTCGGTTGGTTCAGGAGTTGGTGTCATTGGAGTCGTTGGTGTCGTTGGTGGCAGGGTTGTAGGTTTTCCTATAAAAATTGAGAAAACAGAAATGATAAACATTAAATACCTAATTGCCTAAAACTGCTTCCAATATAGATGTAAGTCTAGATACAGCATATTTTGTCAAAGAATAAGACAACACCAAATTTTTGTTTTATAAATGTCTAAAATACAGTACTCATCACTATGTTTTAAAAATAAGATTTGAATGATACTAATGATTTGGTAAATGACGATGCTGAGCAAAGCCATTAAAAGATTTTCAAGAATTTAACATTAACGTACCCAAAAATACTGTAAAAACTAGAGATTCCTCTTCAAACTCCAAATTTCCAATGAAAAAAATTGTGTTATAAACCCAGGAGGAATAAGGGAATTAAACAGTTTAAATAACTGGAAAAAGGAGTCTTTACTTGAAGGAAGGTGAGTTTTAACCCTGCCATATCACTATTATACTTACCACGAACGGTTAGCTGCATTGGTCTGGAAACACGACTTCCAGCAGAGTTTTCTGCCACACAAGTATACATGCCCTCATCTCCCAGTCTCACATATTCAATGATCAGAGGACCCTCTTCCAGAACAATGAAGTTGCTGTCAAGTTCAGGCTTGATCTTCACCCCGTCTTTCGTCCAGTAAACCTGGTGAGAAAGAAATTCATAGTTAAACTTTTAGTTTCAAAAGAACATTTTTGTGACAGGAAGAAGCCCAACTGCAATATCTCTTTTGTTTACAGAGAAAATTGATTAACAACTCTGCTTGTTTCTGTTTACATTTCAACATTACAATAATAACCACAATTGCATTTGTACCATAAGACGACTCATTTGTTAAGATTCTTTAAAATAACACACCCATCCGATGACAAGATTATTGTTATAATTATACTTCTGGGTGGTTCAATTAATTATTAACAAAAATAAGGGCTTGCAATTTTTGGGATTTCAAAATATTGAATGGGATATCTTCAAAACTAAAAGCTGTTCCATTATTAAGCTATGACACAATACATTCACTGTTTCACAAAGATAAATTGAGGGAATAAAAGGTGTCCACTCACTGTGGGTTCAGGATATCCCTGTGGTGGCTCACAGGCTAGTTCAGCCTCACCCTCAAAGTCAACAGTCAAATCAGTAGGTTCATAGACAAAATCATCATTGATATCTGAAATTTTAAACAAAAGGGAAACATTGTTCTGTTAGCACTAAAACTGCATTTACTATAGTCAGGATGCTAAAAAGCTCATGATAAAAAACCTTTGGATGTTTCTACAAAGATTAAAAAGAGGAGCTAAAATCAAACAAACCATAATTACACTGAGCAAGTTTTGGTCTTCGAAAGACATTGAAGCTCTGAAAAAATATCTGACCTTTTTTTAAATCTCAGATTACAGAACTGCAACAATAAGGAGTCAAGTATATACTGAAATTTACCAAATAAAATGACAAATCATGAAAGTTTTGAGTTCATAATAAGCCAATACAGTATCTCTGCTCTGAATAGAATCAAAGCTCAATACAACCATTAATACGTGGGTTTTTTTTGGACACTCACAGGTTTTAGGTTCTGGTTCTCTCTCTTCTCCTTCCACCAGATTAACAAAGCCTTTGTTTCCTTGAAGCATTTGCCATTTGCCATCAGCATTCAAGTACCAAGCAGTGCACTGGCAGTAAAAGTCATCTGATGCTCCGCTCAGCACATCCTCAGTAACTTCATAGCTGGCGTACAGCAGTCTTTTTCCTGAAATATAATCAGATACAATATGCTTTTCTATGTAAAGAAATAGTATCGCACAGTTTATGAAAAAGACAACTGGAAATAAAGCCTTCACTTTGTCCTCAAAATACTACAATGAAAGATTAATTATTTTCTCTCATGCTGTATTACAAGTTCATTAAAACAGATGTGGCTGCCCTCTGAGAGGTGAAAGACATAATCATTTTTTATTCAGGTAACTCAAACTAGAAAGCATAAACCAGCCTCCAATTTCAGTGAAACAGTGTATTTGATGTTGTAATTACAGAGATATTGAGCATGACAAACATTTCAGTCCTCTCTTAGGTCCCCCCCCCCCCATAATAAGATCACTTTGTCTGACTGTAAGCTCATCCCTTAACTTTATTCTTCAACCTTAAAAACATCTGCATCCTCTCTCTCCAATATGTTTTCCTATATAATGAAGTCCATTTTGTCTGATTGTGTGCTGATGATTAAACTATTTTTATTCTTCCTAGAAAGCATGTGCAGTAATCCACTTACCAGACTCATTATCATACTGAGAGTCAGACTTCTTCAGATCCTTAGAATCAATTCTTGCCTGACCACACAGGAAAGTCAGCTGGTCAGCTGAAACAACTGAGCACACCAAAGTTGCACGGTCTCCTGAAGTAATGTCGTATTGTGGTTTCAAATCATTCAAGAACACAGGGAAGTCTGGAATCTGGTCCGGGAAAGATGGAATGGTGTCCTCCATGGATGCAACAGGAGCAGCAGTTGTTGCTGGGGCTTCAGCTATAAAAAGTGCAATAACAGAAAAACAATTAAACCATTTCTTCTTCGATCTATAAATTTTTTGAACAATTCAGTCCTCATCTCAGAGAGGAAAGGCATGGCTAAATTAACTGTTCTGACATAATTTAAAAACTTTTTAGGTTTTCAGTTCCTCTTTTTCTCATAGATAATTGTCTTTGAAATTTTCCAATAAATCCACACAAACATCTGTTCAGACTAACAACAGAAAAAAAAATGAGGACTTTTATTTATCAACTAGAAATGACAAAAAAAAAGTAAACTCTTGATGTTCACATAACTGAGTACTTTGCTATTACCCTTCTTGTGTGACATAATTTACAAGCTGTGTTTATTGTTCAAACAGGATTTATCATCTTGGAAAACTTGTTTGTTTGCCCAGCCACAATTGCTCCCTCTTTCCAGAAATGTTTTTGCGGGAAAAACAAGCATTGTTGGACTACACTGCATCCTGTGCTGGCAAACAGAACATTAATGATTCTGCTTGACATGTGGGGATGTCAGTCTGTCATTCCAGAAAAGATTGCTAAAGAGAAAAACTTGCCTGTAACAATGAGTCGTGCCCTTTTACTTTGAATCTGGTCTACAGTGTTTTCAGCTAAGCAGTTGTACACTCCGGAATCGTCATACTGTACTCTGTGAATGGTCAGGTGGCCCTTGGCATTGATGGAGTAATGATCATCGGAACGTGGGTCCAGGCGAACGCGATCCTTGAACCAGTACACCTGGCAAAGAGGACCAATCAGACAGACCGTAAGGAAAGTACAATGCCTTCAAGACCATTGCTGGGGCCCACAGGCCTTGCAATTGTGATTCTCAAAATGAAACAGATGAAACAAAATCACCACTCAACACTGCATAACAAATCCTTAAAAGCAACAACAAACAAGATTGGATGAACAGATGGGCCTTGGAAAAGACAGGCAGAGCAGTTTTCAAACTCATCACCACAACAAAACGGAATGACAATATCAACCACCTACAGAGAAAGAAACAGAACACAATCTTCCACCTACGAACAGAACATATGCAGCTCAACTTCCACTTGAATAGAATAAATCCATAACTTCCCCCAATGTGTCCTTTGAGTGACTAAATATATAAGACTGTAGATCATCATTTGTTCCACTGCACAGCCCTAAATGACATCAGAGCTACCCTTCTCCCTCCAAGACATAACATTGACAACACACTCCGTGGAACATCACCGCAACTACAGCAACCATGCAATTATCACTACATGGAACAACAACAACAACAAACAAAACCAACATCTAAACAAAAAAAGTTAGTCATTTATAGGGTTTTTAAGATTCGTTAACTTCATGTCTAATTACTATAGCTCTCACATTCAAGGGTCTGTTTAACCCATTCTCACTTGGAAATACAAGCAGAAACACCAATCTCAACTGACCATTTCATTTACCAACACTTTGACACTTGTGGAAATTGATCACAGACATAATGGGAGAAAAATGCTTTTAAAAAAACTATTGTTAGGAGAAAAACCGTTTGAATAACCCTCAAGAATTTTTCTACAAACATGTCTTGTGCACCTTCCTCTGTTCTTAAATAGCAAATTTTCTTCCTTACCCATGGGCTTGGCTGTCCCTTAGGGGGTTCGCACAGGAGAACAGCATCAGTGTTCACACCCACAGTCAGGTCAGAGGGTTCAACTTGGAATGTTCTGTCCAGGTCTGACAAAAGGAAAATATCTGCTATGACTGGCAGTACACGAAAGATGTGACAAAAATTAATAAAAGCTGAAGAAAAATTGTAATTCAACATAAAATAAAGATATTTCTTTGCATACTCGGATGCAGGTAGCAGAATATAAAAAGTGTAATGAAGTTAAACAGAGTGGATGGGCACAACCTCCCATCCTTTACTGTTGTGGTTCATTCATTCAGAGTTCCCCGCTCGAGATAGAACACTAGGTAACAGGGACAAAAAACAAACATAGTGACAATAAAAACCACACCTCCAAATCAAAAAATAAAACTTAATGGATACCCCACTAAAAAATGTTGTACTTACAGGAAAGTAAAACAATGCCAACGTTCTCGTCAGAGGAGATATGTCCCCAGCCTCTTGGATTGGTTGCGTCCTGATACCAAGCTACACACACACAAGCATAAGAACTGCTATCACCAGCTTTAGAGTAGTAGTCCCTCACATCTGCATACTCAACTGTCAGCACAGACTGAAACAAAAATGAAGAGCACAGAACATGCATTAGTCAAAAGTAAGTTCTCATTCTGTTTTTGATCCTATTAAAACTTGGCCTCTTTGATATCAATCAATCTTGCCACATGTCACTCATGTTCATCTTCCCTTCCTAATTTCAAAGGCTAATGGCAAGGCTCCTGAATTTGTGAGTGACAAAAGCGACAAACTTTTCTTACCGTAAATACTGCTTTCAACATCGGTATTTATCTTTGTCGATAATAATGACAAATAACAACTGATAACAACAAATAACAACTGATTACAACTGATAACAACAAATAGCAACTGATAAAAGCAAAATAACGACAAATATCAACACAAATGTCCTAATTTATTTTTTTCTGATAAATTGTTACTTTCGACTTTACTTTCGATTTGAATGTAAACAACAAAAAGGGACTCAACTCCGGTAATCCCTCAAGAATATTCTACTTTCGGCAGTAGCTCGGAGTTGTGGGCGTTTTTGAGGAATCAAAGTATTTTTGTGTTATCAGTGGTTATTTGTTGTTATCAGTTGATATTTGTTGTTATAATAAGATGCTATTTGTTGTTTTCAGTTGTTACCAGTTTTTATTTGGTGTTATTTCGACAAAGATAAAAACCCTTCAACATGAAGTTACTTTCAAATTGTGTAGTCATTTAGAAATACATATTTCTTTGAAATGCATTAAAAAAAGATGTAAAGTAAACTGATACTGTAGCCACTGAAACATCTTTCCATAGTTGTTCAAACTGATCCTGAAAATTGTCAGTAAAAATTTATTCTCAAGTTCAACAAGGAAGTAAAGATAATGACAAAACAGCCTCAAGAACCCTGTTAGAGGCACACATTTCAAGTGGGAATGACGATACTCTCATCCTGAGACCATCCCATTATGCTATTGTGCCACATGTAGCACGAACCCCTATACCTTATCTCACCTACAAGATTGTGAATTAAGAATGTTACATCTATAGTAGTAACAAACCTTAATGACTCTGTTGCCAGCATTGTCCGTGCCCTGTTCCGTTTGCATTTGATGCCTCTGCATTCTTTGTCCATTGCACCTAGAGAAATTTGAAATCATACAGTCATTGCAGGTTCCCCTGTCCTTATATTAAATAGAAAACAACAACTGAAAACACAGTGCATTGTACTTGCAAACAGAGATATTCTTTTTAAAAAAAGCTATTAGCCTAGACGGTCATAAAAACAGGCCACGACTGACCTAGATTCCTTGTGGGCTGGCACACCCATGTAGTAGGCCCACAACCTTGTAGATTATTAGTAGTGATAAGCCTACGCTGCGGGAAGTTTGAATTGCTGCTTGCTCATGCTTTGACATTGGATTATTTCTGCCTAATGCAGTTTGCTTTTCAAGTCATCTGGATTATGTGAATATATTTTCTACATCATTGTGTGTGTTGAGGAACAGAAGTGATGACTAATTAATTCATTAAGATTGACCAACAGTTTTGAGATTGCAAATTTGAAGTGCTGTTTGGCTGTACTGTAGGCCTACTGTTCATTTTCAGTCATTCTTCATCGCCATCGTACTGAATGCCTGGATTTTTTAATTGAGGCTTAGTGCAGTTTTTTTTTTTCAAATCATCTGGATTGTGTGAATATCAAATACCTCTTCCATCAGTGTACGTGTTTAGATTAAACCTACAGTGAAGTTTTGACCGTGGAAGTTAAATTCAGATCTATCTAAAATCCATGTCTACACAGTGGAGGCCCCCCTCCTGATCCGCACACTCTTCACTGACTTAGAGCCTCTCTATGCAAACAACCACTAAAAACTAACTCTCCATCCTATTCCTAGATCTACATTTAGATCTAGATTAGTTTGTAACACAAACAATAGGCTTAAAGGACCCCACGTAGATATAAATCTATATCTAGACTCTGAGAGTCAAGGGGGCCATCCTTGTTAGGTAGGGAAAAGTATACGGATCATAATTATGGGGGAGCTCCTTTGTGTTTTTCCTGACCGGCATTGTATATATTAATATCTGCTGTTCTTTCACAGTCTTTACATGCTTCTCTTCTAGGCTTATTTATTGCTTTCATCATGTGTGGTTATGACTCTGTTGGACTGTGACTGACACCATCAAAATAAACTGAAGGTATAAGAGCAACAATGGGAAGAAAATGCTCAGTTGGTGAATGCAAAACAGGCTATGACAGTCAGAAAGGTGCAGAAAAAGTGACCTTGTATGGATTTCCTTCAGATGAAACAGAATGTCGGGCATGGATTGATAGCTTACCAAACATTATATCCTATGAAAAGGTGTCAAAATAAAAAAACATATCAGTGTGTGCCCTCCATTTCCCTCAGTATGTGCCTTTGGTTCGTCGTGGAAGTAAGCTCGTTCCTACCGTCCCTCCATCCATTTTCCCAAAAGTCCCCCGCTGAAATGACCTCATTGTTTTTAAAGTGCTGTAAAACTCTATCTCAAGTCAACTTTCTGCCTTTCCATCGTTTTTGTCTATCGTTTTTGTCTGTCTAGAATAATTTTTAACATGTCCGTTCGTTTGAACACAAACACAGGAAGCTAAACCATTGAGAGAGAGAGAGAGAGAGAGAGAGAGAGAGAGAGAGATAGAGGGAGAGAGACAGGGACAGAGAAGGGGAGAGGGAGAAAGAGACCGCCTGGCCGTGGCCTTCGTAAGCATTATTATCATTACGAAGGTCACTGCTTGCTGTGGGCCAAAGCCTGAGCGGCCGGTGTGCCAGCCCCCAAGCAAGGTGTGTAGTTCTTGGGCTGCGCTGCCTGTTTTATGATCGCCTAGCTATTAGCCCATAAGATGGATGTCTGATTAATGAAAATGTTAAGTGAGTGGAGGGTCCCTTACTTGTATTCCATCTGGCAGAACAAAGCATTTTAAGTTCCATATTTGCATAAATCTTTAAAAAAATTTTCCATAATTTTAACTGATGTCATGGCGAAAGGAACAATGCAGGTTTGGGCTAACTTTGAATAAGCATTTGTTTCATGTGAGTTCAATTCACTTCACCTATCTTTCATTTGATTACTTCCTGCAGTATCTGAAAAATTTGAAGTTGACATCTCTTATTCATGTGTCATGTATGTCTATACTTCTGCATTCTGGCCTCACATACTACTCAAACTAATCCACCCATTCTCAGTATTATAAAACAGTAAAGAAATACCAACAGTATGTACTGGGCAAGTGTGGAACACATTTGAATTTTTTTGTTTTTCTTTAACTCTTTTAAGTTGTAATCATTTGAGGTTATATCTATAAATGATCATTACAGTAGTTGTCTACCTATTTAAAACACTTCTGAAAAAAGCTTTAAACTTACCTAAAAGTAAGGATGTCAGCAGCTGTAGCTTCACACTCCATGGTCACTTTCTCATCAGGTCTGATATAGTAAGAATCTTGAGGAAGAGTGCTGAAATATGTTTTCTTTTCAGACTGGCGAGGGTTGCGAATTCTGCTCTCGGAAGATTCTCCAGCAGACACTTCCTCTGCAGGTTCTGAAGATTCTGCGTAAACTAGAGACAGACAGAAAGTTACAAGTTATTGCACCTTCAATTTCACTTGATACCTTTATACAAAGGCATGGAAAGAACTTGCTAGAAATAACAAAAATTGAGAATATTTAAGAAAAGTTATATTAGCACATGCATTCTTGAATTTATTAATTGCCATTTGGAATAAATAAGTCTTCAAAATGAAAATGCTGTAATGTTTAGCACAGTGTTTTTGAGTACTTTTCACTCAACGTCTCATTATCACTTCACAAATTAAGAAGTACTTCCTGCAGAGTGGGTACCTTGCAGGGTAGGCCTACCTCACACAAACTGATTAAAACTATTTCTTGCTATTATTCTCTGTCTTCTCCCAACCTCAACAGTGAAGTCAAACAGTCTAATAATAAATCAACCAAGCTCTAAAAAGTAGCAGTTTTTTTGTATTGTAACTACCTGATACTGTCAGCTTAGCCTCTTTGCTTTCTCGACGTCCAGCAGGATTCTTAGCCACACATTGGTACAGTCCAGAATCCTCCTGAGTGGCAGATTCAATGACGAGGCTACCCTGATCAGTTACGACTAGGCGGCTGTTTTCCTTGATATTTAAGCGTTTCTTGTCTTTCCTCCACAGAATCTGAAAAGAAACAGTGAATATTTGGACTGTGATAATATCTTACATTATTTTTCTACCTCCTCTTTCTCCTTTTCTACTCTTTCTTCTCTCTCCTTCTCATCAAAATTATAATTATATCAAAATATAAATATTTGTGAAATCTTTCGGCCTATTCATCCACCTATTTATATAAGAGTGAAAATTTGCATTGTAAAGCCGAAAGTTTGTAAATAATATAAGTTCTCGCCAACCCCAAATAGATCATTCAGAAAGCAGGCTGCTTTAATTCTGCATGTGTGGGGGAACCCAGGCAAAGTGTGATATTTTATCTCAGCAGGCAGTCTAAGATACGTGTATTGGATAAATTAACTTTCCCACTTCGGAATTCAATTCAACTCTTCTGTGTTGCATGATAAAGAGCCTTACCATTACATCCCAGATGGCAAAAACTGTATCCCTGTGACACAATGACATAGCCAACCACCACCACCACCCCCTTCTCCCCCCCCTCCCCCACCTCACCCAATGAGCTCATGTCTCAATAAAAGTCAACAATTAAACAACAACAACAACAAAGGCGGAAACCAAAAAATAACCAGAGCCTTTACCTCGGGTTTGGGATCGCCCACAGGAGCACCACAAATGAACTCAACATTCTCACCCTCAGATGCCTGCCTGCTTTGTGGGTGGCTGGAGAACCTATGTTTCAGATCTACATGAGAAAAAAACAGTAATATAATATAAATCTGCCAAGCTGCCGCATATCACAGAACATTATCACTGACATTTTAATTAACTAACTATGTAAACGTCTAAAAAGAAAAGAAAAGGTCACCTAAAAGAATAACAATATGGTTGTCAGACTTTTAATCCCAAGACTGTAGGTCCAAAACCAGGCTCAGTTGAGAAGAACATTGTATTCCCCATTCTCCTTCATTTCCTCTGATTCAACACATGGCTATCAGCGGAGATGGAATTATGCTGCAAGTCTCCCAAACGGCTGATGTGACCTCAAGGAGCAAACTGACAACCATGGCAGTCATTATTAGTTGTAAAAGTCTACCTTTGAGGGAGATATTGTCATAAAGCATCAAAGATGGTTTAAAATGTGATTCGGATATTTCAAGACAATATCAATCTTAATCACCCTCAGTCCACTTAAAATTCATTTTAGAACAAAAGCATCAGTCACTACTAGCAAAGCAAGGTATAGATAGTGATACAAGACAAGAGGGTGAGGATATGGAATGGGGAGTATGAAGATAAAAATGCTATAAAGAACTGAAGGATGACTTGGAAAGGAGAAAGACAGCTCAGTCGGGTTGCTGATGATGAATGTGATGTAGCCTTCACATGAAATGTTAAAACGTGATTGTTGGCAAACTTTATTGAGCTTCAGAACATGGCAATTATAAAAATTATAATTGCTAAAGCTACAGTTTTCTACAGCAACTTCTCTGTTACCTGTAACTACAAAAAGACAAAAAGACCAAATAAAAGGATTTTACTACAGACTAAGAACATAAACTAGCTACTGATCCTTCTGCCACCCAAAAAAATTATCAATACCGAGAACATAAAAAAATGTGTGCAGATCTGCAACTTTCTGAGAATACTTACGTGCAACAGTGATGAAGCTTCGTCTACTAGTGACAGCCGGCTGACCGTCAATGTCCAGAGCACTACACTCACACCAGAAGGCACCCTGGCTGTCATCATAGTTCTGGACATCAGCCCGAGTGACTTCAATCTTGGCCTGAATGACCTCAGGATCGACATCAGACATGTCCTCCATCTCTACAGAGGTTGGTGGGATCTGGGTGCCCGCACAGGTGAAAGTTATGTCCACGGCATTCCTGGCCTTACACACGATGACTGCTGGGCGCTTTTTCACAATGTAATAGCTCTGCTCAGGCTCCTGCTCCAAGGAGATTTCTCCAAGAGGAAGCTCACGGGCCTGAGCCATCAGGAATGTAACTGAGGGATTCCAGAAATATTGAACATTCTCTCAAAATCCTTTTTAGAACAATTTCAGGGGCCACTTGGGACTGCCCATATGATCTCTAATGGTTTTATTTTATGTTTTCTTCAGACAACCGATGATTAAAAAAATTTCAACACCTTGTGCGAGGAGATTTCAAATTTCTAACCACTTTTTGTGTGTGTAAATGTAAGTGTTTTCATATCCCCATCAAACTTACATTATTTAGGAGGCTGGTTTCTGACCCTTCCCTCCACGGCCAACCCAACTCAGCAGAAAGACAGATACTCCATAACAATTTTCTCCTCCCTCATGAATCAAACTCAAGTCACCTGCTTGCGACAGCGATGTGCTTATCCAATACACCACAGACATTAGTATTTAATCTCTTAGCTCGGTTAGACCAGAGACAAACTTAAAAAGGCGGGGCACTTCTTGAATGACCTCAAAGGACTGTTAAATCCAGACCTATAAAGTAATTTATCTTACCTATTGCAGCACAGAAGTAAATGAGATGGCACAGTGCAAAGGATAGAGAAAGAGAGAGAGAGAGAGGGGGAGAGAGAGAGAGAGGGAGGGAGAGACAGACACACACACACACACACACACACACACACACAGAGAG